ACAACTTTTTAGCACCCACCATTTTTGGAATTTGAAAATTGAAAAATTCAGCACACGTGAATTCAGCAGGTGTCCAGAGGCTGAGGTAAAATAGGAGTTTGGTTAAAGGAGGGCTGAACACCAAATTTGTACTCACTGAATAATGCCTCATTTTACTCTTTTTAGTTTCTGCCTTTGCCAGAGAAAAAAACTAAACTGCAAACTTGAATCAGCAGATTCATCAACTAAAGCTTGAACTGTTTAAATTGGTGATGGCCAATATTAACCAGCACTTTGTGTGTTAGGGTGCTGTTGCTACTTTGCAACTTAGTCCCCTCAGTCTGGATGCTCTCTTATATGTATATTTTGTAGGTATCACAAATCCACCATATGTCCCTTGTGCTTTCTTATCCAAAAGGAAATTTCTCACGCTTGGGGAAGCAGAGAGCGCATATCAATAGATACAGGGTTTCCTTTTTCATTCTGTACAGTTATTGTGCAATGTTTGATGTTTCTTCACACTCAACAGACCAGTAAACAAGTATTGCCTCATGTACACTGGGTTCAGTTACAATGTAACCATCAATTTATTTCGGCTTGCTACTAGTAAATATACATTAAGAGTACAAACAGTACCCATTTGGCTTTAGCAGTGTTCCAGATGTGGACTGATGCTCTATTTAATCCTATTAACAACTGTTAGACTAGGTCAATTTGCAGTTGGCTGTATGCAATGAATGCTATTTTGAGCCGTATGTCTTCTTATTCCGTAATGCTAGGAATCGTTTTCATTAGGGGATTGACTGAGAAAGTTGGTTACCTTCAGTCATTTTAATACCAGTGTCTTGCCTATGGTAATGGACTAGATGAGAGCCACCAAACTGAAGCTCAATCCAGATAAGACAGAGACACTGTTGGTGGGTGGTTCCCTAGACCAGATGGCTGGGAGGTTGCCTGCTCTTGATGGGGTTACACTTCCTCTGAAGGAGCAGGTTCTTAGCTTGGGGGTACTCCTGGATCCTTTGCTGTCGCTCAAGGCTCAGGTGGCTTCAGTGGCCCAGAGTGCCTTCCATCAGCTTCGGCTGGTAGCCCAGCTACATCCTGATCTGGACAATGATAGCCTAACTACTGTTGTCTATGCCCTGGTAACATCAAGGTTAGATTATTGCAATGCGTTATATGTAGGGCTGCCTCTGAAGAAGGTTCGGAAACTTCAGCTAGTGCAGAATTCAGTGGCCAGGTTGCTCACCAGCGCAAGATGGTTTGAGCATATTACACTGATCCTGGTCCCACTGTGCTGCCTACCAGGCCCAATTCAAAGTGCTGCTTTTGACCTTATAAGCCTTAAACGGCTCAGGACCGCAATAACTCAAGGACCTCCTCTTTCCCGGACCCTGAGATCAATGTCTGAGGCCCTCCTTCGTGTGCCTCCTCCTTGAGAGGTCTGGAGGGTGGTAACATGAAAAAGGGCCTTCTCTGTAGTGGCTCCCTGTCTGTGGAATGTTCTCCCCCAGGGAAGTTCGCCTGGCGCCTTCATGATACACCTTTAGGCGCCAGGCAAAAATGTTCCTTTTTAACCAAGCCTTTGGTTGATCTGATTGACATCCTATGCCCTTTTAAAATGTGTTTCTTGGGGGGGGGCTATTGGGTTGTTTTATTTTTATTATGTATTTTGTGGTTTTATATCTTAATTTTATTCTGTGAACAGTCCTGAGACCCCAGGGTATAGGTCAGTATATAAATTCAATAAATACCACCACCACTACTACTAATAATAAACTAAATATTTGAGACACAATACATCTGTGACATAAATCCATAATGTTCTCTAGTTATAAATATTGGTATCATCTCAGCATATCATTTTCATGAAGAGACTCAAAAGTAAATGCTACATGGTATATACAATACTACATTTGTATGAAGCTTCAGTATGATTTCCATTAGTTTGATTACAACATCCTTTTGCGCAGTTTTGCTGGTTTCTGTTAGGCTGCATCTTTTCTATCCTTCTTTAGCAGAACTAAATTTAAGATCCGGCAGGCACCACAGGAACATCAGATTATTTCTTTATTTATTTTACTGCCAAACAATGTGCTCCTGTTGAAAGTCAGTCAAGGGATGCTTTTGTAGCCTTCTGACTAGTCCTGGAGGTGATGGTTCTAGGGGCAAACGTTGGCTGCAGCAAAAAGAATTGTAGATCTGCAGCCACCATTTTCATAGGTAAAGTTAAAGTTAAAGGACCCCCGATTGGTTAAGTCCAGTCAAAGGCGATTATGGGGTTATGGCATTCATCTCCCTTTCAGGCCAAGGGAGCTGGCGTTTGTCCACAGACAGCTTTCTGGGTCATGTGTCCGGCATGACTAAACCACTTCTGGCACAACAGAACACTGTGATGGAAGCCTGAGCACACGGAAATGCCATTTACCTTCCTGCCATGGCAGAACCTATTTATCTACTTGCACTGGCATGCTTTTGAACTGCTAGGTTGGCAGGAGCTGGGACAGAGGAACAGGAGCTCACTCCGTTGTGGGGTTTTGAACTGCCGACCTTCTGAGCGGCAAGCCCAAGAGGCTTGGTGGTTTAGACCACAGTGCCACCCGCGTCATAGCAGCTGGTGGGAGGAACATTAGGCTGGGAGAGAGGAAGAAGATGGCATGCTTTCCCTGCCATGCAAAGTCACCATCAGTTAGTCCTAATGAGCTGGTCTAACCATGCTTTTTTATAAGGCATTAGTGGCAAGGCTGCTTTATGCTAAATTACAGAAAAGAAAAGAAACCCCTTGCTTAAAATAATGACTTTCCCCCAGTGCAATGCTGTTTAAGAGGTTGAATGGCCTGACTGGTGTCAGCTAAACCTATGTGTCCAACATACGGTAATTAAATACTAAACATCATTTGGGATTGATTTGCACTAGTAACTGAGAATGCTGAAGCTTCACATACCGGTTCCAATCCCTCGTCTACACAATTCTTAGTAATTCAGGGGAGTGATTCACATGCCAGATCCCAGGATGGAAGTTAGTGCCTTCATGAGTCATTCTCTAAACACAAAGATGTACAAAAGAATCACTCAAAATAGATTTGCAGTTAACTTAATGCACAATATATGTGGGTCCAAAAGGGGTTGTCTGTTCCTGCTCATTCAATATGTAGTCCCTTTCAAGTTGCCACAAGCAACCTTTCAACTCCAACTGCCATGCTTTCCTTAATGTTCTGGGGTTGTATTGAACTTTTGCGAGCCATGTCCCAGTGGGAGTGGGGAAGCCCCAAGACTGGGCGGAGGAATCTTGCATTGCTCATGCAAGCAAGGCTCCAAGTATGGGGTGTTTTTTGCTTTATGACATTTTTCAAAATGGAAAGTTAACAGAAATGCAGGCCCAGATGACACCATCTTATTTTGTGGATTATCTTTTTGCATTTTAGTGAATGATTCACTGTATAACCATAGCAGATTGGGGTTTCATCTGCCCATTTTTTTTAAGGGAGAAAAAAAGGATCCTATCACAAAATTTACAATATGCATTGATTTCCTAGCTCAGTGATGTGATAATGTTTTCATTCTGCAAATGTAATGGCTGTGTTGCGAGAAATTAGGTCAGTGGAACTTAAATTAGCAGAATCCTTCATCCTTGTAGTTCACTGAATAAAGACGCTAGGTCTACTCTCATGCATACATTATAGGCTTTTTCGCCTGTAGCGTAAAATGCCAGCTGACATAACAGCAGGAAACACACCAAGCAGTCTATCTTCAGTAGGCTTCTTTGGTAACCAAAGGTAAACCTAATTCACTGGCAGATTACCCATCTGCCCTGCCTTGGTGGCAAATATGCATTGATAATGATAAACCATGCATTGCAGCATCTTGCGCAATATATTTTCTCACTTGCAGTATAATTTCTCTCTTGTGCTTACAGACACATGCTCCAATATTCTAGGTTTGGGTTCCTTTTTAAACTTAGTTTAGATGTTAAACAGAAGGATCAGAAAATAAAACAAAAGCTCCATTTGCTCTCGTTTTGGTTGATTGCTTCTGGAGCTAACATTTTTCTTTCGCACGATGGGAAGCAGAACCAGTATCAAAGAGATATACCTTGTTACATGTCCATATCCAACACCCACCCATTTTACACGATGGTGGAATTTTAGACTCTGGACTGAATAGTTCTACAGAAAATGCCCCTTTAGATGGCAACTGTGTGTATTACCAGCCCTGAGAGCTGCCTTGTTTTGCAAGCCAACATCTATTCCTGCCCATTTACTTTTTCCTCCTTGAGCTCTGGAAACGCAAAGCATAATTCTCCCCCCCCATACACACACACGGGCATCTCTTTCCCCTCCCTCCGCCGCCGCTTTTTGCAATTCCGTTCCCAACATCTCGCGGCTGAAGCACTTGGCGATCTTCTGAAATAGACGGAAATACTTGGCGATCACATATTTCTACGCGCGCGCGTTGGCAGCGAGTTCAGCGACTCCCTCGCGCGGACGTTCAAGGAGCGCAGCAACCGCTGGGGCTTTCCTTTTATGTTGCAATCGGGGTGGGTGGCTCCGACCCACCGGCGTCCTGCAATGCGACCCACAACCCTGCCCAGCGCGTTGCAGCGCCAGCCTGGGAGCCCAGCGACAAGCAGGAGGCCGAGTCTCCACCTTCACTCCGGCCTCTCCGGCTCTCCATTGGGCCATTACGTAAATGCCAGCAGCTTTCTCCTTTCTCCCTCCTCCTCCTCCTCTCTCTCACCCCCACCCCACCCCCCAGTTTCGCCTAGTTATGCAATACCCAGCAGCGCGCACATCCACTGTAACGCACACACAAACACATCGAGGGAGGGGAAGCGTCCGAGGAGAGAGCGAGAGGAAGAAAGGGCGGAGCAGGGAAGGGGGTTCACTTCGAGTCTGGCCCTGCCCTTGTCCCTTCCCCCCCACTCCGGGCGCATCCATTGGCCGTTCCCGGGAAAGCGGAGAGCTCCGATTGGGGCCCGGCAGCCGCCACTCACCGCCCAAGCTGGCATGAGGAGTGTGCGTTGTGAGGAGCGTACAGTATTGACCTACTAACACAGATCTCTCTCCAGCGGCGTCGGCTGCGTCGTCGGCAGAAGGCGCGTTCCTCGGCTGCGCCCGGCTTCTCCACTCTCTCCCGAGCGCACATTCTCCTCCTGGCGCACGACGGGAAGGACGTCTTCGGGCTGCTGCTGCTGCTGCTGCTGCGAGGGTCTCTCTCTCTGCCTGCCTGGCCCCTGCTCTCGCTGCCTGGTTGTAGTCGAGGACCTGCTCGCCTCTCGGCCCCTCTCCAAAGCGACCGGCTCCGACGGGAAGCAGATGCCGACGGGATCTCCGGCGAGCGAGGCGCGCGCTCGGCCCCTCTCGGCCCGAGCAGCTTGCCCAGGTACAGGAAGCTTCCGTCGGGGAAATTGCTCGTCTGAAGGGGGTCCTTCTTCCCCCCCCTATCCCGCCCACCTTCCCTCGGTCCTTTCCCGACGAGACTCACTCTGTCCTGGTGTGCGTTCACCCTTCTCTAGACACGGGTTCGTCGGAGAAATTCGACCCTCTCCATGCGCCTGTCTACCTAGCAGTAACTTTTCTCGCCCTCTGGCACGTCAGCGGCCGGGACTCGCCGCCTGAAGGCGGCCGCTTTGATTGCAGCCCCTCTCGGAGCAGCTTCCCCGGCTCGGCTGGCTCAGAGCTCGGCGCTGCTCTTACATAATAAGATGCCTCCTCCGGGGTGGAGGGAAATCGGGACTGGGGAGCAGGAGGAAAGCTCAGAGATCTTGCCACCATTCCTTCTTGTATGAGCAGGGATTTGTGGGGGTGGGGAGATGGATGGTAAGCGAGGGCATGGATGGGAGGGTTGGCTGAAGGAATCGTTGACGGGCAGCAAAGGATTAGGAAAATGCCTTGTTAATAGTGGCATGCGCCTTGGAAGAAGAGTTCTTTGAAACGCGCCCGTTTCCCCCTGGGGAGCATCTGAAGCGCCCGAGGGGCTGGCGGGGCTTGTTATTTCATCTCTCGCGCATTGCATAATCGGTCCACGGCGAGTTATTGGCGAGCGCTTCAGAGAGGAGGTGAGCGTGCAATGCTTTGGTAATTTTGGTGCAGCGTTAGGGAATACGGTCCCCATTTACACATCTCATCTATTTCTGGATATCTTAGGGAAGGTCTGCTTTTTTAGAATAAAAAAAAAGCCCCATGATGAACTGGTGCTGCGCGTGAGATTCCTTGTTTATTCCTTACGCTGCGTTCTTTGAAGCTGCTAGAGAAAGGAAGACACGTAACAATCGCCTGATTCGGGGCTGTTCAGATGTATGTTATGTGTGTGGGGGGGGGAGAATTCGGTTTATATTGGCCCGTGCCTTTTGCTCCCTCCTGGCAGCTGGTTTTCAGGCACCGCGTTTCCTGATCGTTCCTGGAAATGTTGCATTATGCAACCACGGCATTCGCTGGCGGCCAGGTTAGGCAGCTAATTACGCGCTTTGATAAATCTCGCCACAAAGAAACTAGAGCAATCTCGGCTTTAAAATAAAACCACGATTTCCAAAGTCATCCCTCTTGCATCTCCCTCCCCTGTCGGAAAGTAGATCGCTGCTGCGTAAGTTGGAGAAAGGCAGCTCGGCTTGTTGAATGTGTGCCACGTCCCTTAAAACGAAAATTGTGCACGTCTATATTTAGCCCTATCACATTTGAGCAATTGTGGCTCCGTGGGCTATTTCTGGTCTTTTCTCCAGAGCTGTGCAAATAGACGTTCAAGGACATTTGCTGGCGTTTTCAACTCCACGCCTTGGGAGACGTTTTGATAAGGCTGGTATTTTTAGGAAGGCATTTCGCTCACACATCAAGTGGCTTGGTAGGTGTTGGCTTTCGTGCATGATTCACCCTCCTCCGTAGAGATATATATACATACATACATACATAAGCTTATATATACACAAGCTTGTTACGCATTTCGGGAAAAAGTGAGAGGTGCCTCTGATCTCGTCGTAGCCCCTGCAATTTGCAACCAAGAACAACAAAGTCGGGCTGGCGCGGGGGGGTGAAAGGCGGAGGGGGAGGGTGCGCGCGGGGTGCGGAGTCTTTATTTCAACATATGTGACGGTCGGCGTAACGTTGCAAAACACACACCCAACAACAATGCCCAGCCCGATTTAGGTCAGTAGCACATTTCAGATGGCCAGAATCCCAGCGTGCGATCGAAATCTATGCCACTCTCGCAATCGTGTCGTTTTGCAACTATTAAACCCGTCTGCGCCGGGGTGGGGGTGGGGTCTTGCTTTTTCCAAAAAAAAAAGAAGGGGGAAGGGGAGAGAAATCCTGATGCTGAATCACTCTAAAAATATAAGAAGGTTCAGAAATCCAAGGTTTGCGCGGGGGTGGGGGTGGCGAGGAGCGCAAAATCGGGTTCGACAATTGTTGATTTTCTGCTAGTGGCTCTTTTAATGAGAGAGAGAGAGAGAGACAGAGAGAGAGACAGAGACCGAGGTCTTTCTGCATTCGAGTCAGAGCTCTTGCCCAGATTAACAAGGGTCCCACTGCGACCCCTTAGAAGTAACCGGCGCGTAATTCGGGCGCGTTTGTTGCGTTCAGAGGACAGCTATGAGGTGCAGAGCCGAGAGGGGAAGAACTCCTTCTGGACTCGGGAGAGCCTGGCGCTTCTCCGAGGCCGGGGGCGTCGGGCAACGAGGGAGCTTGCGCTGCCTGCCCGCCTGCCGCCCGAGCCGCCTTAGGCGTTGGTTGTTATGACTGGGGCCGGAGCGCGCGTTGGAAGGGGCCTGGATGGCGCTGCCGCCGCGCTTTGCATTCCTTTGTTCTGCGAAGGGGGGGTGGGGGTGGAGAGAAGGCGAGGCAGAGCTCCGGGGAGTGAGGCGGGGAGAGAGGGCGCACAAGAGGAGGAGACAGGCGGGCTGGAGCGGAGTCGGCGAGAGGAGTAAATAAGGCAGGAGAGCGGTCGTTTTGCACGGACAGGGAGCGCGAGCAGAACAAGCTGGCCCCGGGGAGGGATGCGGCTCCAGTCACGTAGTGTGTGTACTCACTGTTGCAACGACGGGGGGCGGGCCCAAGAGCTCCTCGCTCTGGCTTCTCCACCCTCCCGGGCCCCGCTTTCTCTCCGCCCCTCCAGACTTGGCAACGGAGCTGGCAGCTCTCACGTTTCCTCCCGAAACAGAGCGAAGGTTGGGCGGGCGCGTGTTTGACTGCGACCCCGTCCGCTTTTGCGCCTCCTTGGGCAGCCCGGAATGCCGCCCCTCCTTGGGCGCAATTGGCTGGCGAGTTTTCTCTCCAGATTTTTTGCTCTTGCGCAAAAGCGTATATGGGCGTTTGCGCGCGCGCTCATTACCTTTCATGTAAACTCTGTGGAAAAGTCCCAAACACCCCATCGTGTGTATAAAGGATGCCTGTTTAGCTCCCCTATAGCACAGTGGCTTCTAAGTAAAAACACAAAAAAACCCAGCCCCCCTTCCCCTTTCCTTGGCCCAAGCCTTTCCTCGGAGATTTTCCACAATTCAGACTTCTTAACCAGGTCATTGTTATGGGGGCAGCATTAATTCCTGTAAGGGGTGCTTACTGGAGGTGGAATAATTACTTGTTAAAACAATAGGGATGTGTGATGAGGCTCATATCCATTGGCCGATTCTTACCCCCCCCTCAAAAAAAAAGTGAGGAGGGGATACTGCAGGTGGCATTTCCAGAAAGAATAGGATTTAACTACTGTTGCCAATGGTGTTATTATTTTGGTAATTTCCCTGCATATTCAAGAGTGCTGCTGGGTTTTGTTTTTTTACAGTAGCTATAAAGTAATTATTGCTAACTGCTGCCAGGAAAACAAGCTTTGCCGGCACACTTTAGTGCATTTTTACTCAGAGGTAATTCCTTCCCTATGCATGGTACTTGTGTTGAGTAGAACATACTCCCAGGTCATGAAGGTTGTCTGCATACTTCACCTTTAAAACACACACTTTCTCTCAAAGCATGTTGGACACTGTAGTAGGGCTGAGCAATGTCCAGTTTTCAACATCGTGATTTATCACCAGCTGTTTATTGGATGTACCGATATATCATGATGTCTCAAAAAAGGATGGAACTTTGTAGTGGTGAATGGGGCAATGTCTGGGCAACTGCTACTACTTAGGAGTCTAAAACGGATACATTTTTACTTACCTTTAACATTGTGTTGCAACTGTTATTTTGCACAGAGCAACAGGGGTGGCAGGAATCAGAGAAGCGAAGACCGGCTTCACGCTTTTTCTCACATTGCATTTTTTTACATAGCGCACGCACACACACATTGCTATTCACAAGATATCTCCATGCCAAATATTATGAAGCTGTTACCACAATGTGGACTCCAAACAGATTTTGGACGATGCATCGATACATTGCCCAGCCCTACACTGTAGTTTGTTAAGAGTTGCCAGGAATTGTAACCTGGTAAGGGGTGAACTACAGTGCCCAGAATCCTTTGAGAGAAGCAATGTGCTTCAACTTTAATGTTTAGCGTATACACAGCCTTAGTGAGCCGAGGACCAGGCAAATCCTGGGGGTTAGGCCCTAAACGGCTGGGGACTAAGTATGGCAGCAGTTAGTCTAGTTATGTGTGTTGCCCAAGTCAAAGAATTTCCATGATTTCAAAACAACTGTATTCTACTGGTGGAAGGAAGAAATGAAGGGCTGTAATACAGTGGCAGGGCATCTGTGGAGAGCCGCTTGTCTGATAATCTGGAGAGACGCTTCCAGCCAGTATAGATGGTATGACTTAGAATGAGGAGCATCTTATGATCAGAGAATAATTCCAGTGGTAAATGTTATACAGCCAAGTCGTGATGGATGACCTCAGGTGTTGTGTTAACAGGTGTTATTAACCTTTGTAGCTATTACCACACAAGTGTATATAGTTAAGAAAAACTCCAGCAGCATTGCACTTATATATATATTTACTTTACCTATCATTTTAAGTCTGTATTTTCACCCATTATAAGGATTAGAAATGTTTGGGTTATTTCCCCCTTCTATCGTCCGATGCGCCCTGTTTTTGTTGTAAGAATTCCTGGCAGTTTAACACCCACCCCCCTCATTGCACAGAAATCTGGCAGTGCTGACAACCTTGCAAAGAAGTTTAGGAAGGCTTGACTTCAAATGCTTTGCCATTATGTCTCTGGGCTGATCCAAAGCTTGCTGAAACTGAGTAGGCAGCTTCAGTGCTGACTTCATTGTATTGGTGCCAATCTGAAGGCTGTAGTTCTGAGTCAGGCACCCAAATAATGACATTGAAACAAATGTTAATGTGTTGCTATTTAAAAGCATGTATTTTTCGCTAAACCTTTAGGGCTAATTTTTCCAACCTTTTAGAGCGACGAGAGAGAAAAGATGACTATGTCGCATGACTATGGCCACATTTTCATGTTATTTTTAAAATGGGTACCCGTATTTCTGCACATAGAGAGCTTGATGTAATCTGTCAGTGGGACATTTCAGAAGTTGAGAAACACGTGTAACATACAGGCATACTAATCAAAGAGTTGGAAAACCTAAGGATTGAAGCAACAGCATGCTTGGACAGTGGTCTCAAGGCCAAGGATAATAATCCTGTGTACCACGATCAATTTGACTGGAGTCACCATTAGTCTGGAGAAGGTGCATCACGACTTTTCTCCCAGCTCTGCATTGCCATGGAATAGATACACACAACCATCTCATCCCTATAGAAGCTTCCACAATGGTCCGTGAGATAACGGAGGATCTTGGTGATGCCACTCACTTCCTGCCTTGCCACTGTTAACGCTTTTGTTCATTGCTCATTCCTGCCTCAACATCCCCCCCCCCCAACACTCAGCTTTTGTACCCATTGTAGCAAGGATTACTCATAGTATAGATGTACAGTGGTAACTCGGGTTAAGTACTTAATTCGTTCTGGAGGTCCGTTCTTAACCTGAAGCACCACTTTAGCTAATGGGGCCTCCCGCTGCCACCGCGCCGCAGGAGCCCAATTTCTGTTCTTATCCTGAAGCAAAGTTCTTAACCTGAAGCACTATTTCTGGGTTAGCGGAGTGTGTAACCTGAAGCGTATGTAACCTGAAGTGTATATAACCCGAGGTACCACTGTACTCTAAAGCTATTTGCATGCTTAGAGGAAGATGCTGCACCTCACCACCCAGAATTACCTACTCTTCAGGAGCCTTAAATTTTAGTCCCTTACATTGCCATGATTTCATACCTTTTCCTAATGGTCACAACCCAGCTGGCTAAGGGTAACTTTTGAGAATATATATTTTTAAAAATTCAGTTAGTTTATAGATATTGGAATCATAGATTAAAACAAAAGATTGATAGATTTCCCCCTTGGAAATTCATCACAAGGTAGCAAAATAACCCAATGGCAAATTCACTGTAGGCCTGGCTAGATTCCCTTTGACCAGACATTCATAAACGTGTACTCAGGTGAGTTCGGAGCACGCAATGAACATAAACGCAGAGCCATATAACTGTGTTTCCTTATTACCAAACTTCCTTAGTAGACAAAGCATTTTTTTAAAAGAAAAAATGTGGGTTGCCTCATGTGCATCTCTTGAAAGATAATACATGTGTAGGCAAAGAACCATGATGGGCAATAGGCTTCTAAAACGTCCTCACCCAACATATTTACATTTACGCATGCAGTGCTGTGGTAAGATTAAATAACACAATACTTAGTGCATCATATAATTGATTAAATGGCTCCAGAGTGCTAGGTCAGTGGAATAAGCAAGCTGCAATCCTGTAGTCATTTCACCTAGCTGTTGTTGTTGGCATACATCTGTCTTGAGAAACAATGGAATGTGCCTCCAGGGCAGAAGGTGAGGTCAGACCTATGGAGAATCACAGTGCATGCTGTGGCTGCAGAGACTGATAACTTGTAACTACTGCCTGCCATGCAAGTCTGGGCAGTGTGCATGGAGGTCCTAGGCTGTCTGGATGAGAAGACCTTCTTGGCCTCACCGTTGTGGTCCAAAGGAAAGCAAAGCAATATGTTTGACATCAGCTTGGCTGCAGGAGTTGCTGGAAGGAGGCGTACAAGACACTCTCCAACTGTCTTAGGAACTCCACTCCAGATTTGTGTGGGTTTTTACTTCTTAGCCTTTTCTTCTCCCGAAGATGTCCTGCAAGGCGGTAAACCCCATTGAACTCAATAGCATTTATTTCTGAGTAAACATGAATTGTATTGTTCATACACCCAAAATTTGCCAGCATGCCATAGTGTATGAATGCAGCAGAAGGACAAATCAAAATTTACTTAGGTCAAAAATTCTTAGATTTCAATTGTTTTCAAGTTGCAGGTTTTAATTGTTTCCATCAGTTGCTGGAAATACAGTGGTACCTCTAGTTGCGGACTTAATCCGTTTCAGAGTGCAGTTCGCACCCCGAAAAGTCCACAACTAGAGCACCTCTTCTGCGCATGTGCGTGGCGTGATCGAGCGCTTCTGCGCGAAGCACAGAGATCGCTTTTGCGCATGTGGCGAACCCGGAAGTAAACACTTCCGGGTTTGCTGCGTTCTTAAGCTGAAAGTCCGTAACGAGCGGAACGCAACACGAAGTATGAGTGTTATGAAATCAGAGTAGACTGATTTTTAATTTTTTTTGAGTGATACATATGCTGAGAACAAATAGAGGTATGAGTGTTATGAAATCAGAGTAGACTGATTTTTAATTTTTTTTGAGTGATACATATGCTGAGAACATTCAAATACTCAGTGGATTTATTTGGTTGTTATATTTGTTAGTCCCTCCCTACCCCCAAATGAAACTCCCAAGTGACTTACAAAAAACAAATTAAATGAATTAAAACAACTTGTGACCTTGTTAATTTATTTATTTAACACACTTGTATACCACACTTCCTAATACTATATCAGGCTGGTGAACAGCAAATAAGAAAACAATTCAAGGAAATGACAGATAAAGTCTTAAAGCAGATTAAATTTGCTTAATACTAGCTCCGATGCTATATATTCTGATAACTACTGATTTACTTGACTATTGAATTTTCCTCAAGCCATGTCATAATTTATGTACTTGATTTAATAATATGTGGTGTGCACCACATACGTTTTGAGGATTTGCTGAGTATTCTCATTCACTGTAGCTGTAATTGTGTCAATGTTATTGAAACAATTTCAGTTACATTTTAACTTTAATTTTCCTCCCGTAATTATTTATTCAGGACAAAATGGATCACAAACAAGCTTCAGGATTGTTTGTTAAATACACCCTTGACTTTTTATACAGAAGCCTCAGAGATTAGCTACAGATTAACTAAGGAACTTTCTTCAGGCATACGAGATGCTCTAGGCATCCCTGGAAATCTTTATTGAGCCCAGCAGCACACACAGGTTTATTGATCAATATTATCCAGAACTTTAATTGGTGCCCTTTCCGTATGTACTAAAACAACAACTGGCCAGCACTTTGCCTGTGTGTATGTAATCCTGAATAGGGTTTATAGACTTTGGCTCCAAGATTTAAATAGTATTGCGAGGAAATTTATTCAAATCATGCAGAGTTCTCGTTATGTAAGGTTTCACCTCATTTTATTGCCACAAACATCAAATTTTGATCGTGTCTGAAACTGAGGCTGAGAAATAATGATTTGCCCAAGGCTCCCCTCGAAGCATGATTCAGATGGGAGGAAAATATGGGCCTGAAATCAATTGGCCTATGCTGGCTCTCAGGAATGATACGGATCCTTTATGCTACCAGTTACTAAGGTTGTGCATTTGCTTTGGACCAAGCACAAGGCTATGCTTCAGAGACATTCAGCTTGCCTCTAAATTCAAAGTAACTTGGGTCCAAAGTTGCCCAGGATGACGTGGGCAGGTTCTTTGGCTTCAGAACCATTCTGGAGCTTGAGACTGATGTTTCTTCCCCACCATGTGCAATTTTATGCATTCTTGTAGGCGCCCAACCCCAAAATACATGGAATGTCAGGGAAAGTGAAGGAAAAGAGGGTCTAAATTAATGATATATTAATATCCACAGCGTGCCAGCATGTATTACACCAATGTATTAACAGGTTTCTTTCTAATTTTAATTTCCATCTATTATTTCAGGGATTGCTAACTAGTCTTCATACTGTCCAGTTTTCTAGAATTAGTATGTTTTAAGATCTTGGTTACGTGTGTGTGTGTGTGTGTGTGTGTGTGTGTTTTAAGGCAACGGTTGGAGCTGTTAAAAATCTCACAGGCTCCCATAAACAATGTGAGCTTACTCAGGATTCTTGCAGTTTATCTTCCCCTGTGAAGGAAAACAGTGTTAGCCATGCATGCGTAATCTCTGCAGGAAATCAATCATTGCTGCGCTTTTATCTTTCGCTTATTTTAAACTGGGCTCCCTTTGCTAAAGGTTGTGCAAACTTCATTTATGTAATGACGTTCTTTTTCCCCAGATGGCTGCCTTGTTGCAATTATTTTTTTCCTAATCTACGGTTATTATAACATCACAGTGATGCAATAACCTGAACAATGAAATGTTTTGTTGAGGGCTGTTGCATAAAAAAACATTAAGCAACAGATCTGACTCATCAGCTTACAGAATCTTCTTGATGACCTTGCTATCAGGTGCACAGCCTTTTGTGTGAGAGAAACCCTTTGGGTCTTCGGGTGAAGCTTCAAATGATTTTAAACCATTAATACTTTTAGTTTGAACGTCACAAATTTATCAAGTGAAAAACTTGCTACTTTAATCAGCACTGGTAGCCGAAAGCTATGGTGTGGAGAACACCAAGGTTGCAGGTTTGATACTCATACAGTGGTACCTCGGGTTAAGTACTTAATTCGTTCCGGAGGTCCGTTCTTAACCTGAAACAGTTCTTAACCTGAAGCACCACTTTAGCTAATGGGGCCTCCTGCTGCCGCCGTGCTGCCAGAGCACAATTTCTGTTCCCATCCTGAAGCAAAGTTCTTAACCCAAGGTACTATTTCTGGGTTAGCGGAGTCTGTAACCTGAAGCATATGTAACCTGAGGTACCACTGTATAGGATAGCTGCATATTCCTGCTTTCTAATGGGTTTGGACTGGAAGATCCTTAGGGTCCCATCCAACTCTATGATTCTATGATTCTAAGTAAAAAGCAATAGAAATTACATTTTATTTTTATTTAGAAAATTTGCAATAATAGTCTTCTGAGTCCCTCCTTCATGTGCTTCCTCCTCGAGAGGCCTGGAGGGTGGCAACACGAGAACGGGGCCTTCTCTGCAGTGGCTCCCTGTCTGTGGAATGTTCTCCCCAGGGAAGTTCGCCTGGTGCCTTCATTACATACCTTTAGGTGCCAGGTAAAAATCTTCCTTTTTAACCAGGCCTTTGGTTGTCCTGATCAACATCCTATACCCTTTTAAAATGCAGCTCTTTTTTTAGGGTGGGTGTTATTGGGTTACTGTTTTTATTTTGATTTTATATATTGTGCTCTTTTCTGTGAACTGCCCTGAGACCTCCAGGTATAGGGCAGTATATAAGTTCAATGAATGAATGATAAATAAATAAATAACCAGGGCAGCCTATGGCGCCATCCCCCGCCCCTTGCAGCCCTTATTCTGCCTTCCCAAAGCTAGGTAAGGAAGGTGTTGGACTTTGGGGCCTCCTGTCTTCTTCCCAAGGCAGGGCTCTAGGACCCTGTTTCGCTCCCCGACCCCCTGCACAAGGCAGTGTGCGGCCCATGGGTTCGGTGTCAAAGTACTCTTGTGGCCCACTTGGCATGAGAAGTTGGACTGCCCAAACTGTACTTTCATTGTTCTTTGCCCAAATTAGCACTGAATTAATGTTTAGCATATTATGTAAGAGACCTTTGATCTGGGAAATGGTCCTTTTGACAACCCCTGACTTGGGAGAGGATTATATTATGAAATACAGTGGTACCTCGGGTTAAGTACTTAATTCGTTCCAGAGGTCCATTCTTAACCTGAAACTGTTCTTAACCTGCAGCACCACTTTAGCTAATGGGGCCTCCTGCTGCCGCCGTGCTGCCAGAGCACAATTTCTGTTCTCATCCTGAAGCAAAGTTCTTAACCCGAAGTAATATTTCTTGGTTAGCGGAGTCTGTAACCTGAAGTGCATGTAACCTGAAGGGTATGTAACCCGAGGTACCACTGTACAGTGCCAGTTATATCCATTGATGGAAATGAGTGACTATTAGCACAAAATGAGTCTGTGAATTTGTAAAGAGCGGTGTTATGTGAGATTTTTAGTTACATGACAATCAAGTGGTCCCATCTCACAACAGGCTATAGAACTGGCCTTTGGACAGTAGAATTTGTGATCAGTAAGTCTGATTGCTGCTGTCTTAACTCCTTATCAGGTAGATTTCACCTGCAGTCAACAATAAATCAATCTGAACCACCATTTTAACTTTCTATAGATTAGCCCAATGGATTAACTGGAAAGCTGTGGAATTGCCCAGCATATATTTGCATTTTAAGTTACCCAAATGAAATTCTGGGAGCTGCAATTCTTGATGTAGTTTTGTATGACTTGCAGAAGTCAATAGAGTTTCTTGGCCTACTTAAATTAAACATATGGTACACAGTAGTGCTATTTAGAAGGGATGTAAATAGGTTAAAGCAAAAAGACAGGTCCTTAGATTTGCAAGTATTATTGTTCTTTTATTATTTATTAAATTTGTATTAAATCAGTGGCATCGGTGACCTCAGTGTGGTCATTTGAGAGTACACTAATTAATCCACCAGGGGCTGCTTCCACACAAACACCATAGAAATCAACTGGAACTATGAAATCAGTAGCTGAGGCATTGTGCTAAGGATAGCCTTTTGAGCAGATGGAAATATACAAAGCTAAGCCAGAAGTGAGCCATTTGTTTTAAATAGAATAGAAACTTTATTTGAGGATCAGCTCTAAAATTCCATTATCCTTTCACCTGCTCTCAAGGAGAAAAACAACAAAGAGGAACTTTCATTAGAAGGAGCCCAAACTATTTTATGAGTGAAAAAATGCCAAATAACCATAGGAAAATAAAATGAGAAAAATTCAATACTCTCTCTCTGTGTGTGTGTGTGTGTGTGTGTGTGAGAGAGAGAGAGAGAGAGAGAGAGAGAGACAGAGAGAGAGAGAATTACGCAACAGTTGTTCCATTGCATTCTTTGAAACAATATAATGTAAGTGATGTGAAAACTGCCTTTTAAGACCATCCTGATCTGAAAATAGTGATAATTTGTGTGATTTATCTTTGGAAAGTATATTTGTTATTAATTAATTTGTAATTATCAGAACAAACAATAACTGTACTCCTCATTCATGGTGACAATTACATCACTTTCCAGTTTTTCCTCTGGGAGAAACAGAAATATTGCAGCACTGCATGTAGCTCATATGCTTAAGAATTCCTTTGTGAATGTGATTTTCTAACACATATTAAGTAGATGACATTTTCTTCTAAGGTTTTCCTCTTTATTTTATTTTCATAGCTTGTATGGAGAAGTAAACTCTTGCATATGTGTGTTACCGACCTACAATTTAATTATATGCTGACCCTATAACCTCTGAACACTCCTGACACCTTTTGACGTGTGAGTGGTGTAACCTCAGCAGCGAAGGACCTTATAAAATCAGGGACTCGGGCTCATCCAAACTTCCATTTGTCCTATGCTTACTAGGGATGGCTCCAAGTGGTTTTTATTTTCTCCTGCCTCTTTCTCTGGGAAAACCCGCTGTTTACTGCTGAATTTATACAAACATCAATCTGCCTAGAAAGCACGGGGAAATGGAAGTGTGGCTTAGCCCTCAATCATAAAATGATGGCTGCATTTGTATGCCTTCCAATAACAAAATGAAACTCTGCATTGTAACATAAAACATTGCATTTCCAATGTGGCCACTTCAAAGTCTAAATTCTGTAGAATTTAACTTAAAGTTACAGACCTGTTGCACCAGGCTTCCCTAGCAAGTAGTCTTTTGGTTACATAGAGTTTATCTTGTTAATAGCTGGTTGTATCTCTGTTCCAGCTTTTGTCCCCACTTCCATATTAGGCATGATAATTCTCTTATCCACATTTCTTTGCTCGGCTTGCAATCTCACTTCTAAAGCAGTGTACTCAGCTTTTTCTCCCAGTTTATCTGAAAAACAGGAATGGCGGTGTTTCTCCTTTTTCTGAAAAATGTAGAAATCATATTAATGATAATGTTATCACTTGCATAGTAATAATAATAATAATATAATAATAATTTATTATTTGTACCCCGCTCATCTGGCTGGGTTTCCCCAGCCACTCTGGGCGGCTTCCACAGAGACCAAAAATACACTAAAACGTCACACATTAAAAACTTCCCTGAACAGGGCTGCCTTAATAGCATTTTTTTTTTTTTTTTAAGAATAGCTCATCACAGGGTTATTAGAATGATGGACTCGGTAAGAATGAAAAAGCTTATAAGTCTACTTATTAAGCCGTCTTATTGAGTCCATCATCCTAATAGCCCTGTAATGGCAACTTTAGTTCTATTTAACAGATGGGCAACTGAGGCTGAGATGTTCTGCAAACCCGAATTTGTGTTCAGTGTGAATAGTCAAAATAGGTGATAACACTCTCAGTTCAGCCAGCTGAGATAATACAGTCGTACCTTGGAAGCCAAATGGAATCCTTTCGACTTCAAAACTTTCGAAAACCAAAGCACGGCTTCTGATTAGCTGCAGGAAGCTCCTGCAGCCAATTGGAAGCCGCGGCAGCCCCATCGGACATTCAGGTTCCAATTATAGTTTGCAAACCGGAACAGTGACTTCCGGGTTTGCAATGTTCGGGAGCCAAAACGTTCGGGAACTAAGCTGTTTGACTTCCAAGGTACGACTGTAATTGTCTTGAACACAAGAACAATGGAAATTTAATTTTGTTGATTTAAAATGGGTCCTGAAGTACTGTCATGATAATGGTTGTAACTCTGACTTGAAATATAAACAGCACTTTACAAGGCACTTATTCTTGAGAAAATGTTAACACCTGATGTTAGAAGGCTGAAGAGCAATAAATTTCCCAAAAGTAGTGCAGCTAAGTCATCAGCTCAGTTTAAAGGGATAGAATAGAATCGAAGAGTTGGAAGGGACCACGAGGTTCACCAAGTCCAACCTCCTGCCATACAGGAATCTTTTTGCCCAGTGTGGCGCTCAAACCTACAACCCTGAGATTAAGAGTCTCCATGCTCTACCAACTGTAATATAAAGAGTCTCTAAAATGGTGTGACTTCTGTCCTATAAAGTGTGGAGCTTGGAACTGAAGAATAGCCAACTAAAACAACTTTGTTAGCTCCTTTGATGTTAATTGAAACTGTTCACATGCTTAGAACCAGATCTCTGTGTTTTGCTCCTTAGAAGTGAAAATTTTGTGTGTTGTGCAGGAATTAGTAAAGGCTGCAAGGTCAGCTCTGTCAATAGAATCCATTAGAAACTTTCTTACTGCTTGGGTATTTATCAGCGTTGGTCTTGGGAAGTCACTTCTAAGTGTTATATAATAATAATAATCTGATCCTTCCCACAACCGATTCAAGTGAAAATAATACATAATAGCAATCCTATACTCAGAGGTAAGCCCCACTGGGTTCAATGAGGCTTATTTTAAGATAAGTGAGTATAGGATTACAGTCTAATTGTGCTTGTGGTGGAAGCAGGGAGGACAAGAGAGGTGTCGACATATTCAAAGCTGGGATGTTGATAAGCTGCAACTATATTGTTGCAAAAGAGAGCATACAGTGGTGCCTCGCAAGACGAAATTAATCCGTTCCGCGAGTCTCTTTGTCTTGCGGTTTTTTCGTCTTGCGAAGCACGGCTATTAGCGGCTTAGCGGCTATTAGCGGCTTAGCGGCTATTAATGGCTTAGCGGCTTTAAGAAAAAGGAAACAAGCTCGCAAGAACTCGCAAGACATTTCATCTTGCGAAGCAAGCCCATAGGGAAATTCGTCTTGCGGAACGACTCAAAAAACGGAAAACTCTTTCGTCTTGCGCGTTTTTCGTCTTGCGAGGCATTCGTCTTGCGAGGTACCACTGTAGTTGGTTCCCAAAGGCCAATCCTTTTACAGCTCTTTGGCATCCCCCTCCTGAGATCGAACCAGGCCCCTACTCAAATACTTACCGAGTCACAATCAGGCCATTGCCATATTAAAAAAATAGGCATTAGTAGTATAAATCTGTGGTTACAATTGTATAATGAAGCAGACAGTGCTGTGTATTGATTGTTTCATTGGCACACAACATGCTACAAAACAACTTTCAAAGTGTTTATAAAAGCACCTGAAATTTCAAGAGTGACTAATGTAAGGCAGCATTCAAAGTTGGTTTTAGACTCCCCCCCCGGCCTTTTTTTTTGAGGGAGGGAGTGATAAAATAGTTGCAAGATTAATCATAGGGGGAAAGGGCTGAATTTGAAATACAGTAGGAGTCATGACCGTACATACTAATACTTTCCAGAGAAATTATAATAGCCAAAGTAAAATTAGCTTGTTTTTATTAAATGCATTTTGATCCTATTGTCAGATGAAATTTTGACTCACACACATAGCGTGACTAACAAATAGTCACATGTCTTTTCCATTTGGATAAATGCTGGCTTAACAAACTGTTCAAGGGAGCTATCGATAAGGCTATTGTAGCTTTGCCTGTGTTTGGTGGATTTACCATTAGCATGTCATATAGAATAGGGACCCTTTTAAAAGGCATTGTGTGAGAAACAAAACCACTTAAGCTCTGTGGCTAGTGTAAATATTAGTTTTGTTAGCAGAAATTAAACCGTGTTAGCCTCAAGAATATTTTTCTCATTGAGGAAGGAAATCGCACCTCACCCTTCTGTCAATTATTTTTGGGTGAAGGTCCAGGGGAACAAAAGAAAACCCCTCTCTTTGAAATAAAGAATGCAGTGTAGAGCCTAAATCTACAAAACAGTGTGGACCATTGGTTTCTGTATCACCATAATGATAATGCTTGAGTTCCCCTTATAATTACTAGATATTCCACACATTGCTTCAGTCTAATAACCTCAAGGGACATGCTAGCTGGACCCCCACATCCTTGGGGCTTCAAGGGGACATTATGCTGGATGCCATGGCAGTTAGAGTACCGTATTTTTCGCCCTATAGGACGCACTTTTTCCCCTCCAAAAATGAAGGCTTTTGCTGAAGCTTGGAGAGTGAGAGGGGTCGGTGTGCACCGACCCCTCTCGCTCTCCAGGCTTCAGGAAGCTATCAGCAAGCCTGGGGAGCCTGCAGGAGTTCCTGCAGGGCTCCCTACGCTGCGGATAGCAGCCTGCTGCACGGAGCGCGGGGTGCGCTGAAGCAGAGCGCCCCGCGCTTCGGGCAGACATCAGTCAGCCCCACAAGCTCGGGGGACAGCGGGGAGGCGCAGCGCCGCCATCCCGCTGTTCCTCGACCTGGTTTGGAGGCTGGCGCTGGGGAGAATTTCACTTGAAGTAACATTTCACTTTAAGTAACCCAAGAGCCTGCCATTCCCATACCTCTATGAGCAGAGTTGCTCCTGTTCCTTGCAAACAGTTGCATGCCAGAGTCCTAAGGTAGTGCCAAGCTGTTGGATCCTGTAATATGTACTGTGGAAGGGCCTTCAATTAGAGGGATTGGCATGTCAATGCATTTGGTACAGCTGTAAAGGTAAAAAGGTAAAGGACCCCTCGACAGTCAAGTCCAATCAAAGGTGACTATGGGGTTGCGGCGCTCATCTCGCTTTCAGGCCGAGGTAGCCGGCGTTTGTCCACAGACAGCTTTCCGGGTCATGTGGCCAGCAGGACGTAAACCACTTCTGGCACAACGAGACACCGTGACATAAGCCAGAGTGCATGGAAATGCCGTTTACCTTCCGCCACAGCGATACCTATTTATTTTTGAACTGCTAGGTTGGCAGAAGCTGGGACAGAGCAACGGGAGTTCACTCTGTCACGAGGATTCGAACACCGGCGGTGACCTTCCAATCGGCAAGCCTAAGAGACCCAGTGGTTTAGACCAAGAGGCTCAGTGGTTTAGTGCAGAGCTGTAGTGCACCAATGGCAAAAACACCCTGTGGGAGGGGGAGAGACTACTTTGGCCTGCTTCATATTCTGTTGCATCCTTAGACTGTTTTCCTTGACTAATAGCTTATATATTTATTCCCATTTTGAGTAGATTTTTAGGTATGGAAAAACCTGCATTAGAATAACTTTTGTCATTTGGACACAATGTCAAACGTTGTTGTTAGACGAATATTATTTCACTAATTACTTAACAGTCTTGTCATTTATTGAGTGAGCCAACCTGAGTTAATACATTGCATTCATTTCCCTTTGGTATGAATTGCAGATGAGATTATTTATGCCTCAAATGTTGCTCCATCTGGTGAAACTGAGAATAGAAACATTGAAATAGGAGCTTTTAAAGTTACCAAATATAGAAGTATTATGTGGTTACAATACCAGAAAAGGCTGGTCCCCTTTAATAGTGTTTTGGATGTGGATTTGAGAACCTAGGCTTCAAATCTAAGGTTGACTACAAACTCATGAGTGGTCTTTGATATATTGCAGAACCTACCTCAAATTTAATTTGAAAATGAGAATAATTATTACATAGTTTATATAGGGATGCATTAAAAAAGGACTTCAAGCCACTTCAGACTTTGACAATTCATTTTGAAACATTTGCTCTGACTTAGCAGTTGCACTGCCATTATAACATCCTTGCAATACCAACAAGATTTAATGTTTTTCCTTTTTAAAATGATGTTGGTGGACAAATTGGGAGATGTCTTCCTAGGAATTTTTTTGCTGATGTTGCATGTCTTAGCTATAAAAGTACTATGTAAATAATTTATAATGGCTATCTTTAGAAAGATCTCTTAAGTTACTGTAGCTGTAAATTGCTACTGCAGTGTTTTCAGATCAAGGAAGCAGGCTTAAAAATAAAATAAAATCAATGGTTTATCACCCCCACCACCATCTGGTAAAAAAGGTGCACTAGAGCCTGCTCTGCATAACTGACACCAGCCATTCTGATATGAATTAATTTGATAAATTAATATGAAGCATACTTTTAGCTTGTGAATGAGACCTGGTAAATTAGGTTTCATGCGGGCATCAAACTTGATATAGTTCTCTGCATACTTTTAAAAAATGTACATGGCTTTCCAAACTGATATTTAACTTTCCTCTGTCACCAGTACAATCTTTCAAAGCAACCAAAGTTTCAAAGCAGCTCTTGTACACCGACCACAAAAGAAAGAACTAACAAAAATAGCATTTATTTAGGAGAGCGGAACATAAATTTGGACAAATAAAAAGGAACAGAAAATAGTACTCCATCTAGCATACTGACTTATTTCATATTTTAGATTCCCTGAACTTGTGTAAAATACCTAGGACAGAAGTCTTACTTGTGCAGTTTTTAGCCTTTTTCCTTCTTCCTTCCTCCATCCTTTGTATTTAATACCTTTGTAACGAGTGTGATCACTGGAGTTCCACTCATGCTGGAGAAAGGGAGCAGGGAGGTATTTCTGTTGATCCATCCCAATGCAGACCCCTGTAAAACTGCCCTGGAGGATTGTGGGATTCTCTAGATCACCCTGGGAGCTTTTCCTTGGGTCCCAGGGAGGGAATCAACTCTCTCTCCTTCTTCCAGCAGAGAGTCTCTGCTAGATTTTGATTCCCTCTACAAATGAAAAGAGCTCATCTTCCGCTCTAGGAGAGAGACTGTGGGATCAAACCCAATATTAGTTCATTGTTCAATGGAAAACATCAGAGTAGAATGCAATTCCATACAGAAATGGGATAGCATTACATATTAAAAGGACTTTGCCAAGTAATGTGGAGTTGACTGAATGAAGGAAACTGGCTCAACAGGGATACTGGAGGCACACAAAGATTTTCTAGAAACACTGGAAACTGCTTTTATACCAAGTCAGAGCATTAATGCATATAGCTGAGTAGACTCTACTCTGACTGGCAGTGCCTCTCCAGAGATTAGACAGGAGTTTTCTCCAGCCCCACCAGAGAATGAATCTGCAAAACATATGCCCACAGCTCTTACCACACAGCAAATGGCTGTGTATGCTTATGGTGAAGGTGGAGAAATCTGAACTCTGTTGTACCTTCCACCATGGGACGTAGCCACAAATTTTGTTGGGGGGCAGGCTTTTGTTAGGGAGGGCAGAACCTCAGATTTGCATTTATTTCGATTGGTTATTTGGGGGGGCAGCTGCCCCCCAGCCCTCCTTGGCTATGCCTTCCACACTCAGGTACAACACCCGCACAGGAGAAGATCATACCCTTTGTTATGCAGACTCCAGAATTAACAGCTGAAACTTATAAAAAGCAAAGCCTTCTTTCTGACTCTTGGCAGGGGACCACGATGACTGTATTCATGGAAATGATGACAAGCAAACTGACTCCTGCTCGCCCAGCTATGCACACTTGCTCACTTGTTAGGAACTTTGATGTGTATTGATGTTACAGACCCATACGAGGCAGAATCAGTCACCAGCAATCCATTTAAAGTTTTCCAGTGAAAAGTGAAGTAATTTCAGAATCAGGAGCATAGTAGGGAAAGTGACTAACTAAAATCTGCAAAACAGAAAGGATTTTCTGGAATTCATGGTGATTATCAGTACGCTGTCTTCCTTACGTCTCGCCTATTACTTATATGCTCGGTGGTTGGAGGTGCTACTGTGGTCTTAGCTATTCTTTCCTCCCCTCGCCTTCCCGTGCACTGTGGTGCTGCAGATAACAATTGCTGCTCCACACCTTGTGAGTTTTTAATTTTTAAGCAACCCACAATATGATAGCTAACCATGTCATTGATGTTACATGTTGTTAGGCCCATAGTTTGCACAAAGAGCTGGCTTCTATGAGTTAATTATAGCTGCTTCTGAGTGAAAATCTGTCCCATCCCACCACTCCTCTGGCCCAAAGGTGATATGAAAGTCAGGCAAGGAAAATATAGTTAGGCTATACTGACCTATATATCAGTAATCCGTATGTCGCTATTCTTTTGGATGGAAAATGAGAAAGAGTAAACAATACAGATTAAATTCAAGTGAGTCATAGTTACACATTCCAGTTTGTGGTATGGCATGAGGTGTTTTACACAGCAGTAAAAAATCTACTTGCTGAAGCTAAGTTGATCTAGGTCTTAGCAATACTTGGGTGGGAGATAGCCTGGGAAAGTATACCAAGATGGAATCATAGAATCTTAAGAGTTAGAAGGGACCCAAGAGTCATCTAGTCCAACCCCCTGCAATGCAGGAATCCCAGCTACAGCATCCATGACAGATGTCAATCCAACCTCTGCTTAAAAACCCCCAAGGAAGGAGAGGAAGAAATGCAAGATATTAAATGTATAATTAATTAATAGTAACAAATCACTAGAAGTGAATGTGGTTAGAGCTTATATACTTTCCCATTAACATTATCTTAATTCTTTTAAGGTATGCAAGTACTATATACCTGTTTATCTGTTTATTAAGATATGCCCAATATGGTAAAGCCATTCAGTGATTTATGACTTGAGCTTTCTTTCCTGAATGAATAACTAAAAGATACTTTGAATAATATTCACACATACATTTTAAAGACTGTAAAATCAAGAAACTAATCATTATTATTATTCTTTTGTATGCCACAGGTGTTTTCCGAAGATTGTAGGCTGAACCTACCCAGAAGCAATTTTTACCAAGACGACATGATGCTTGAGATGATGGAACAAATGGGAGAATGCTTATGGATTTAAAATTACTGTATTTATCCAGTTGTTACGGTTCAAGAAGTCCTAGAAGATTAATTTATCCTGTTACTATTTGCACACCTACTAAAAATTGCTTCTGATGCAGCTGAGAAAAATGCAGTCCATTAAAACAGAACAGGCACCCGCTGATACAAGTAGCAATGTGGACAAAATTATGGCACTTAGTTCTACATTAGGAGATGTATCTGATGACCTAGCTACTGGCGATGAAATGCTACTCAGTGAAGGAGGCATTGCAAAAAACAAGTCTTCAGCATGCCGGAGAAAGCGGGAATTCATTCCTGATGAAAAGAAAGATGCCATGTATTGGGAAAAACGGCGGAAAAATAATGAAGCTGCCAAAAGGTCTCGTGAAAAGCGGCGGCTAAACGACCTTGTATTGGAGAACAAACTAATTGCACTGGGAGAAGAAAATGCCACTTTAAAAGCTGAGTTACTTTCACTGAAGCTAAAGTTTGGTTTAATTAGCTCTTCAGCATATGCCCAAGAGGTTCAGAAGCTCAGCAATTCAACAGCTGTTTATTTTCAGGAGTATCAGAATGCCAAATCAAGTATTAACTCTTTCATTGATGAGCATGAACCACCAATGGTGGGCAGCAGTTGTATATCTGTCATTAAGCACTCGCCACAAAGCTCTTTATCCGATGTGTCTGAAGTGTCATCAGTAGATCATGCTCAAGTGAGCCCTATACAAAATAATTGCAAAAATCCTGAAAATAAGTTCCAGCTCATAAAGCAGGAGCCAATGGAACTGGAAAACTATGCAAGGGATTCGCGAGATGAAAGAGGCTCCTATACAACATCCATGTACCCAAATTTCATGGGGAGCAACTTTAGTGGGTACTCACATTCCCCTCCACTGTTGCAAGTTAACAGATCCTCTAGTAATTCTCCAAGAACTTCAGAGGCTGATGACGGTGTTGTTGGAAAGTCATCAGATGGAGAAGATGAGCAGCAGGTACCTAAAGGCCCAATCCACTCTCCTGTTGAACTTAAAAGCAATCATGCCACAGTTAAAGTCCCAGAGGTGAGCTCTTCTGCACTGCCTCATAAGCTTAGAATTAAGGCTAAGGCCATGCAGATCAAAGTGGAATCATTGGATAATGACTATGATGCTACCCAGAAACTAACGTCACCAATTGATATGTCATCTAAAAGGCATTTTGAACTCGAAAAGCACAATGTGCAAAATTTGGTACATACTTCTCACACTCCTTTCTCTGTCCAAGTGACTAATATTCAAGACTGGTCTCTGAAACCAGAGCACTGGCACCATCAAAAGGAATTAACTGAAAAAAATCAGAGTGGCTGCAAAACGGGAGCAGCTGACATTAAAGACAATTCCTACAAAGTGTCTGAGACAGAGAACTTGTATTTGAAGCAGGGCATAGCAAATCTGTCTGCAGAAGTTGCTTCACTTAAAAGACTTATAACTACACAACACATGTCTGCTTCAGACTCTGGCTAAATGACTACTGAATAAATGCTTATTGTTTTAAAGGATGTCATTTGCAGTAGATTGATATGTTTTGTATTATGCTGAATTTTCACTGGACTTGTGATGTCATTTCACTGTAATGTTCACATGATGTCTGATGGTGTGTTTTCGTGCACAGATGACTATAAAGGCTAGATTGTCATGATCACTATGCCTTGTGTATAGTTAAGTAGCCTGTGCAAAGGCTGTATATAGTGAACATTATTTTTCTGTCGTTCTGTTACTATAAAGTGTGAAAGTTGCCAGTTCCAATAAACAATTGGTGACAAGCACAGAACTGGTATGTCGTCGGTCCATTTCCATTAACATGTCCTGAGAACCATCTCCATTATCTTAGTTATAGGTGTCTTGATGTATGTATTAGTTATAAGAGAGGAGTGTTTCCCTCCCACCCTGCCCGTGGCAAAGCCCTATCCTCCCCTATGCTCCTTGGGAAGTCTTTGAAAATTAAATGCCATTTCTGACACATAGATATGGGGAGATGGTGGAATAATACTGGTTTTCCCACAGGGACTGGATAACAACAACAACAACAACAAAATATTATTTATATTCCACCCATCTGGCTGGGTTTTCCCAGCCACTGTGGGTGGCTTCCAACAGAATATTAACAACATGATAAAATATCAAACATTAAAAACTTCCCTAAACAGGGCTGCCTTCAGATCTCTTCTGAAAGTCAGGTAGTTGTTTATTTCCTTGACATCTGATGGGAAGGTGTTCCACAGGGCGGGCACAACCACCAAGAAGGCCCTCTGCCTGGATCCCTGTAACTTCACTTCTCGCAGTGAAGGAACTGCCAGAAGGTCCTCGGAGCTGGACCTCAGTGTCTGGGCTGAACGATGGGGCTGGAGAGATGAAAGTATACCTCGGTTAGCACCAACACTTTGAATTGTGCTAAAACTGTCTGACAGAATGGGTGCGACAAGAAACAAACTATGTTCTCCAACCTAAGAGGTTTAGAGATGCTCTTGTAGTCCAAGAAAATGAAAAGCTGAAACCTGAAGCCTTTAGCAGGCAAATATTTTAGTCATAGTTTTGTTTTATTTTTATTTCTGTTTTATTAAATTTGTATCCCACCATTCCAAAGAAGCCTGGCGTGGCAAACAACCAACAATGAAAACATCTTAGAAACAATTGCAATACAGATGAGGACTTGGAAAAATCTCAACTTAAAAGGCTTGTTGAAAGAGGTAGGTCTTGAGTAGGCACCAAAACGACAACAGAGAAGGCAGGGAATTTCAAAGGGTAGGTACCACAAAACTAAAGACCCAATTCCTTCACTGTGTGGAAAAGATCTCCTGGTAAGATGTTATCTGTAGGAGGCCCTCACCTGCCAAGCACAGTTATCAATTGGGTATTTCTTGTAATGGATGTTTTTTTTTTTTTTTTTTGCAGTCTTCAGTAGCTGCTAGTGGCTTATTAAAACACCTTACTTATAGAAGACATCTTATCTATATAGTATGATGTTGCTCTTTGTATGTATTTTAACCCCACTTTTGCATTTAGACATCTATTCCTGCCTCCAATAAAACTCAGTTAATATTTTTGTTTCACTTACCAAATATAGATACTAGTAATCCATTTTGTTGTAAGAGAGGTTTGTTTTCTACAACCAAAGGATTTAATTCACTCAAGAACGACTTGTGGTCTTTGTCATACAGTCTGTTGCAAACCTGTTTCAACAGGAACTTGACATCAAAATGAATTCTTCAGAGCTTATTAGAATTCATGTTCTAGTTACTTTGTTTAATAGTCAGGGATAGTCTGGCTTTTAAGAGCTACTGCAGTCTTCTGAAGCCATATTTTCCTTTCCTTAGATGATTTTCTGTTTCTTAAATAATATACTGTAGATTCTCCCCTGGTCCTCAAGTACACTTTCATCTTAAGAGAACGTTGACATGTCCTATTGTAACAAAAATAATTTTCAAATTCATCTGACATGATGATAATGGAAAACAAATCCATAAGAAACCTGCCATCTTTCCCCTTGGTTTCATCTGTTATGTAAAAATAGGCATGATCTGTGGTGACTGACTATAGCTTTTTCATGTGATCAGGTTAATGTGGTAAGGGTATATCCACATAGTGACTTATACTATCAATCCCCACTAATAACCTGTGCTATCCCTTGAACTGCACTTTCTAGGGTTTATAAGTTCCAGTGTTTCATAAACTAAGTCCTGAATGTGTTAGTAGTGGTTGCTGAAAGTTTTGGATCTCCTTTTATCTTAGGGGTGGGGAAGCTATGGTTTTCCTGAGGATGCTGGGCTCCCATCAGGCGCAAGCAACTATAAGGTCCGAGTGCAACACTCTTAACGATTACGCCACACTGGCTCCCTTTAAAAAATCTATTAATACCATTCTGTCTCTCTTATCATTACCTGCCTATTTCAGTGTCTTTCGAAAACCACACGTGAATGGACCCTCCCATTTTTATTTGTTAACATCCCATCAAAGTTAGCACCAAGGGCTATTTCACATTGTATTTCCACATACAGAACTTTTGATATCTCCACATATCACTTCATATGCAATGCATTTCAGTGGAGTCAGTTCATGCACTCACCCCCCAGTCCTCAAAGGTACAATAGTCAAACAGGAAATTCAGCGGAACAGAGAAGCACACATCTACGTATATGTAAATATGGTACGATGATTCAAAAGACCACAAGCCCAACTTGAAAACATAATAGAAAACAGTAAGTGATGAACCCAGAGTTTAGAAGTGAGTTTACAGAGTTTTAGTTTGGAATTTCTAGGTTAATCACAAGGCAAACCCAAACCTTTCTAAATTTCAGGTTCAGTTCAGTTAGTTTGGCTCCTTGCCCTTTAACACTTAGCGGTGCTAGGTACATTTTTGGTGGAAAAGACTGCTGCTCTGGCCTTCATTAGTTTCTACAGCAACAATGGTGGCTGTCAGGATTGCTGAGCATTATGAGATTCTCAGGATACCTGGATTCTTAAAAATCCTGGTGCCTAGAACACTGTCCCCCCACTTAATGCAGGGGTTATGTTGGAAAGTATTGGGGGGGGGGGAGGTTCCTGTGTATCTGAATTGACAAAAGCCACATTTTGATTAGGTACTTGTGTATCACTTACACTTTGAGGTAACCCATGTTTTCTTAGCTGAAATGGTTTCAAAATTTCAGAGTTTCCTTTAGCTTATTCATAATAATGTATGAAAATGCATTTGGAAATGGGGAAAAATGAAAAGAAAAGAAGTACTACCAGATGAATGCCAGTAAAATTAGTGGAGCCCTAAGTTTAAAATATGGCTTTTATTACCACCATATTGTCTTAAAAATACTTCTTACAGCTCATTGCACAACACGAGCTGGGTAACCACATGATTACGAGAAAACAATTTTCATTGCAAAAGTGAACTAGCATGAAAGTTCTGGTACAGAACATCATGTCCAAGGGTGAACTGATACATGGCCAAGTGCTGAAATCCTTATTCAGTGTAGAATTCTGAAATGAATGGCTTTATGATTGCAAGAGAACAGGGGAACTCAACTCTTTTCCAGCACAGGAATAACATAAAAAATAAAGGAATTACCATAGATTGGGAAGGAGTTGTGTGTGAAGGTTTGGACTTAATGACCATGAGGATCTCTCTTACAAGCTGTGTGCGTCACATGGAGATACAGTAAAGAACTGAATATAGAATATCATTCTAGAATCCTTAGAGGCAAGAAGCTACTAGTGCATTAAGGCTTCAATCCTAGACACATTTAGTGGGAAGGAAGCCCCCCTGAAGACAGTGGAATTTACTTCTGAGTAAACAGAGGATTGTACTGCACATCCTCCTCTCGTTGCAGAAGAACAATAATCTATTATGGATGATAAGGCACCTGGAAAAGACTGCAAAAATCTAACCAAGTACTGTGGAAGCAATGCCAGAAGCAGGCTACACCTGTTTGCAAATTAGCTCACTAGGAATTACATGATGAAAGGGCATTAAACTTATAACTTTTACAAAACACATTACTCATATCTTCTGGCAAACCACCCACTGATTCTCAGAAGCTTTGTGTCAAAATGCTCAACACTAGTTTTATTATATGGTGTACTTAATCTGCCTTGTGACAGTATAAACTTAACGACATGCAGATAAAATAATTGAATTTCCAGTGGTATTTATGGGACGAACCATAGCTCTGCCTTAGAGCACAAGCTGCACGCAGAAGGTCTCAGATTCAATTTCTGGTATTTCCAAGTTGGGCTGGGAAAGAACCTGGCCTGAAACTCTGGAAAAATGGTATCAGTTGGTGTTGACAGGTCCGAGAGCCAGTGTGGTGTAGTGGTTAAGAGCGGTAGTCTCGTAATCTGGGGAACCGGGTTCATGTCTCCGCTCCTCCACATGCAGCTGCTGGGTGACCTTGGGCCAGTCACACTTCTTTGAAGTCTCTCAGCCCCACTCACCTCACAGAGTGTTTGTTGTGGGGGAGGAAGGGAAAGGAGAATGTTAGCCGCTTTGAGACTCCTTAAAGGGAGTGAAAGGCGGGATATCAAATTCAAACTCTTCTTCTTCTTCTGAGATAGATGGACCAATGGTTGGTCTTACTTGGCCCTCAGGTAATTTCTCCGCAGCTTGAAAGAGGGAACAAGCATCAAGCTAATCACACTTGATACAGTGTTCTAGCTACTAAGCTAGATTATTGTTATAACATAGCCTCCAACATTTCTCTGATGAAAATAGGGACATCCTATTCAATAATACCTCGCCCAGTCAGATAGGCAGGGTATAAATATTATTATTACTACTACTACTACTACTATATTACTATTTATACCCCGCCCAGTCACTCTGGGTGGCTTCCAACATATAAAAACATTTAAAAAATTAAACATTTAAAACTGCCTTCAGATTGCTTGGGGGTCTTCAGATGCCTCGGGCGTCAGATAACTCCATACCCTCCAACATTTTTCTGATGAAAATAGGGATGTCCTAAGGAAAAGTGGGACATTCTGGGATCAAATCAGAAACTGGGATGGCTTCTGTAAATCCAAGACTGTCCCTGGAAAATAGGGACAGTTGGAGGGTCTGTTATAATGGTAAACTTTTCCCATCATATGCTTTCTGACTTTGATTTATTCATATTTAATGCCATGTATATTACACACTGCTATTCTTTATCACTATAAATGTTTTGCTCTTCACAAAGTATAGGTAAAGGGGATCCCTGAACATTAGGTCCAGTTGTGACTGACTCTGGGGTTGCGGCGCTCATCTTGCTTTATTGGCTGAGGGACAGCTTCCGGGTCATGTGGCCAGCATGACTAAGCCACTTCTGGTGAACCAGAGCAGCGCACAGAAACGCCGTTTACCTTCCCGCTGGAGTGGTACCTATTTATCTACTTGCACTTTGATGTGCTTTCGAACTGCTAGGTTGGCAGAGCAGGACCAAGCAACAGGAGCTCACCCCATTGCGGGGATTCGAACCGCCGACCTTCTGATCGGCAAGTCCTAGGCTCTGTGGTTTAACCCACAGCGCCACCCGCATTCCCCTCCACAAAGTATACAAATATATAAACCTCCTGCATTGAACACTGATGATTTTTAGAAATATTTCTGCATTTTGGACCATTGCAAAATTATACCTCAGCAACTGGAAAACCTGGGTTGTTAAAGAATCCGTTCTTCAAAAGAAAGCACAGGGAGTCTTGTCATACCTTCTCAATAAAACTTAATTAAATTCAACTTAATTAAATACCTTAATTGAAACACACCCAAGTAATGGAGTTAAGCAACCACCCCCAATCTAGTGTCTTTCTGATGTTTTGTACTACAATTCCCACTAGCCTTAGCCAGCATGTCCAGTGCTCAGGAATGGTGGTAGTAATCCACAAACATCTTTAGAGCACTTAGCTGGGAAAGGCTGGGTTTGAAGAATGGATGCATCTTAGCAGGAAGTTTAATCTTGAAGCATGAGCTGACAATTAACTAACAGAGAAAAGGTGGAGGGGGGGAAATAAGACAAAGTGGGAACTGTTGTTAAATGTTTGTGACTAAGGAGTGGGCAGGCAATGACTTGCGGTGGGGAAGGGAAGAATAGCATATGGCATGCAAGGAAGAGGACAGGTTGGAAGAGGAAATGTTTTTCTTGGATATGTTATGGTCTACTCGGCTGCTGGTTTATTTATATCATGAAAAGTGATCCAAGCCATTTTTTTCTTGCTCAACGTGCAAAATGGCAAAATTACAAATGCAGATGTAGCAAGACCGTTGAGAATGCTGGGAATGCAAATGAAAATGCAGTTCCCCTGAGAACTGATGAGCTGCTCTAAGGGGAAATATATTTATATATAAATCTCGCACAAGAACACATACACAGTGTCGGTCTATATGTAGTTTTAAGAATTTGACCCAGTATGTTTTATAGTGGTTTGAGCTAGTATATAAATCTTAAAGTGTACTTCTGTAAGTCCACCAGCTGTCATTTCGACCAGCACCCACCCTGTCCCAGAAAAAAACAAATTACACTGGCTGTTGAAATCATCCCGTTGTTTGTTTTAAGCCTTAGCTGAGCACATTTCCCCAACTTCCACTAGTGCACTGGGAATTCTTCTGTTTTGATGTTTGACTAATTCTGGCACTTAAAGGTTATGGGAACTAACATTAAGCTGGGGGGGTAAATGGCAACAAAAATGTAATGAAATCAGAAGGATTTCTCTCAGCATAGCTGATTAACTGCAACATTGGGTTGAAAGTTAAGTAAACAGAAAGGCATGGGAAAAAACTACACGAGGGAAAGTGGCCAGAGATGGCTATTTTTATTCCCACAAAACGCTTCCATTGCAAACTGTTGAATTCAGTGCAGTATTTGGAATAGATCCTGTCAAACTGAAACCACAAACACATGCAACACCGCAAGGTAGGAGGAGGAGGAGGCACTGGGGGGAGTGGGGAGCCTTTGGCCTGTATGGCAGATGTCAGTGGAAGATGGACTTTGCGTTTCAAATGCTGTCAACACATCAGGTTGTAACATTTTTTGATCACCTGCCAACTGTTGCACAAGCATTTAAATCAATAAATAATTTTCTGCAACAGGAAGCATACGTCCATGTTCCCACAATCTTTTAGCAAGTCTTATCCCGTATGTTTCACAGATGTTCCCCTTAAGAGACTGAAAAGCTAGATTCGAGACAAATAAATCTCATGTGTGGCAATTTCCCTTCTAGTGAATAAAAACAGGTCCCTTAACAAATCCTCATTTGACATAAACAAACCCTAGACTTTTGAAAAGTTTAATTTTGTTTCAGCTTTTCTTTTTAATAATATCATTATTCACCAGAAGCGGAAGCTTGCAGATGGGATTGTAGTATTATTCAAAATAAATTGTATCTTCCTTTATTTTATTAATTCTATATTGAGGGGCAATCAAAATATGTTTCTATTCCTTATTGAATGGCAAAACATATTGCACTTTACTACTATATTCCGTATCTTCAAACGGCAACATTTTTCGAAGACCTGTTAGAAGTACTAAAGGGGGGTCGGAATCATGTGCCACTTGACAAAAGTTGCTAGTCAGTAAGATTTTAGGCAGGGTAGATTATTCTGTTACAACTGCAATGTGACAATCTGGATTTGCAGCAACAAGATGAGGATGAGCTCAATTCCAGAACAAGATGATAACTAAGAAAGTTTACATTTTTATTTATTTACATCATTCTTATCTTGCTTTCAAATTCAGGGGACTGTACATGACAACTCCCATTTTTATTTTTATAGGTGGCACTAAGCCCCCTAAAAAGTAGCCCAACCCCCACTGCACAGAGCCCTATGTTTTCTAAAAGGAAAAAAAAAAGTTTCACACAGACATTATGCAGAGTGTTTGAGGACTGGGACATTTACAGGGAAACCAAAATGCTTGTTTAGAAAGCTGTTGTATTACCAACCTTACTATATGCTTATGAAACATGGACCATTTATAAACACCATCTCCAACTCCTCGCAAGATTCCATCAATGGTGTCTCCAAAATTTTTTACACATCACTTGGGAAGACAGGCAAACTAATACCAGTGTACTGGAAAAAGCAAAGATCACCAGTATTGAAGCAATGATTCTTCAACATCAACTTTATTGGACTTGTCATGTTGTGCGGATGCCTGATTATCATCTTCCAAAGCAACTACTTCCATTCCCAACTTTAAAATGGAAAGTGTAATGCTGGTGGTCAACAAAAGAGGTTTAAAGACTGCCTCAAGGCAAATTTTTTAAAAGGCAGTATAAACACTGACAACTGGGAAGCACTGGCCTGCAAGCGCTCCAGTTGCAGAACAAAGGTGTCATGGACTTTGAAGAAGTTCGAACTCAGGACACAAGGGAGAAACATGCTAAGAGGAAGGAATGCTTGGCAAATCCACACCGTGATCAACTCCTGCCCATAAACCAATGTCCCCACTGTGGAAGAACATGTGGATCCAGAATTGGGCTCCACAGTCACTTACAGACTCATTGTTAAAACCATGTTTATAGAAGATAATCTTACTCAGCTGCAAGTGATTGCCAAAGAAGCAGCAGAAAAACTAGAAATTAAAATAAAGATGCAATCCTTAGCATGCTTACTTGAAAGTTACCATATTTTTCACTCTATAAGACGCACCAGACCACAAGACGCACCTAGTTTTGGGAGGCGGAAAACAAGAAAAAAAATATTCTGAATCTCAGAAGCCAGAACAGCAAGAGGGATCGCTGCGCAGTGAAAGCAGCAATCCCACTTGCTGTTTTGGCTTTTGGGATAGCTGTGCAGCCTGCATTCACTCCATAAGACGCACACACATTTCCCCTTACTTTTTAGGAGGGAAAACGTGAAGTCTTATAGAGCAAAAAATACGGTAATTCTATCACCATCAATAGGATTTACTTAAGAGAAAATTGGCAGTAGAGAATAGACCATTTGGATGCTTTTCTCTTTTACAAACAAAACACGTGAAACAAATATTGCTTCCTTCCCTTTGCTTAGCCTAATATTTTTTCTGGTGATACTACTGAGTTGATCCTCCCAACAACCCTGTGAAAGGTAGGTTAGGCTGAGAGAGAAGCCTCGGCCTTAGTTAAACATGAATCAACCAGCTTGTCTTTTTAGACAGAGCATTGACGCAACTGAAGAAACATCAAGAATGTGTTGAATTCCAATTGTATCAGCATTATAGTTAACAATATGCTCAGGTTTTTAATATTCATTAAGTAGGAATGCTATTATTGCGGTGAGCCATGGTGGAAGACCACTTTGCCAAAGAATGATCAACTTGAGAAACCAGATGACTTCAAACCTCAGTTTTAATCATCTGGATCAAATGATGGTTTCTTTAATCAAAGGCAAACCACTGCTTCCTTCAGAGAGCCAGGAACCTTCCTGTGCAAGAAATGTTTAGCAATGAACTATAGACGGATCTTCTGGTATATGAAAATTAACTAGGAAAGGTTTAAGAGCATATATGATGTCTGTACCATTCTGCAGCGTGAGACAGGAAACTCATCCAAACGCATTGAGCTGGTACCTGGAAACCTTTGGCTTGAGCCTTTAAATGCTTGCCAGTGTTTTTGCTTGAGGTCCTTTGCTATTTCCAAAGAACTAGGACTCATTACAAGCAACAGAATACCCACTCACCCCACAGCTTTGGTGCTACAAGCAAAATCTGTACCCATGCTATGGTTGTTCATACTCCCAGCCTCTGTCTTTGATAACGCATTTTCTGGGATCAATTACTATACTTTCCCGTCTATAAGACTCCCCCAACTATAAGATGCCCCCTGTTTTGGGGGACTCAAATTTAAGAAAATGGCGGTGGTGGTGGTGGGGAGATGGCTCAGAGTTGTTGAGCTTTTTTGAGAGGACTGGCCAGAGTTTTACAGCTTGGGGGGGGGATTGCCAAAAATCGCTCACATGCAGCATAGACGCTGACAGTCGCTGGCAGCAGACAATTGCCCACTTGCCACAGCGACAGCCAATTGCATACAGACCCTTCCTCAGCAAAAAATTTCTTACCCAACTGAGAAAAGCTGTCCACTGGCAATTGTGCACGTTCCCAAAACAGAAGCCACCAATTGTGGCAGCGACAGCCAATCAACAGCAGTGTTTGCTGCAGAAGCCAATCACCAACCCAATTAGAGAAGCAGCAGCCAATCCAAAGCAGCCCTTCTAGCAGTCACCAATCGTCGCTGACAAGCTCCTGCTTGCAGCTGCAGCCAATCACCCGTCCACCCCATTCACTATCCTTGTATAAGACGAGGGAAGTTTTTGATCATAATTTTAGAGTAAAAAACCCTCGTCTTATACATGGAAAAGTACGGTAATATTTCTATTGCATTGCACATTAGAAAACCTTCACTGCTCTTCTTAGTTTCTCTGGATATGCTATGCAGGTAACTTTAGGAGAGATTTGGTTCTTGATGTCTTTCAAATGTGAAGATAAAACAGAACTGAGCTTATAAATGTACTTTAAAGGTGATTTATGATGTGGAAAGCCAAACTGCATCAGAAAAGTTTTCCCCCCCAAAAGATCAACTAAGTCAGCTTCTTAATAATGTGCGAATATCTCAAGCTGCAAACTGAGATGCTTGTTTCTAAAAACTATTTGCAATTTTCTGAGCTCATTATTTTCAAAAGAATTATGTCTCAGACAAATAGTTGAAATTCCACAGTATGAATCATAGAAATTTGAGGACAAAACTAATTGTCTCATCTTCTTTAACAGTGTTGGAATGTTTAGGGGAAGAGGGCAGACACACATTTTCTCCAGTATTTAGCTAACCTAACCACAAGCCCACAAGACTTAAGTCACCAGCAGTTGCACTGAGACAAATACACAATTAAATGATCTCAATGGTATTTCTTTGAGCAAATGGTTTCAGGATTTCAGGCTTAGATTTAAATATAAAGTCATCTTATCATGTTTCATCCTGTTCTGATGGAAGCTAACATGACTGTTAACTTGGATGGAGCCTTTCCATGTTCAAAGCCTATTGGAGTGCCAACAGCAGTAAGCACCACAATTTTACCAAGGTATTCAAGTCAGCATATGGGGAATTATACCATATTAGTTTCACAGCAACCCTGTGAGGAAGATGCCCAGTAAGCTTCATGGCTGAGCAGGGGTTTGAACGCAAGAGTGCATATAGCTATCCTTTAAAAAAAATAAAGAAGAGGGCTTGCCATATTTTTAAAAGTGATGTGGAATAAACAGAGTTACTCTGTCTTCTCAATGCTTTTGCTAGATAGTGAATCTAATGCTTTAAAGTCACTGGGCTTGACCTCCCCTCCCTAAGTGCTAGAGGCAGGTGCTATGCCTTTTATTTATTGAAATGCTGCTTACAAGTTTATTGAAAGTGATGTTTTCGTTTTGGGTTTTTAAATAAATTCCATTTAAAAACACACCCAGATGTGTGGAGACCAGTCTGGAATATAAAGATTTGGTCACAAAGGTGGCCTTAGGTCACATTGTATCAACTTGTTTTTGGGACATAGGGGAAGGAGATATTATTATTATTAATAATAATTTATATGCCACTGATCTGACCAGGCTGCCCCAGCCACTCTGGGCTGCTTCCAACAAATTATAAAACCACAGTAAAACATCAAACATTAAAAACTTCCCTATATGAGCAAGATGCCCTTGGTGGGGTCCCCTTCCTGACTGGACTTACTTTCTCCTCACCACTGCCACGGCTGCCTTTTTCCTGGCTTTTACCTTTAAGCTAAACCTGTACCACATTCCAAAGTGGGAGAGCAGAGCAACTGGAGGATACTACTCAGGGCCAGCCCACCCATGAGGCAAGGTGAGGTGACTGTCTTGGGTGGCAAGATCCACAGGGGCAGCAGATTTAGCCTCCAAGGAAAGCATTGCCCGCTGCTGCAATAATGGTTACCGCATGCTCCTTGGAGGCCAGATCTGCCTCCTTGGCAGCCCCCTCACATGCCGCCTCTACAGTGGCCTCTTGGTGAATAGGAGGCACTGCTGGTCTCCTCTCACCCCTAGAGAGGAAATGCCCAGGGCTGCCCTCTGGGGTCTACTGGGCTCTGCCCCTGTTCAGTGTGATTCAGAGTGCACCCACCCAAAACAGCCTTTGATGCACGCTTCAACCATCAGGCAAGTTTGACTTGATTCCCCCCTTGTTCCTGCAAAATGTCTTGGGCTGGCCCTGATGCTATTACTACTTATTCTTGTCAGTGCTTCCAAAGGGAAGGTAAACAGAGAGCAGGGAGGAGAAGAAATTATGACCAAGAGTCTTCAGGGTTTGCAAGGGCTCCTCTGCTTCTGTGTGGGGCCTTGGCAGTTGCCTGATGGTGCCAACATCTGACGCTGCCCTTTTATTGTTTTTATTTGATTTTACAGATATAAATTTATAACAAAACCAAATACATATCCATATGGAGAGATTTCTCTGAATCTCGAGACTTCCCCCCATCCCCTCCATGGGTCCTAATGTCAATGTTTTCAACTGCATATTATATCATAGTCTTATATTTTGACACTGGCCTTTTCTCATGTGGTATCCCAAGGTCTTTGGCAGAAGAGTGAAGTAACAACAACAGTGCAGTACAGTACATCGCAAGTGCTCTGGAGAGGAGAATCTGGCCTTCCAAACCTCTCTGCCAGGCCCTCAGGATACTCCCTAGACCAAACCCCTATTGGCCATGCGTTGCCTGGTTAAAATGTGCCTGTGAACTCTGATAATGCCTGGTGGGAAGACAGAGAAGGGGTTGTGTGACTGCATGTAGAAAGCAGCCTACTACGTAAAGCTAAAATTTACATTTATTGTTCCACCCAATTTTGCTTCTGGCCACACCCACCACTGGCATGTGACCCCCAGAAGGGAATTGAGTCTTCGGACTGAAAAAGGCTCTCCAGCCCGTCCTAGCACAGTACACAGCTGGTTTCTGCCCCAATCACACAGAACAACTCTTCTTGATTCTGGAGAGAAGATTGCACTTTTTGAGTGCATTCGCACAGGGGCTTCACCACGCAAAGTATGCACATTTGGATGCACCCAGGGTTGATCAACTTCAGGTCCAGTATTGTCTTTAGCCCAACACAGTTGCTTCAGCAAACGAAGCATATCCCCCCTCTGTCGTGCATCGCAAAATATTATCTACAAAGTGTCATAGATGCAAAATAATTCGGGTATCTTTCGTCTTGCGTATGGTTACACAAGCTTTCGAGACAGAACTCTCCATCAGGCAAAACAGAAAGGTTAATAATGAAAAAGTGCCTACAAGTGAAACATTAGGAGCTGTAATTCATACCCAGTAACTGTTCAAACAAGGGTCTTGGCCCCTGAATAACACCTGCAGCTCCCTCTTCCCCCTGCCAGTGGAGATAAGAGCCTGGAAATGTTTGACATCAACAGTCAAAGATCAGAAAGGACTGCCACAGACAACTCCACATATTGGGGCAATTTTTATTTCTAAGCAGGTTTCCTGGCTGAAAAGTGGAACGGAATCAAATAGGATATTGAACAGCAATGGCCCTATTCCTAAATGAATTATATGCAAAGCAGGGTATGGTACACTCAATTCTTCTGAATAAATAAGCTAATTCATAGGAACAGCAGGATTTACCAAAATATCCTCTGAGCAAATAACTCTAAAGCCACATTTAAAATGTTCAGTTTAGTAGCTGATACTGACCTGCTCAACCAATTATGCCTATGACTCATTTTCTCTAGAGCAGAAAAATACACAGGATGTTTTTTTATGCATTACCCATACTATCTATTGTTGGGTAGTTCATATTGTACAGAGTGTAACCACTTCTGCAGATTTCATTTAAGGGGAAATTACAGTGAAATTGCTCAAAAATGGTGCATAAACACTGTGCATGGATAATATACCACACTGAAAGTTTACAACAAAATTCATGTGAAAACCAATTAATCTACTCTTACTGCTCACAGTCTTCATTAACTTTAATAAGGTGTTTGGTGGTGTAAATCTAACTTGCCAACTGCTGCCAGAACCAACAAAACACGAGATCTAATTTCTTCCAAAGCAGATACAATTTCCTTCTCCCAGCTAGCTGCAAACTTGCCAGTTGTACCTTCCAGACAAAGGACTATGGATCCAAGCTGTATATAGAGACACAGGAACAGATGCTATGTGAAAAGTAAATATTTACTTCCAAGTTGTCTATGATGCTAACACTAAGAATCAATGTTTTAAAAGGGCTCTTACAAAGACCAATTCATGGAGGACAATGGCTGCTAGTGATACTGCCTATATATTCCCCAGCATCAGAGGCAATATGAATATCAGTTGCAGTTGCAGGGGGAAGATAGGATACTGACACTAGACTTCCCATAAGCATCAGAGTTTAAACGGGTATACCCCACAATCTTTTCTTGAACATACACTAAACCAGCAATTTCAGCCCCAGAGTATTAAATCCTGGGCGCAATTGCAAGAATGTGTGGGGCGATGGTATATCCCTTTTTAAAAGCAGGGTAGAGGTAAATTTCCCTGTGAAGTTTCAGCTCACAACAGCTATCTTCCTCAGTAAGGGTGGAGTTTATTAAGATTATTTGCCATTGGAGACTTACAGATCCTGATGGATTCCTGAATGCTTTTGAGAGATTTTCCAGTGGATAGAACAGGTGATCCTGTCAAGTTTCTCATCCTGCTGTAGAGATCCTGTCAAGTTTCTCATCCTGCTGTAGAATGGGGAGATGTGGCATGATCACTTCTGAGCACCCTCTCTGGTGTTGTGGAATTTGCAGTGCCTACTGGTATTCTAGGAAGTTGCATGTAACAAAACAGGATAGATGACGGCTAAAGCCTATGCCCTTTTCAAATGTGGGTTGTTGTTTTTTTTGGGGGGGGGGGCTTTATTGGATTGTTGTTTTTAATTTGATTATATATTTTGTGGTTTTATAGTCTGATTTTGTTCTGTGAACTGCCCTGAGACCTCTGGGTATAGGGTGGTATATAAATTGATTGACTGATTGATTGATTGACTGAGAGAGAGAGAGCGCACCAGTGGCATAAACCTTGATCTAAGGCCAACCGAGCCCTGGTTAGAGCACATAATCCCACCTACAATATGGCAATAAGGGTAGCAAAAAATCTTACTTCAAATGCCTCTACTGTGTCCTCAAGTAATCATAAAATTAGTACAGTGGTACCTCGGGTTACAGATGCTTCAGGTTAAAGACACTTCAGGTTACAGACTCCGCTAACCCAGAAATAGTACTTCGGGTTAAGAACTTTGCTTCAGGATGAGAACAGAAATTGTGCGACAGTGGCGCAGTGGCAGGCCCCATTAGCTAAAGTGGTATCTCAGGTTAAGAACAGTATCAGGTTAAGAACGGACCTCCAGAACGAATTAAGTTCTTAACCCAAGGTACCACTGTATTAATGTTTTAAATGATGAGTTTGGGGAAATTGTTTTGCTGATTTTATTTTGATATGTTACATACTTCACTATTATTATTATTTTTAAAAAGTGCACCTTATAAATAAATAAATTAGGGGGGAAATAAATTAATTTGGGCCACTGTAATCCTTCAATCTTACCTCCCACATCTCTCATTACAGTTTTAGATTTCAATGATTTATTTATGACATTTGCATGGCACCTGATAACACAAAGCACTGGCGATTAAAGGTTCAGGGAATAGAAACAGATGTGACTAGTGATTTGATGGTGGTTTGGAGGAGGGAACCCATAAAAATATGCAATTTCAAGAGGATCCGTTTCATTGGATTTGATCTGTGTGTATGTGTGTGCCTTCTCTCACTAACACCCCCTCCCTCCTAACCCCCTCTTTGCCTCATCCAGTCACTGTCTTCCTCCCCTATCCCCAGGTTTCCCAGATCCACTACCACTCAGTAGCTGTTCTTTCTCTTCAGCTACTGTAGTGCCAATCTGAGCCTTGAATAGCGCATAGAGCTGAAAGGGGAAGTGAGAAAAGGATTGGCAGCTCAGGTGCTGATCTGAGCTTTGAAGAGTAAATAAAGCTGAAGAGTATAAAAAACTGAAACAGGAAGTGGGAAGTGTTCCTCATACAACTTCCTCCTTTGGCTCGATACACTTTTCAAGGAGGGAAAATAGTAACCAAGCTAAGACTTACTCCAGATGTATAGGGGATAGAACAGGCATATGCTGTCTCTCTCACGTGTATATTGAAATTGTGGGTCTCTTTAAAAAAATATATATTTATAAAGTTTTCCAATTTAACAATCCAATAAAAGCCACATTAAAAACATTCCAAATTATAAAATAATCAAAGTTCAAATATTATGCCAAATTATAAATCTTTGAGTGATTCTGAAATGGGTGCCTTGCCCAATTTTCTGCAAGGTTTTGTAAGTCTACCAATGTTTTTCATGCACAATGATAAAATAACCCCTAATGTGCCATGTCCCTTAATACTTATTATAGCTTTGGAAATACAAACATTATATGACATGATAAAAATGCAAATACATTTCCATTGTTATACCACTACATTGCACTTAAGAATCATTTCTGCAAAATATAGTATGTTCTCAAATAATAGCTCCAAAATTGGTTTTCAGTTGAAAAAAGTAACCCTTTAACAATTTGGTAAATATTATCTTAAAGTTCATGGCATCTAGTAGAATCCATTCACTCACTGTGAACTCAGTAATTGCCTACTCTTGTTGAATCAATGTAAAGAAAGCAGGAGAATAGAAATGTAATTATGCCATGCTGCAGTTTAATACGCCAGAAAAATCCTTGGTTGATTTGATTCCTATAAAAAGTTATTTCCAACAAACAATATTTATAAATTGTAATTGATTATCTCATAATATTATTATAAGACTGAGATATAAAAGGACAGATTTCTCCTCTCTCAATTCAGGGCAGTCATGTCTTCTGTGTTGTCTGAGATTCTTTCTTCCTCCACAAGGAGCTAACACTCTGAAAGAACCTATGTGGCAAGTTGTGTTGCTTGTGCTCGTATTAGTCAAAAGGGAATTGTTATATCAATTTGATGAAAACAGCTCCTTCCTATCTTCCCACTTACCCATCCTCTGGCTCTCATTGTTGTTGCTATTTATTACCTGCCCTTCAGCCTCAAGTCCCATTGCTACCCATTATCCATACTGATGGAATCATCTCTCTTAGAAGAATTCTCGAACACAATATAGGGTACACAGGACCTGGCCAATGTTTTACTACCTGAGGCAACAGACTATGTGTTGTATCCAAGCAGCATACACAGAGCTCCACTCATGCCCCAAAACCTGCTCTAGAAGGTCCTCCAATCAATCCTCTGGAGTCGATCATGAGGGTGTTCAGGAAGATGTAGGGCAGAGAATAGAAAGGTGGAGTTCTATTGCATAAGTGGATCTCTGTTGTGCAACTGGAATTACAGCATTCAACACAACCAAAGATACTACAATTCCACATACAGAAGCCAAGTAGGCTGGCAACTGATTTTTACTTCAACACCAAAAATAGAATAGTATCCTTCACAACATAAATGATATCCTTCACAACATGAGGGCAGCAGGTAAGTTTAGGGGATGCAGGACAGTTTGTCTTCCAGTAAAGGAGAATGCTACCCCACAGCATGTGCCACCTAAGGGGACTGCCTCACTTTGCCTAATACTAGGACTGGTCCTCAGTGTACACTTCAATCCTATTTAAATCAAAGCAATTTGCTTCTAAGCAGTGTGCTTGGGTCCAAGATACTAACACACTTAAATCCATTTCATTTACCCGTAAGCTGGGAATAAAAGTGCTAGGAAATTATTACCGAAATTGTGCTTTTGGGATGAAGAGTTTTAAAAGGCAGAAACCTTTAAAGGAAAAAGAAAATGTTCCAATCAACATATGGGGTTATTTAGTCTTAGAAACTCAGTGCTGCACTAAACAAAGGGAATAGACAATTTGAGGAAACAGATGCCTTTGAAATACACTAAAGAGGCAGAGTGCCAAAGGGGGAATGCCATGTGTGCTGCTTGTTTATGAATGATTGATAACAATTAGGGAATATGTTTCTGTCATAGGCTTGTTTAAACAAAGAAAACCGGAGAAGACATTGAAAAAGCTTGAAAACAGGATTGGGAAAGTCAGTCCCAGGGTAACAAAATATAACTGAACACAACAAAGAAGCAAACTGCAGCGTTATTTCATACTTTCTTGGCAAACAAAAATGAATACATTCAAATACATAAAAGCTCCAGGTAGGTGGTATGATACTGAGAACTTTAATAAGCATTGCTAGTCAAGAGACAGCTCCTGGAGTCCACTGATAATAAGAAAAAAAGAACCCAGAAACCAGTTTCACAAAGGCACCAAATTTACACATTGTGAGATATGCATGAGTGGCTCCATCTGAATAGCTACCACAATGACTCAGAGGGTAAGCATTTCTAGCTATTACACATTTTCACTCTTCAATGTCTATTAACATAACATGTGTTTATTGAAAGGCAGAATTACAGCGCCTCTGGCCCCAAGCACCAGTGGGTGGAATGAGAAGGGGCTGCACTTATGAAAAACAGGTCACACTCACTCATCTTCCTCATCTTCTGTTGTTCCCAAAGTCCATTACAAGGGAGGTCCCCCTCTCATAGGAATCTCCTGGTCTTTCTTGATTCTGGTGCAACTGTTAATCATCACTAGTACCACCTGCACTAGTGCTTCATTCTATGCCTCACTGAACACATCAAAATGTCTCTCTTAGTAGCATGTTTCACTGGGATACATAAAAAAACCCACAGCCTGTGCATCACAACCTTTTGCTGTAGGGAAAACAGATCTAATATATGACAGATTCTTGAGTCTGCGGGTCATTATTATGTAGCTGATTATGTTTGTTGTGTTTATTTGATATGACTTCATTCTTTAGGCTGCGGTCCAAACCTCCTTTGCACTGGGCTGAGGGTTTTTTGGGATTGGCTGGAAGCGTCCCAACACTCAGTAGTGCTGGACCTCCATTGGCTCCCAGTGCCCTTGTTGCTCTGCCAGTATGGGACTCCCTATTCTGTCCACTGAATGTGTGAGTGAGCAAAAATCCCACTGTTGGGATCTCTACAAGAGGTAGCACACAGAAAGCCCCCAAACTTCCATGGACTACAGCCCACTTTATCATTTGCATTTGATTAGTGGACTGAAATTCACAAAGGTTTATGCTGTAATAATTTGTTAAGTCTTTAGAGCACCTCAAAACCAAGCTTTGTAATTTTGGTTGCAACAGACTAACATGGTTAACCCCCTGGATAATGTAGGGCTGTAGAAACCTTGCTCATCTTGGTACAGAGGTTTGTAGCGAGAACAAACACCTTATACATGGTGTCTCTCGCCGAATATCTTTGGCACGTGTGTTTTAACTGTCAATTGCTATCACATGCCCCAGCATTCTTAATACCTAATTTCACCCGTCTCCCAACCGAATGAACATAAAACTTTCCCACCCTCTTCTGTGGAAGTTATGTTCCAAACCAGACATTCCTCAGCTCTTGTCAATGTTCCCTTTGTAATCATGTTATAAGGTGTTCCTGCCACATTTTTTATTCTAAGTTCAGGTAGACCCTGGCCCTCTTGTATAGGTCTGGCTTGCCCCCAAACATTCCAAGGGCCTAACAAATCCAAATTCCTCATCTTCCAATAACCACCTAATCCACAAATTGAGGACACTCAACTATGCAGGAGTTCAAATGCTCAGTACCCAATATATTTATAAATTCCTATCTCAACTTAACACAGAGAGTGAGTGGTAAAAAAGGTAAACGGAAGTTGGAATATGAGTGTCCCAAGACAGATGGATGCCATCAAACCAGGCTCTTTCCTTTGGTAGATGCATGACAGCTATATAATTCACCAGCAAAACATTCCCTGTGACTGTAGCCCTGTGACTTAACAGCTACTCAATGTCTCCTTGCCGGGTAATAAATACCCTCTTTCATCAGATGCAGGCAGTTTCAATAATGTTTTAAAATTAATTTCTATGACTTCAGAAAATATTTACAACAAAATGACACCCCCCCCCATACTGGCTTTTAAATGAGTGGGATGAAATAAACCACAGTGAACAATGAAGGAGTTCTGTATATGGAAAACTCTGCTTTCATCCAAATCTTCTGACTCATACTTGAAATGCCAGTGCAACAGGAGGAGTTGCTGGGCATTTTGAAAACTGCAATGTGACACTAAAAACAGCAACATACAGCAGGCTTTTCTAGGGGATTATTCTCTGACAAAGAAATGTATTATTCACAGTGTGTACAGTATTATCAAGAATATTCAGTATACACAAAAATATGTTTTATTAATTGGTTGTATGAATACTTTATATGTTACAGCTGTAATCCCACTTACTCGGGAGTAAGCCGCATTGAACCCAATAGGACTTACTTCTGAGAAGATGTGTATAGGATTGTGCTGTAAATTATATACATTATGCATTAATTTACTTGCATACTGTCATACTGTAACATTATGAGCAATGAATATTTTAAACTGCACATGCTTAGCTGCAATTAAACATTTTCCAACACCAAAGAAAAGTGCAAATAAAGCTGAAGTAGTAGGCAGCCCCATGGAAATTCACAACTTTGTTTCTTACATAGGAAAGGGTGCCATTACACACGTGCAGTGTCATTGTTGCCTTGCTAAAAACATCAATTATCCTCTGCACATCTATGGTCAGGGAAAGTGCTTCTATGCAAGAGGACCCATGTATGATTTCCAGACAAGACTGACTTCATACATGATATAACTTTTTGAATTCATACATTGTTTACACCTACACATCCATTGCCAAAAGAGCTAAACCAACACCCAAAAATTTTAAAATGTGAGGAGCATTTGCATCTAGTTTCATGCTGTTTTTCTCCCTTCAAAAAAAACAAAAAAACCTATTTTTATCCCAACCACCTTTTTTCTGTCAAGGAACAAAGCAGTCCAACCAACAGAAAAGAAACTATTGTTTCATTGGAGCCACAACACAGCAAAACACAGAAGAACATTTTTGCAATGCATGTCTCAGTCCTGAAAAGCAATAATCTCTGCTCAGGGGGCAGCGGGGGGGACGGGACAGGAGAGAGGGACTGGGGTGGCAAAGCTCAAGTTCTTTTATTTAGTGTAATCTTGGGGTTTTTCTGTCAGCATCACTTGGGGAAGTTCTCTTTCTACAGTATTTGCTTGTTATGTTTCCTTGGTGGAGAGAGGTTGGGGTGGCCTAGGGTGTGGTTGATCATCTTTGGCTGGCTTCAGTGGTATTTGTTTGTGCGTGGGTGAGGGGGGTTGACGGGTTAAGTTAGGCATATTGAATCATATGCTGTCGGTGGGTTATGAGCTCTTTCTTGTTTGAATGGGCATTGTTATCTTGGAAGGTGTTCAGTAGGGCCAGTTCTGGGGTGACTTCTCATACCTGTTTAGTTATTTTGCTTATTTCTGGTATGACTGCGCACACTCCTTTTCTGACTGGGTCCTCGATTACTTGGTTTGGTGGGATCTGCTGGTTCAGACACAGCATATGTCTGAGAAGGGATCATGCGGAGGAGGTGCGAGGAAAAAACTGTTGTGACATTGATTTCTTTGGCAACTTGGAAGGGCTGTGGTGGGATCCAGAAAGAGCAACCTGGAGCCCCACTGACCACTTAACTGCTCTCTTCTCCATCAGCTTGGGAGCTTTTCTGAGACGCTTGTGGGGTATGATAGCATCCTTTGACATTTGAGCATCTTTATCAAGATGCTAACAGATCTGTCTGCCTTTGATCAGTTATGCTTCAAGGGAAGCTCACTAGTCCTCTGATTCTTTAATGTTTTCCAGCCCAGATAGATGTTAACCAAAGGATCTCACAATAGTCATCTCCTTACAGGAGCAAGGAAGCATAGGAGAATCAGATGCACCACAAGAGCATCTTGGATGGGATGGCTTTCAAAGAGGGCTAGACAACTGCATGGAGACCTATCAAAGGCAACTAGCCGTGATGGCTATGCTCAGCCTCCCCTGTTGGAGGGAACAGTGCTTCTGAAAAGCACTTGCTGGAACCCACACACTCCCCAAATGTATTTCACAAGGACCCTTTCCTTCCCTCTGCCCCAGTACCTGAGGGTCGTCACATCTTTCCAGGGATTTGCCAGAACAAAGTATATGTTGGGGAAAGGCTCCCTCCCTGCAAAGAAAATGGAGGAACCAGCAGGCACCTGGCCAGCCATGCTAGCACCAGTCTGGCGCATGAGGGTGGGGGGCACAGGAAGGAAGCATTCCTATAGTATAGGGTACTCAATTGGCATTTCCACCTACCTGAACTCTGAGCCTTTCCCCCTTGTTCTGGACTGCCTCTATCCTAAGGAAGATGCAAGCTCTGGCTAGAAGCCACTGGTGAGGAGAGTGTTCCTATGATTTCCAAATGTTTCAGAAGCATCTTTTTGTTCCTGTAGCTGCTTGATATCATAGCATGGCAGGGTTGGAAGGGATCCCAAGGGTCATCTAGTCAATGCAAGGATCCTGCCCACAGCCCGCCCTGGTTGGGCTCCAAACTCCAGCCTTCTGGTGACCATTGCAATTCTGCATAGTGTGGAGAAAGGGGAGAGAGAAATGTGTTGCTTATACTCTCATAACACTGATATTAGATCCACACCATGCAGCCCTTTCAATAACTAATGCCTAAGGGCCGTCACATGGAGCAAGCTTGTTTTCTCCTGCTCCAGAGGGCTGTAGGGCCTGAAGCAGTGACTCTCCTTCCTTGCAGGTTTTTAAGAAGTGCTTGGATGGCCATTGGCCATGGGTCATCTAGTTGAGATTCCTACATCGCAGGGGGTTGGACTAGATGACCCTTGGGATCCCTTCCAACTCTACAATTCTATGATGCTATATTCTAAAGAGCATCCAATGCACCTTTAAAGCACGACTTCCCCCGAAATGATTCGTGCCATTGTGGCTTCCTTCTCATAGACCTACAATCCCCAGAACCCCTAACAAACTACAATTCCCAGGATCATTTGGGGGAAGACATCTGGTTTTTAAAACAAGGATGGAGAACCTGCAGTTTGCTCACCCCCATTTCCTAGGAAACAAGAGTGGGAAGCTCAAGTGCTTCTAACAGTATGGTTATACGGAGTAACATGTATAAAATATTGAATGTAATAGGGTTATTAAGCTAATAGTATCAGAATTATTATGGGAATGTTAAGGAGAGAGGGGGGAAAGAGAGTGTAGAATTCTGGTGGTGAGTGATGATTGGATGCGGATTTGAAAGGGAGTTTGAATGTGAGGCAGTTGAGAGAAGTGGGTTCTGGAGGGGGTGGTTGGGCAACTAACTATCCAGTTTAGGATCAGTAGTCTAGTCATCATTTTTGTAATAAAGCAGTATATAAGATAAAGAGAATTTGAGGCCATAAGCTCAGGTACACACATCATCCTACAATCATTTAGTGAATCATCCATACAGTCTCCTTTGGTGAGGGTGCAGTACCTAGGATCTGGACCAAACATTGATATTTTCCTCTTTTCTAGTTTCATGGGTTTATGTTCTGTTTCTAACAATGCAATAAGGATGGGAGCTCTCTAAACACTGGGGGCTGACACACACCCCTTTTCTTCTTTAAAAAAAGAATAATTCCCCTTTGTTTTCAAAAGCACATGCATTGTCTCTTTCTTCAGGTTCTTCAGTTACATTTGTTGTGAGACATTGGTGTTACATGCAGTACAGGGTTGGGAAGAAAAGAGGGGGCAGACCAAACTATACATCAGACCAAACAAATCATAATAAGTCTCCTACTTATGCCTGAGATTAGGAAGAATATTTTCCAGTTTGGGGGGAAGGATATGGAGTCAGTCTGTACTATCCTGACAGGAAGAGGCCAAACCTTTTACTGCTCACCTCTCACACCTTTTTTTTTCTCCATGGAAGGGCCTTTTTCAAAAAGGGAAAGTTTGGGCAACTCATGCTAAAATGGTAATACGATAGGGTTTCCTAAACTTGCTGCTTTAGGACTACAATTCCCATCATCCCTGACTACTGGCCCTGCTAACTAGGGATGATGGGGAGTTGTAGTCCCAAGACAGCTGAAGAGGAACCACAGTTTGAGAAACCCTGCTGACTTGAACAAACCCAACTGATTAAGCTACCTGATGAAGGCCCCAAAGCACTCCTTCTTTATGTCTGAAATTAGGAAGAATATCTTCCAGTCGGGGTGCCAATTTGAAAAAAGTATGGGGGGCAGGTAAGCCCAGCCCCACACAATCAATCACGTGATGCAGCATGCACACACCATTTGAATGCCCATCAACTTTGGGGGGACCAGCCCCCTGACCTATTTTTTTAATATTCTGTTGGGAGCCACCCAGAGCAGCTGGGGCAACCCAGTCAGATGGGCAGCATACAAGTAATATTATTATTATTATTATTATTATTATTGAAGGGAGCTTGGCTCCTACGCTGGAGGAAGGATGTGGAGTCAGCAGCTATCCCGACAGGAAGAGAGGCTCACCTCCCATACCCCCATTTTATTTATTTTTTCTTAACTAACCATGGAAGGGGCTTTTTTTCTGGAAAAGGGGAGTTTGGACGAGTCATACAAAAAATGTATTGCGTCAGTTGATGTGGAAAAAACAAACAAAACCACGACTGATTAAGCTACCTGAGGAATGCCCAAAGCCCTCCTTCTTTATGCCTGAGATTAGGAAGAATATCTTCCAGTCACGGTACCAACTTGAATAAAATATGGGGGGGGGGGCAAGCAAGCTCAGCCCCACACAATCAATCCCATGATGCAGTGTGCACACACCGTTTGAATGGCAATGCCCATCAACTTTGGGGGGACTGGCCCCCTGACCTATTTTTTTTAATATTCTGTTGGGAGCCGCACCAGAGTGGCTGGAGCAACCCAGTCATATGGGCAGCATACAAGTAATAAATTATTATTATTATTATTATTAGAGTTGATGGGACCTTGGCTCCTACACTTCCAATTTGGGGAAGGATGCAGAGTCAACATACAAGTAGTAAAATTGTTATTGTTGTTGCTATGATGATGGCTGGGGCAACCCAGTCAGATGGGCAGCATACAAGTACAGTGGTACCTCGAGTTAAGCACTTAATTCATTCCGGAGGTCCGTTCTTAACCTGAAACTGTTCTTAACCTGAAGCACCACTTTAGCTAATGGGGCCTCCTGCTGCCGCCGTGCCGCCGTAGCACGATTTCAGTTCTCATCCTGAAGCAAAGTTCTTAACCCGAGGTACTATTTCTGGGTTAGCGGAGTCTGTAACCTGAAGCGTCTGTAACCAGAGGTACCACTGTAATAAAATTGTTGTTGTTAGAGCTGATGGGACCTTGGCTCCTATTATTATTATTATTGCTGGAGCAACCCAGTCAGATGGGCAGCATACAAATTATTAAAATTATTATTATTGGTGGTGTTATCATTATTGTTGTTGTTACTGGAGCCGATGGGATCTTGGATCCTACGCTTCCAGTTTGGGGGAAGGATGTGGAGTCAGCAGCTATCCTGACAGGAGCAGAGGCTCACCTTCCACGGCCCCATTCCCGCCCCACTCCCCTTTCACTGACCATGGAAGGGGCTTTTTTTTTTTGAAAAGGGGAGTTTGGGCGAGTCCTACCAAAACCGCACCGCGTCGGCTGACGTGGATAAAAACGAACAAACCGATTAAGCTACCTGAGGAAGGCCCCCTAAGCCCTGGCTGACTTAAACTCGCCCTTTCTTGGCGGGAAGCGCTGAGGAGACGACGGTTAACGGAGCAGCGACGACGGAACGTTCCGACTTCGCGCGCTCCGGTGGGGGGGGGGAAATCACGTGCCGCCGCGAGGAGGCCACGTGGCGAGCGCGCTACCAATGGGAAGGCCGGAGAGGCCGCCGCCGCCGCCGGTGCCCGGCGCGCGCTTGTAAACAAGGCAACATGGCGGCGACTGTGGCGGCGGCGGCGGCGGCGGCGACGCTCAGCCTCCTGCAGCGTCGCCGAGCGGGTCTGGCCGCGGTGGCGACCGCCGCTTCGTCTTCCTTCTCCTCCTCGCCGTCCGCTTGCTCCTCCTCCTCGCCGTCGTCGTCTTCTTGCTCTCCCTCGCGGCCTCTGAGGGGATTCGCGGCCTTGCCGCCCTCGGCCGCGAGAGGCTACAGTTCTGAGGCGAAAGCGGGCGGCGAGGAGGAGCTGCGGGTGCGCTACTTGGACGACGAGCACAAAGGTGACTATAACGGGGGTGGGGGGGGTGAGGGGCTGGATCCTCGTCGACACGTGTCAAGGAATCCTGACGCCCCGGGAAGGAAGCGTGTATGAACGCAGCGGAGAGGCGCGTCTCTTTCCCTCGGGCTCCGTTTAGCTCTGCCCGTTCGCCCGCTGCGGAAATTCCTCCTGACGCGCCAACCGGCTTGTCAAATTAGAGATGATGACGTGGGACGGCTGGCCCTTTAAATGGTGGGGGGCGGGGGCAGCGACGTGCGTGCCGGTTCATCTCCACTGCTCATGCGCAGCTCAATTCCCCCAAATGAGTTCTAGTGGATGCTGAATTCTGTCGTGGTGTTCGAAGGGGCTTGTTTCATTTCATTTCATTTCCACTTCTTAGTTATCTAGTTCCCACGTACACATAGACACGAGCCCAGGGCAGGATATAAGGTCAGGATGCTAGTTGCACCTTATTGGGAGTCACTATTATGTGATAGCTTTAGATTCTCATTTGGACTGCTGCTAGATCTAGACCAGGCTTCCTCAACCTTGGCCCTCCAGATGTTTTGAGACTACAGTTCCCATCATCCCTGACCACTGGTCCTGCTAGCTAGGGATCATAGGACTTGTAGGCCAAAAACATCTGGAGGGCCGAGATTGAAGGAGCCTGATCTAGACCACTGTTTCCCAAACCTGGGTCTCTAGCTGTTTTGGACTATAAAGGTAAAGGTAAAGGTACCCCTGCCCGTACGGGCCAGTCGTGTCCTACTCTAGGGTTGCATGCTCATCTCGCTCTAGAGGCCGTGAGCCGGTGCCGTCCGAAGACACTTCCGGGTCACGTGGCCAGCGTGACGAAGCTGCAGCTGGCGAGCCAGCACCAGCGCAGCACACGGAAACGCCATTTACCTTCCTGCTATAAAGTGGTCCCTATTTATCTACTTGCACTTAAGAGTGCTTTCAAACTCCTAGGTGGGCAGGAGCTGGGACCGAACGACGGGCGCTCACCTCGCCGCGGGGATTCGAACCGCCGACCATACGATCGGCAAGTCCAGTCCTAGGCACTGAGGTTTTACCCACAGCGCCACCCGTGTCCCTCGTTTTGGACTATAATTATCCCTAATTATAAGGGACGTGGGTGGCGCTGTGGGTTATCCCTAATTATCAGGACCAGTGGTCAGGGATGATGGGAATTGTAATCCAAAAAAAAAACAACAGCTGGAGACCCAGGTTAGGGAAACACTGTTTTAGGCAGTCCTGTCAACCTAGCAGTTCGAAAGCACACAAGTGCAAGTAGATAAATAGGTACTACTGCAGTGGGAAGGTAAATGGCGTTTCCGTGCGCTCGGGTTTCCATCACGGTGTCCCATTGTGCCAGAAGCGGTTTAGTCATGCTGGCCACATGGCCCGGAAAGCTGTGGACAAACGTCAGTTCCCTCGGCCTGAAAGTGAGATGAGTGCCGCAACCCCATAGTTGCCTTTGACTGGACTAAACCATCCAGGGGTCCTTTACCTTTACCTTTTACCTAATTCTATAGAATACAGTAGTTCTGTATTTTGCACATTAAAGCTGTAATATGGCGCACACCTTGGGAGTAAGCAGCTTGAACTCAATGGGATTTAATTCTGAGTAAAGATCAGTAGGCTTGTGCTTCAAATTTTCAATTCAATACTGTATTAAAATCTGAAAGCGTAATCTGGCCACTTGTGGGACAACTTGTAATAAAGGGTGAGGAACTGCCATCACTTCTCCAAGCCAATGTGGGATGGATTGTTGAATGAGGATTTGGAAGATTGGAGTCAGCTCCCTCCCTAACTGCACTTGAAGTTCACTCGGTGGATTTGAGCCAATCAGTATCTTCCAGCCTAATCTACCTCGCAGGGTTGCCAAGAGGATGCACAATTATGTGTGCTGGCTTGAGCACCTTGGACAACTGGAAGGAAATTAAAGTTAGTGAGAATCACAATTTCCTAGTGATGTTCTTTTAACATGCCACAGCCTGATTTCAGTTCCGTTCATATGGCATAATGTACTGTCTTCTGCCACTTCAGTACTTTTATTGCTGCAGTTACTGAGGCAGTTGAGGATTCTGAACTCAAGGCATGATTAAACATTCCTATACCTTTTGACTTTCTTAGAGGCTTGACCATTCCTGATGCATTTTTCTTCTGCTAAAAGTAGGTGGGAGGATTGGAACCAAAGTACATAATGTAGAAGAAAGTTTAAATTCGAATGCAAGTTGTGTCCAGCGGTATTAGCTACTGAGAGGAAAACATACATTGTAGGCACAGTATTGGTTGAATAGTTGTTTGATTCAGAAATGTGGGGGAGTTTTGATTCTGTTGTTTGGGACAGTGTTCTTCTGTATTCATATGGAATAAAAGGACTCAAGTACACAATGCATATATAGGAGTAAATCTATGTGACCCCCATCAAACCCACCACATAAAATGCAGTGATGGAGTTTGTAGACTTTGTCCCTAGGAAAACCCCTAGGGTTAGTGAAATAGTGCTTATTACATTCTTCTGTAACTAAAACTTCACATACTGAAATTTTATATGGATGAATAGTTTTTTATGCATTTTTAGATTCATAGCCCAGTAGCTTGGCTAATATGTGTTTAATATAACCATAGTTTTTTTATCTAGAAAGCCCAAAGAAATGCATGAGAGGAGGGGAGGAAAAGGAAAACTCTTGAATCTTATCTGTTAACAGTGTGATCCTAAACATGTTTAATTAGAAGTTCACTGAGTTCAATGAGACTTACTCTCTAGTAAGTGTACTTCAGCTTGCAGTCTCACTGTAATCACCCAACCACTCCTACCCAGGAGCTCTTTCTGTTACTGCCCAAATTTATAATCTCTCCTTAAGCTGCCCCTTAAATTTGCCGGATGTTACTGTGTCTTAAAAACAGTAATTCTTTTTGGTTAGGCAGGTTATTTGAAATGTTTCTGCATTTAAAAATGACATGGACAAATGTATTGCATATGGTCAGTGCCTGTTGCTTTCTGTTGACTTAACATTATCAACTCTGTTGTTAGTGTACACAGTAGCTTTGTTGTAGTGATAAAGAATTAGTAGTTAACTAATTTTCCAAACATAAGCTGTTGTTGGTGCTTAAAAAGAGTGTTTTCAAATATTTTAGTGCACTAATTTCCAAAATCATACTCATAGTAGACTCTATAAAATCAATGGGTTTTAGTGGATCTGATTTAATTCAAGCAATTAGTAATGTAGATCAACTAGAGAGATAATCATGTTTCATGCTAAATAACAGTTATTCACACTAAGTAGGCTGGCTTTTTGTCAGTAGATAACATAGGTACATTTTTTAAAATGTGGGATAAACCTTATGCACACTACTGATTTCAGTTATTTTTTTCTTCCTGTATATAGGAATTGTAGTACTTGGACTAAACAGAGCACATGCAAAAAATGCACTTAATAAAAACCTTGTAAAAATGGTAAGTGGATGAATATTTAGTCTTCTATGAACATGAAGTGTTGAAAATAAGTGTTGCTAATTTGCACACCTTTTCTCTATAGATGTCAAAAGTTATGGAAGCTTTGAAAAGTGACAAAAAAGTACGGACGGTTATATTCCGAAGTGAAGTTCCTGGGGTGTTTTGTGCTGGTATGCAAATTTAATTTTATTATCCATTTGGAAATACATAATCAAAATCAGTAGAAATGACTGAGACTCCAAAATTTATTTTAGCAAATTCAGCCTTTTTGGATTTTTATTTAATTATATAACATCTGCTGTACTCCTTAGAGAAATAAAGTGCTATAATTTTCAGTGACACAGAAGGTCTTAGAATTTTTTTTGATGGGGATGTTTCTATATGTTTGTTGTATAGTCGAGTATGTTTGGCAGTGTGTTGAGAGCACATATTATTTGGTCTGCAATGATTCTAAGCTAAGTTAATCAGTTTCTCTATTGATTAATACTAAATAAACTACATTTTCAAGTTTGCTCCCATTGAGTATTACTCATGGTCAAAATTTACAGTTATTAAAGATCAATAGCATTGATAAATACAGAAAATTCATCACAGTACCTGACATCAAGCATTCAAAACCAGAATGCATGCATGCTCTTGAACACTATCTCGTGCTATTTTCAGTTTAGCCAGCTATAGGAGAGAATTTTCATAGTTGTTTATACTGATAAATCTGTTGCACTTTTCATATGAAAAGTATTGTGAACTGAACACATGATTGCATGCTTTTATTACTTTATAAATACCATGTTCATTGTGCCATTATGAAAGTGTGCTGAGAGTCTGTGTTCAGATATGTATTCTGTGTTGCTGCTATGACATTGTATACTAGTAGCTCTTTGAAGCTGGAAGGCTTGGATAAAGCCATGTGTCCAAATGGGTCGTTGATAAATGGCAGTGCTATGGTGGCTGTGTTGTTGGTTCATTTTGCAGAGTGCACTTTGTGTCAGACGGGTGCAGTTTGTGCAGGTGCTCATCTGGGGACATTTGTTATCTACTGGAGGTGAAGGGCATCTGTTTGCTGTGGTGTTGCTGAATAAGTTTGAAAATGGACAGAAAGTCAACACCTCACCAGATCATTTAATAGCTGTAGGGCTATTGGACAAAATCATGTAGCACTGAAGTGGGGAGGAGATAAGTGAATATCAGGTATTAAGACTCTATTTAATTTCATTTTCATCTGATTAAAATCCTTTCATTACATTGTATACTCAGTTTTAGGTCATAGGAGGGGGGCTAATTTGAGCCAATTAGTTGAAGGCTAATTAGCCAGCACTGAAGTAATGATGATTGGTAAGATAAGAAATGGATTGAGTTTTGTTGCTTTGGTGAAAGGGGCATATGGAGTGGGTTTGCTACGGTACAAATAGCTAGCTTATTTTAATTTTAAAATTTGTTTTAAAAAATGTTGCCTGCTGCAAGTTCCTGATGTAGATATGATGTATTATTGAAAAATGATAAAAGCCACTTTTTCTTCAAGTTCTGACACATGCCTTTCATTTTATTTTTATTTTTCACTTGTTAAACATGCTTTTTATGTTCTCTTGGCAGAAGAAAAGCATCACTAGATTTTTGCCATCTTTGGTTTTTAATATATGTATTAGCTATTTCTGTACTGCGAGTGGGATGATTATATGAAACATTTGAGTCACACTTAATTATGCGTACACGTGCATTTGGTCTACAAAGCATAATGTTTTTTCCCATTATGCGGACAAGTGGTTTGTTTTTAGACTAGGTAAAAATACTTCAGTAGCTGGTGTTCATTTCAGTAAGCTTTTTCTAATTGTAAGCGCAGAAGCTTGTAACAGCTGTTAGGGAGTGCTCTTCCTGAGGGAAAACTTTAAAAAATGAAATTTGAAACAAAATCTGTTTTGTTGCTTGGATAAATTCTGTAACTTTGACACATATCTCGTTTATACTTTAGGATGGCCTTGTTCTTTACCATTTATATTTTAGATTTAAAAAATATGTTGCCCGCAAATGTACCCCTGTCAATATCATAGTGCTTGGAACCCTGTGGTCAGAGGTTGTTTTTCAAGGTAATGTGGTATCTACATGAAGAGTTGCATCCACCTGGTACTAATCTTGGTTTATTTTTTAATGACTCATTCTCTTCTCCATGACACCCTGCGACAGCCCATGACTCACCCTTATAGAAACCAAAAGGAATCTTTTAGTCCAGGGTTGAGATTTTACGGCTTTCCTGATGTTAGACTATGACTCCGGCCATCCTGAGATTTAACATTTAGGCTGTAGAGAGTTGGGAGTTTGGTAGCCACTGCAGGGCCAAGACTACCCCTCTCTGTTTTAGCTCATCATACTTCCTCCTGACAGCTGCCTTCACAAAAGGCTTATGGCAATTGCAATAAAAGGGGTGTATGGGCATTACCTTCTAATTGTTGTACTTGCTGAGTCCAGTGTGGTATTGTTTTACATCCCTTGTCATTGTGTTACATATGGATAGATTTGTTTAGACCTTCTCTAAATGATCAAGAGTGCATCTCTTTTTCTTGATCCAGCATTGACAGCTTTCCTGATCTCCTTGGTTGCAAACTTCATTGGTTTGATGCTAATCAGGGTTAGTGTTAGTTCAGGTGCAAAACTGCATTATGATCACCTCCCAAAAGCGTAGGAAGGAGTGACTTGGCTTGTGAGAGTTGCATGATTGGCAGAAGGAGACCTCAAGGTGTTTTCAATATCCTAGCCATGTTTTGGGGATTTGGGTTATTATGCCTGTACCAGGCCTTTGTGTGTCAGATCTGTTCCTTTCTTTTATCTCTCTGTGCCTAATGTATGTTAAGTTCTCAGTAAATTATTTATATAAATATTTTCATATATAATATGCACTGTTTGATAAAGAGAGGTGAGTCAGGAGCCCCTGATCTTGCCAGGAGCTAATCATGCACGTAGGTTTTCCTGCAAATGCTCAAGTTGCTTTTCCTGAAAGTATAAATGATGCCATTTATGGTTTCTTTGAGCTGATACTACTATAAAACCTGAATATGATTGTAACCAGACAATTTCCTTTGCAGGTGCTGACCTTAAAGAAAGAGCCAAAATGCACTCTAGTGAAGTAAGCTCTTTTGTCTCAAAAGCAAGGGCAACTATTAATGAAATGGGTAAGTGAAAATCTCATTGATCATAGACAACAGTATATTATTAATAGTTTGTTTCGAGTCTCAGGGTTTGAAGGTTTTATGCTATATGAAATGCTCTGTCCAGATATTATGAAATCATAATATGAGAGTTAATGGTTTATGCATAAAGCTTTGATGTCTTTCCTTTTAGGAATAACCCGGATTCCCAAAACTCATTCAAAATGTATACCTTAATAAAACAACCACTAATGTATTATTAAATGCTAGCTTTTTTTCTTTTAAATCCTATTTTATGAGTGTACAGTTCTAAAACATTAAGAAATGTATAAAACTAATTCAATATTTCACCTTCTTGAAATAATAGCAATTGAGAATGCATCACTATCTGGATAAGTTCTAATATTGTCCAGTATTGGGGAAACCATTGCTCCAGAATCTCTTGCACTTCTGTAATAAGGTATTTTTCTGAAATAAGAGTTCTAGCTCTTTGGGGTAAGAAGTTAAATAGAATGTCCACATTCACAGGTTGTGTTTTTAACATGTGCCCAATCACACGCACACACTTGCATGGATGCACCTCCAGAAGTGTTTTTCCTCTGATCTTGCACCCACAGTTACAGTGTGTAATAGGGAGGTTCCTCTATATGCATGTAGCAGTGAGTACATTCAAAGTGAGTACAAATACAGATGAGACCCACACACAAGATGGTGCCTGAAACACAGCTTATAAGATTAGTTAGGCAGAAAAGAAAGAAGGCAGATAAACACAGAGATGGGAAAAACTACTGTTGTCATATAAGGAGAAATAAAAGTGCTAAGAATCTGGCAGGATATGAGGGAGATCTAGATGCTAAGGGGCAAATTCGAAACGTAAATGATTCTGGGTTTGGGCCACAGGAAGGTGTAGGACAGAAGGTTAAGAGAATAAACAAAGGATCCAGTTTATAATGTAATTTGGTACTTCACCTGAAGTAACAGCAATTGAGAATTAGGAGGCACGTATGCAAAGTCAGTAGACATTCAGATAAGAGCTATACAGGCAAGTTGTGTCCTGCAAAACTACAGTTTAATTTCTAAATGCTGAAAAGGAGATGTGGCTTGAAAGGGAAACACAAGGCCATGTCTTGCCTTTAGGTTTCTAACTAAAGCAGAGAAAATAACAGATACAGAGGACAAACAAGGGTATGAAATAGAGTAGGTAGAAAAGGAAGGCTGACTGAGACAAAGGAATAGAATATAATCTGCGATACTCTGAGTTTCCCACCAAAAGATAATTAGGTCATAGTAGAAAAGTATAGGCAGGTTCCATTTTTAAAATTGAAGAGAGATCCTAGGACGGCATCCTAGGCTTTCTTCGGGAGTTTTGTGTGCAAACTCTGGATGTAGTCACAAAGCTTTACTAATTCTACTGACTGGCAATTATCTTGCTGGAACAGACAATACTTTCTTGACAGTATTCTCACCAGGACTATTCTGTGACCGTATAAAAGCGTATACTTATGCTGACTGTGTGTAGATATATTTGCATATTTCTGGAGTTCTTACAACCCCGTAGGGAACAATGGTAAATTCACCTCCTGCTTGATAGCTAGTTCACTGTTCACTTCCTCTGTTCTGCTGGATAAGTACTTGCTTTGCAGTTGCTTACAAAGCAAGCCTTAAAAGATGAGGTGTTAAGGAGTGTATTTAAAATGACAGCAAACCAGAAAACCTTGGTAACAGTATACATTCTTTTAAACTGCTTTTTAATTGTGTTTTTTAATTATTATTTTTTTAAAAATAGTTTTTATGTATTTTGGGGGGGTTCTTTGGCAGTTTCTGTTTATTTTTGATTATGTATTTTGTCTTTTTATATTGTAATTTTATCTTGTGAACATCCCTGAGAACTGCAGCTATAGGGTGGTATATAAATTGTAATAATAATAATAATAATAATAATAATAACAATACTTTATGCCTTAAACTGTACTAAAAAGTATACCAAATAGCTTGGGTTTTTATGAAGGATTGTTAGTCACTAGTACTCTAAATTATAGCACTCCTGTTGGAAAAATATTTCAAATGTTGCAGTAAGATGTTGACTTTTTACGTCAACAGAGTTGGTTCTTGTCCATACATCATTTCTCTAGATTGTGTATTTGTTGTTTAATTGCTATTAAAAGTAAGCTGTTAGATTTCGTATGTCTTTTTTAAAAAATTGAGTCTGCATCCACTATTCTACTGTTCATAAATGATGGAAATTACTGAGTGAGTTTGGATGACCGTGTCTGCTTAATAACTGGAGATAGGAGCGAGGCTTTTGGCTGTAAACTCCTTTGCTTGATAGAGAAGCAAGCAAGCAATAAACTATAGTTTCCTGTTTTGGAACAAACCAGAATATTAAGCCAACTTCAAACTATCATTTACTATTCTTGATCTGAAGCTGTTAACATTGTTTTCTAATTCAGACAAAATGGAAAACTCCAGAAAACGTCTTGGCTTGTTCTACTCACTTGTGTGAAAGGAGAATGGGCTGTGTGTATAGCAAGAAGGCTAATTCATACCTAGGCTTGTTAAGTCAATATATGATTGTCAGAATGCAGCCTTTGAATACTTAAGATCCAAGCATTTTCTAACAATCAATATCTTACAATTGTTTGCTGTTTTGTGTTTTCCCTGCATTGCTACTTGATTTTATTTCTTGTTAAAATACTGGTGTTTTGCTAAACATCACTTTGATATAAAAATAAGCATTTTGTACTGAGCTGGAAACTATAGATCCTGGACACTGAGACTGGGGTAAAATATCAAAGCCTGCTATTTTTGGTATTGCTTTTTACTCTAAAATTAGAGAGGCGCTCTTTGCCGCACAGGAACACCAAGACTAATTGTCCACTTTCATTTTCTGCATTGAGATTTCCATTACTGATGCAGGTCTGCACTTAATGTTAAAAGTACTTGGTAAAACAGAACATTAATAGATCATTCTGTTTACAATATCCAGTGAGGAAACATTGCTTATTTGAACCTCTGGAGAAATAATTCCTCAGATCAGTCCTGCAGTTAGTATAAATAAGTCAAAACAGCAGCCATGATCAACTTTGATGTGGGTTTTAAAGGAAAATTATTGACACCTTAAAATATTAGGGATGTTAAAAATGATGAAAAATAAACGGGGATGGAGGAGAACTAGGCATTGTAAGTGCTGGGACACAGGACAGCAATTCAAGCGGGCCAAAGCAGCACAGATCAAAATGCTAGAAGCCACCAAGGCAAGTGCTTGGTCTTAGAGAATGGCATTAATATAGCGGGTTTAATGGAAAACTGGTGAAATTGAGAAAACCTGTGGGACACAGTTATCTCTTGATATAAACTCTATAGGAAGGACAGAGAAGGACATACCGGAGATTACCGTATATACACGAGTATAAGCTGACCCAAATATAAGCCGAGGCACCTAATTTTAGCACAAAAAACTGGGAAAACTTATTGACTCGAGTATAAGCCAGTTCACCACACCACAAACCTGGTGGTGGTGGCAGCAGCAGTGGAGGAAGAAGAAGCAGCCCAAAAGGGCTGCTTTTGGGCTGCTCGTTCCACTGACAGCAGCAAAGGCAGAGGAGAAGGAAGGAGCAGCCCAAAAGGGCTCCTTTTGGGCCGCTGGTCCCTCTGCCGCTCGCAAGAGCACATCACCTCTCCCAACTGCGGCTCCTGTGCCTGCCCTTGTGAGAGGCAGGCAGCGGCAGCAGGACTAGGGGCAAGAAAGGGCTCCTTTTGGGCCGCTCGTCCCTCCTCCTCCGCCACCCATCTCACTCGAGTATAAGCCGACGGGGGCTTTTTCAGCATAAAAGATGTGCTGAAAAAGTCGGCTTATACTTAGTATATACGGTATGTAGCTTTGTGTGTCAGAGAGAGCATTGAGTCCAAGAAGCTAGAAAAGCCAAAAGGGTCAGAAAAGCCAAAATCATACCTAGCCCCAAGAGTAATTTAGTACTGGGAATGTGCTATTGCTGTGCCTCTGATCAAAATGCTCAGGGAGATCTTGAGATGAAGAATGAATTCAAGGAAGCATCCCCCAAACAAAACATTGTAGTAATGGGTGACTTCAACTACCCTCACACAGACTGGCTAACATTTCTATATACAATGGTACCTCGGGTTAAGAACTTAATACATTCTGGAGGTCCGTTCTTAACCTGAAACCGTTCTTAACCTGAAGTACCACTTTAGCTAATGGGGCCTCCCACTGCCACCGCGCCACCACCGTGTGATTTCTGTTCTCATCCTGAAGTAAAGTTCTTAACCCGAGGTACTATTTCTGGGTTAGCAGAGTCTGTAACCTGAAGCGTCTGTAACCCGAGGTACCACTGTACTCTAAATCAGTGATGGCCAAATTTGGCCCACCAGCTGTTTTGGGACTACAATACCCATCATCCCTGACCACTGGTCCTGTAAGCTAGGGATGATGGGAGTTGCAGTCCCAAAACAGCTGGAGGGCCAAGGTTGGCCACCACTGCTCTAAATGATTGTGCCCAACCAGAGGGCAAAATTTGCTATATGTAGTGTCAGTTTGAGATTTCAATTTGCTGATTATTTGGATCAGTTTTAACCTCTCCTGCTGATGCACAGGATGTGGTTGAAGGTGTAAAGGCAGCTAGCTGTGACTGTAGAAACATTCCTTTGTTAATAGTCTCTCTCTCTCTCTCTCTCTCTCTGTGTGTGTGTGTGTAACTTAAAAAATAAGGTGAGAAGTACTGAATTGCGAATATACTCCCTTTTGTGAAATATTTCTATCAATGAGGATTAACACTGTAAAATACTTAACAGATTGAAATCTGTCATGGAACATTGGACTGTTTTCCAGACATGACTTTGATTTACTGCTGCTTCTAATTTAAAATATAATTCATTTATCTTTTTTAAATAAATGATTATGTATTGTGAGTTTACTGAACAAGCTAAGTTTTGTCCTCTTCCCCACCTAAAGGAGCAGACCCAAGTTTTTGTGAAATTAAATCGCAAAGGAAGTTATTCTTTTCAGCTCAAAGTCATGGTTTTTCCAGTAACAATATAAAATCAATAGTAGCTGGCTTTACCAACTTCGATTTTTAAGAGACCATTATTGACAAACTATTTTTGCAAACCTTGGGATTTGGCTATGTAGCCTCTCCTATGTTACAAGTAGGCAACTTCTCAGTTATATCCTCACCAGTGTATTAACAGATCCAGCAACTGTTTCATAGGAATGCTCAAGGATTTTGTTTGTTCTGGATTTTGAAGTGAGCTGACATGATTTACTCTTCCTGGATATATGGCAGATTGGAACATTTTTTTCCTTTGGTTTTTACATATCTCTGAACTTTATGATACAGTTCTTTTCTTTAAAAAGTATCAAGATTTGTATCATGAAATAATGCAAATTTTGTGTAGTTTTTAAACAAAGGCAGTTTGATGCTGAAATGGGATGCGATGAACTTATGAATGAACATGTGCGAAACTGACACAGACTGGAAACAAACTGATCATCCTTCTGTAGTTGCAGCTGTTGCTTATTATGGTGAAAAGCAGAGTCAACTGAATACTGCACGTTCACTTACCTTGAAGTTTGAAATCATCCTACCATTCAGTGTTGCGTTGCTGTTAGCATTCTGAATGTCTTTGTGGTCAGAGTTTAGATTACAATTGAGATACTGTATAGAAAAAACAGGCTGCATAATTTGCCTACAGAAACATTTTTTCACTGAATCAACTTTGTGTTACGAAAAAATTGCCTTGGGGGATGAATGAAGTGCATTATGCAAATAATTCCATATCTTTGTTTTGTTAATTGTTGTTTTACCTTTCAGCTAACCTTCCAGTACCAACTATTGCTGCAATAGATGGCATTGCATTAGGTGGCGGCCTAGAATTAGCTTTAGCCTGTGACATAAGAGTGGCAGGTAAGGCTTTCTCTTTTTTTACAGTTAACACTCAATATTGTAGGAGGTTTGTTTAACTGTTACCAAGGAGAGCTTGTTTTTTTCAATACTGAAAATTTTGAACATTAAGATGACGCAGTTCTTAAGCTTAGCGTTTTTCTCTCGCTTTGCTAAAGGTTGCCCTTTCATTAGGTTCTTACTCTTTGGAGAGCATCTGGAGTAGATAAACTCACTGTGGTTGGTAACTTTTGGCACTGTAGATAACAAGCTAGTTAGAGGATAAGGGGGCAGGCTTAATGGTGCAATCCTGTATATGTCTATATGGGAATAAGTCCCACTGAATTCAATTGGACTAATTCCCATATAAGAGGTTATAGCATTTCAGCATAAGATGCTGGCTGGAAAGCCTTTCCCAGGCAGTTGTCTACCTGAATTGCCACATATTACTTAGTTGTGGGGGGAAACCCAATGAGACTGCAGTCCTGTACATGGAATAAGTTCCATTGAACTACTTGGGGCTTGTTTCTGAGTAGGCATGCACAAGATTAAGCTGAAAGTGCTCTTAGTGTTTCCCTGTAATTCTTGAGAGGAGAAAGAACACTGAAAACAGCACCAACATTGCCAGCTGTTCCTGCTTCACCAGCTAAAAATGGTCCCTTTCTTCATCCCCCTGGCATACCATTTTTTCATCATTAAAATATATATACTTTTTTGGCAACGCACATAAAACTGCAAGTGCATATGTTAAATAAGTGTAAGTTGTGAGTGACCTGTACTCCTTTCATTGTTTTGCCTTCTTTTGTTTCCTTTTATAATTAGCTGATTGTAAGTCCTTTAATAACAATTAGAGATACTTGGTTCTTAGACAGTTCTATAAACTGCTCTAAACTTGCAGATTAGGGAAGACTACAAATATAATCATTAAGGCGTATCCCTTGACTTTTTAAAATATAATCACTGATCCTGCCCTTTTTATACTATTCAAGAATAATAGAATTACCAGAATCACATCTGGATCCCTGGACTCTTCCTGTCAAGGAGCACAAAATAAGTGGGATTGTCCCATTTTATTCACACACTGTTTTATTTATTAAAGAGATTTCTTCCCCTCCGTTTCTCACAACTATAATGTGAAAGTACATTAGGTGGAGAAGCAATGTGTTGCTCAAGGCTACCTAGTCACCATTACAGCTGGGTGGGGATTTAAAGTTAACCTACTTTTAACATGTCACACTGGCTGCCAAAAGATTATGGCAAACACTCTTCTCTTAACAGATCCTGAATAGGATGCAAAATACATAGCCATGCTTCTCTCTTATGATGGAGATTATTACTGTCCTGTTAGCTAGTGTTCTTCATCCTGCCCATGTCATATGTGTTTCACTTGGTTCACTTGTCAAGCAGATCTGCCTTCTAGCTTGCTATACATATTGTTCTCAAGTCCAAACAATCCTGAGTAGTTGTACGTATATATGGGATTGCACTCTTCCTGTATTGAAGAAGCCTGGACTAATGAACAAAATACATCCTGTCTGTTGGTTCGGCAGCCCTCCATCTTTCACACAGAAACATCACTGATGTTTAAAAAGAAAAGAAAAAGTGTATTTCGCAAGACGGTTCCAACTTACAAGCATATTTATTCAGCGTGGTGTAATGTATGCATATTAGGAAGTTCCTGCCTATTGATATCAGGCAGGTCCCTTTGCTGTAATTTTTTATACATAAAAATATATAAATGCTTCTTTAAATACTTTTTTTAAAAAAGCAGATTCAGTGCATCAACCGCTTATTTCATATAGGCTTCTTTTTTCTAAAGCCACATGCAGATTTTATAAGAACTAACATTGGTCTGTTTATTTGTTTGTTTATTTTAAGCTACTTCTGCAAAAATGGGTCTTGTTGAAACGAAGTTAGCTATCATTCCTGGTGCAGGTATGAAATCTTCTCATAGTAATATAATAAGCTTCGGTTGTTATATGTGTCTTTGGTTTTGTTGGTAAATTAAACCTTTTAAAAATTAAAATGTATTTCTTTTAATATCCTTTGAAACACATCGAAGCTATCTCTGGGGTGTTTAAGCAAGGTTTTAGAAATCAGCTTACATTTTACACAGAAACTGTTTGGTCACCTCATAGGATGACCTATGTTGGGAGAAAGACAGGGAATATGTGTCCCTGTTAATTTTCCTCTGCCTCTCAACAGCTTTCGATACAACCAGGGTATATTTCTGGAGCAGTTGGCTGAGTTAGGGTTGGGTGGCACTGCCTTGTGGTGGTCTGGGTCCTACTCAGATGGTCATTTCCAGAGAGTGATGCTTAGGACGTGCTGTTCGGCCCCAGGATAGGTTAAGTTTTTATCACACATTTTTTTAACATCCCTGTTGTTTGGATTCGAACCGCCAACCTTCCGATTGGCAAGCCCCAGAGGCTCAGTGGTTTAGACCACAGCGCCACCTGCTCCCATAAGATGATGTAGATGAAAATTCTTTATATTTAAATCAGTTTTAGGGGAAAGGAGAACTAGTTTTTGAAGTGAAGAATGGAAATTCACTAGAGAGAGAGAGATGATCAGTGGAATCCTGGGCATGTAAGCACTTATCAGGGTTCTGTGTTTTTCTGATTATTATTCCCTTTGGCTGCATAGATGTCCATTACTGGTGGCTAGTTGTTGTCAATATTAAAGGTGTGGTACCAGCTGCTTTATAGAATCACTGACTATTGTCATCTTACTACAGTTTGAAGAAGCATTAAGTCAGTTATAATCCTGTTTAGTTTTATTGGCTAAATGTAAGAGAGAGAGAGTGTGCTTCTGTTGTGTGTGTGTATATATATATATATATGTATGTAGAAAAATTTGGAAACATTTCTCTTCTCCCTACTACAACTGAAGTGTGTGGCATTTTACATTTATCAACCTGACCGATGAAGAGTTTGAGATCTTAATTTTTCATTTTCAGATAATAACAAAAATCTGTATTATCAAATTGAAGTTTGCATGTTTCTGTGCAAGATCCAACTAACTGTAGATTCTGGCATCAGAATCTGAGATTTATATAAGGGCTTATTTTTGCAATAAAATGTTGTTTCTCAGCTTTGCCAGTCTGCTGAATATTTGGTTTTGTTTGAATTTAAAATATTAGGTAATAATTATTTTATGTTTCTTTTTAAATAAATAGCCTCCAGGGAAATTGTTAATAGTGTAGAAAGCAGATGTTTGAACAGCCACCCTGCTTTCCAAGTAATTAAACTAAGTATTCACATTGTTAATAGAAACAGGTGGATTAGTTCTGCTTCTGTAAATTACAGAGAACTGTGGTTTGTACATCCTTTTTTTAAAGAAGTAGTTAAAATAAGACTTAATTCAAATGAATCTCTTTTTAATTCACTTGATAAATATTTCTAGAGATGATGCATCAGAGACACAATATGAATATTGGAGAACAATATTAAAATCTTGGTTTTCAAAGCCTAATCTAATGCATAGTATTTTGATCTGTCACTTGGTATGTGTGAACTAGGGTCAATATATGCTGAAGTTGTAAACCACTTTGTATATATATATTTATAGAAAAGTGGTATATAAATATTTTAAATACATTATCTAGAAAAGCTTTTAGATATGAGTTGTACTTTGTAAGTGAGAGACTGTTAATCTGTAAATGCCTCTGGCCTTCTGGCAATAAGGACATCTGGCAGTATATACCGTATTTTTTGCTCTATAAGACTCACTTTTTTCCTCCTAAAGAGTAAGGGGAAATGTGTGTGCGTCTTATGGAGCAAATGCAGGCTGCACAGCTATCCCAGAAGCCAGAACAGCAAGAGGGATTGCTGCTTTCACTGCGCAGCGATCCCTCTTGCTGTTCTGGCTTTTGAGATTCAGAATATTTTTTTTCTTGTTTTCCTCCTCCAAAAACTAGGTGCGTCTTGTGGTCTGGTGCGTCTTATAGAGCGAAAAATACGGTATTTCCTTTTCCAAACTCTTGCTTGCACTGTGGTTAGAGTAGGTAAGATACAGCAGAAGTCTTCATGTACTACTCTTAAACCAAATGTGAAAGAATTTAGCCTCTGTGCATGCTGGGGGATTTGGGAGAAAGGCAGGCTCTTAATGTGCATTTGCTGAGATTTGGGGGGGGGGGGGGAGTAAGAAACATAATGATTTGTTCCTATTGATAGTCTTTTCTACCTCCCAAATGAAAGGAAGCCCCAACTCCACCCAACCTATGCACATGGCAGATGATGGCGGGGGTGGGAGTGATGGGAAGCAATTGGTGGAAACTACATTTGGAGGCTTGATGGCAAGCCAAGGTAATATTTGTGACATCCTGATTATGAAGCTTTTGTTAGATTAACCCCTACCTCTGAAGAAGGGTTTATTTGTACACATTTGATTGTGTAAAAAGTAAAGTGAAACATTTTTCAAACTGCTGTGTGCTTATCTGTATACTAGTAAATGTCAATTTCTTGAGTAAAGTAAGACCAGCTAGTCGGACTTGTTTCTGGTTGAATTATATCAGCAGCATCTCTTAAATGATATGTTATTCCTTAATGTTCGCAGATCTGTCATTATGGACAGATGCCTGTGTTCATATTATTCACCATGCTATTCCCACAGATGTCTTGAGAACAGTGGACTTAATTATTATTTTTCTAAAACTTTTTCTCAGTTTAATAAAGTAAAGCAATTTTTGTGCTTTTTAAAAAATGGGTTTAGTTTGACTCCAAAATTGGATTATAGAAAAATATTTTAAACAAGTTATTGTCCCTAAAAGTAAAAATTTGAATCATTGATTTTTGAGGCTATGTATTGGAATGTGAAAATAGTATAAAATAGCTTTTTCTAAGTGAAAAATCTGAATAGAAAGCGTGTGTGTGTGTGTGTGTGTGTGTGTGGTTCAACAGCTGCTTACAGGATGCTAGTATTCTGCTACATGAAGACTTTCAGCTAATCTACTCTCATAGGACGATTTTCCGTTCTTTTCCCACCCCATTGAAAGTAGGTCACTGGTTTGGGGCGCTGGTCCAAACTATGAGATTTATTTGGTGGTCAAAACACACAGTCATAGAAATAATGATGCACTGGCAGCAAGGCCACTTCTTATTTCATGAACATAACACCAAGTGCCCTAGAAATAATTTAACCATTGGCCTGTTACTAATTGCAGTCCATCATTGCTACATGTCTGGAAATAGTTGTCTTGTTAGCTGATTATATTCCATCTTTGTATACTCTACATAGGGTATTTGAGTCTTATGAAAGAATCATTCTTATGGCAGCTTATAAAAAGCAGCTAGCTGCTTGATTAGAGCAAAATTATTGTTAGTAATGCATAAGATTTATGCTCTCGCTATATTTATCTTGGGAAAGTGTTCTTGATGCTTTTTTAAACGTATAGATGCAGTATTAAGAGTGGTTGGAAAGCCATAAATTACACAATACTGTACAGTGGTACCTCGCAAGACGAATGCCTCGCAAGACGAAAAACGCGCAAGACGAAAGAGTTTTCCGTTTTTTGAGTCGTTCCGCAAGACGAATTTCCCTATGGGCTTGCTTCGCAAGACGAAACGTCTTGCGAGTTCTGCAGTTTGTTTCCTTTTCTTAAAGCCGCTAAGCCGTTAATAGCCGCTAAGCCGCTAATAGCCATGCTTCGCAAGACGCAAAAACTGCAAGACGAAGAGACTCGCGGAACGGATTAATTTCATCTTGCGAGGCACCACTGTATTGAACAAAATACTGTATTGAACACAATACTGTATTGAACACAACCTACCTTGTGGAATTGCCTTGAGTTCCTCACCACTCATTGTATTAATTAGCATGGTACATATCAGAGGTGGATTTAGAGCAGCAGTACTGGTTCCGCTGCTTTGGGTGCTGAGGCTAGGGGGCATCGCAACTATGACATACTGGTACTATGAGTAGAAGAAATACAATATGTTGTTTATTCCGTAGCTATGAATTTCTTAGTTGTACTCTTTACATGAATTATAACTTGTACAATGGCACCTCAGGTTAAGTACTTAATTCGTTCCAGAGGTCCGTACTTAACCTGAAACTGTTCTTAACCTGAAGCACCACTTTAGCTAATGGGGTCTCCTGCTGCTGCCGCGCCGCCGGAGCACGATTTCTGTTCTCATCCTGAAGCAAAGTTCTTAACCTGAAGCGCTATTTCTGGGTTGGTGGAGTCTGTAACCTGAAGTGTATGTAACCCGAGGTACCACTGTACTGCTTTAACTTTTGATTTATTTTTGAATAGCTGTCTTTAGTTGTATGCCCTACTGTGCTTTTCTCCTTAATGTGCCTTAACTTCTGGTCAGGGTTAGATTTAGGTTTACTTTCATGGAGAATAATTTGAGGTGCTTAAAAACTGTTCATATACGTATTTGGTGAAAATTAGCATGGTGGAGCCCAGACTTGTGAAAGAGTTGAGTGCCCAGATGCCAGTATCTTCCTACATACACAAAAGCGTAAGGCTTCCCTTAGACCAGAGTGGCTGGGGAGTGGTTAACCAGTGGCTTTCCATTTGTTGCTGAATTACAACACTTGTCGCCCCAGCCAGCATGGCCAATACTCAGGAGTGATAGGATTGTGGTTCAGCAACAGCTGGAGGGACACAGGTTAGCCACCCTGCCCTAAAAATCTGTAATCTGCCTACTCTAGGACTTTCCAGTGTCAGTACGAACTCTACAGTGACTGCAAGATTGCAAACCTTACTAAAGGATTTGCCACAATCTGGGCTGGGAGTGCGTCCATCAGAACTCCCACCTGAGAACTGCCATGGAGGTGCTACAGGAACTGGAAGAATGTGGGACTGTCCTAGTCTGCAAAAGTGCTTTCTGCTCTGCAGGAAAAAAAGGAATGAAAAGAAGAGAGGAGTTTGCAGCGTGCTTGGTACCAGTTTCCAAGCCACAAGTGAATATTATGGGGTTTTTGGGTCCTGTTTCCCCAACCTGCTCTGTTCTGGGAGGAAGGAAAGAAGTTTAAAATGGTGAGAATGTTGAGGGATGTTGGAGTAAATATTTGACTAATTGCTGAGTCAGTTACAGTTAAAAGATTATTCTCCACCTCCATTGTTTCTTGAGATGGAACTAAACAGTAATAATCCCCCAACCTCTAAATGGCAATGGTGCAGAGGATTTGAATGTCCACTGCTTCTTTTATTTCCATACTGACTTATCCTAATTGACTATTTAGTGGATTAAGAATTAGTGGAAACGTAATTGTCATGCTGGGGCAATAGAAATGTTTGCCACAATTGGAAACTTGCACTTTTAGGTTTAAAAATAAAGTAGCATTGTTTTAAAGAAATATAGCCTTCCTATTCCATTCAGTAATGTCGCACTATTAAAAAATTAACAGTACTCATCTGCAATATCTTGATGGATTGTCTATTCTAAGTAGTTACTTTATATACTGGGTGTAACTTCCTTTTTCTGATTGCGGTTGGCAGGAAGTACACACTTTTTGTACATTATCACTGCAGATCATGCAGCAGATACACTATCAGACTGTGCTTGATTGAAGCTGATATGACTCTTTAGAAGGCTTACTGGCCTGTTGCTTAATAATAACTAGAATTTGCACCTGTATCTGTTGGGCCAAATACCAGCTTCTGTGTTTCTCTTAATTATTTATGAGAGAGCTGCTTAATGTATTAAAAGTGAATAGGTGAATTAATCCATAGGTATTTATTCTGGTACCACATCAGTGTCTTTGTATTTTGTTTGCTTTCTTTAAAAAAAAATCTGTGCTAGGATGTTGGTTGCTGGGTAGTTGTGACCTGATAGAAGAGCTGGGCACTGCCATTCCACACATATAGGGAGATTCAAGAATGAGGCTAGGAGATTTTGTGGCTAAAGATTCCATTGGCTTGAGCTTCTCTTTGAATGCTGATTTGCTTCTGGTTGGTGTCATAGGGGCATCTTGCCCATTTTGTTGGATACTTCTTCGTTTGTTCAGACTGAGAGCATAGACAGAATCCTTGAAGAGATCAAGCATATCCTGTGTGTGCTCAGGCCATGAGGCAGGTCTTCTGAACCTGTGAAGTTTGCTTTTGAACCAGGTTCAAATGACCTGCAACATCACCAATGATTTCTGTACTTAAAATTCCTCCCCTTGGAAATTTCAAGAATTATTATGCATACCGTTCTAGGGAGGCCTCCTTCCATTGCAAATATATTTTGTTTCCAGTAATATAAAGGCTCATTTACCATTTTGACAGAACAACATGATTTTCAGCTTCTCGTTCCTGTATAGGTAACAATAGTCTAGACTGCAAGCTGCTCCTGTTTCACAGATTTTTGTATATTTTAAGTATTTTTGGAAATCTGAGAGCAGGTACCTGTTGGCTGGTTTAAGTGGACAGATGAAGTTTGGCCAGTTAAGTGTAATGTGTAGCTGGGTTCCTTTTAATTATTGTACGCCATTCTGATAACCCTTATAGTGGCCGATGTGGGGTATAAATGTTTGTTAGTGGCAATACTTGGTTAAGCTAAATTACTGCAGAATCAACGTTTGCACTTCCTCTCTTGTTTTTCCTAAACCACAGGAGGGACGCAAAGGCTACCACGCACAATTGGAGTATCTTTGGCAAAAGAACTTATCTTTTCTGCACGTGTAGTTGATGGTGAAGAAGCAAAATCAATAGGATTAGTCGGTCACGCCGTGGAACAGAATGACGCAGGAGATGCTGCTTATAGAAAGGCGTTAGCTCTGGCAAAAGAATTTTTACCTCAGGTACAATCCAAACTGAGAGAGTTGTTTAAATGAGCAATTACTTTTCATTGAAGTGGAGTGGAGAAAAGAACGGGGGAAAAGCTAAAAACGTGATTGCTACAAACCATAATTAAATACCATAATTATTAAACATATAGAAGCCCAGATTTATCAGTTCCTCATGGTACTACTTGAGAACTTTCTTAAGCATTTCCTCCTTCTGCCATTATTATACCTGTGTTTTAAATCCATATGTATTTTTGTTTGTTGTAACTTTTACAAAGTTTAAGGCTAAATTTTAAAGATTACTGTTATGTTTAAACCTTCCATGCATGTTATCCATGCCTAGCCGTGTTTGTTTCTATGAGGCTGTCAGTAGAATTCTCACTATGGCAATTTTTTGTTATTTCTTTGTCTCTAGAATTTCCTATTCAGTTTTCCAAACTAAAATCTACAGATTCTCTGCATGAACAAAAAGTATTGAACAGGCACTTTGTAATTGGAGGCTCAAATTCTAAACACAAGCAAATTCCATTAACTGATGGGATTTGCATGCATGTAAATGTGTTTAGGTATGTAGCTTTACATATTCTTTAAAAAATGTATTTTATACATATTTATAATGAATTGTCTATTTCGTTACTTTCTGGTCTTGCTGTACAGAATGGCATTGTGGTTGAAAATTCTACTATAATTCACATGACTCGAGAGCACATTTAAGGATTCCTCTGCATTATCAATTTTGCTATATCTACCAGTTGTTTTCCACCAGATACATCCCATTCACAATTCAAATAATGGTAGTTGCTCTTTACGTCACCTTAGTAATGCTTTGCCAGTGCTGAAAGCAAAGTAAAGGGTTCATTTGATAGTATACCGACATTTTCCAGTTTCTTCTGTTTGTCCAATACGGTCGTAACCTGTTTTGATCTATAGCTTGTGGTTATCGAGGAGAGAGCTTAACCACAAGCTGAGGTTAAAAACAGCATGCTAAACCAAACCACTCAGCATGTCATGGAAGTAAAAATTGGACGAGCAAAGTGGCTGCAAGCTTCTCCCTGGGAGCCTGTAAGTTTGTGTGTTGTGATAGACCATAGTTTGGCTTACCATGATGTGCAAACCAAGCCATTGTTTGCTGTATTTGTCCAACTGTATCAATCAACCAGTGTACTCAAAAGCATTTGTAGAATAACCTGGATCTGTAATGAGTACATCTAACAGCTTTTGTCCCACTGAGACAAGCAGTTACACTTGAGTCCAGCTAATGCTGGTTGTAGGAAGTACTTTCCAAATCTGTGGCTTGCTTTATGCTCCTTCCTGTCTGATAGTGTTTAATGAAACTTTGCTATCGCGGCAAACTTGTGCAATCTAAAAAGGCATGCAGTGCACCATGCTAAGGTATTATGAATGCTGAAAGTAACTGAAAATAGGAGGTTACGGCATGGAACATGCCCACTTGATCAAAGAGTAGCTCAGATCATGTATGGAAAGAACACATTGGGGGAAATTATGTGAGAATGACGTTTGAGATTCATAGAATGTTATGCACTAAATGTAACCAGAATAAGAAAGATAGTTACAAGATAATAGAAATGATTAATACACTTGTAATTTATGAGCTGGTAGAGTGTTTAGTTTTAAAACTAAATAAACTTTCACTTCCTTTTTTTAAATTTCAGGATATTTATGCCACTTTTCAGAGTAAATAGCCTCACAACTCACAAGCTGTATGATAAAAGCAATTCAAATACAAAACAGTATGTGTTTGAGCTTAACTAGCAGCATAAAATACAGACTAGTCCAGTTTAACAATCCAGATTAAACCAATTAAATACTTTAACAGCAGCAACTTACTTTCCTGCCCTATCTAAACACACGTCAAAATTGAAAAGCCGGAGTCCATTTAAATAGGGAAAGAGCCAAACATAAAGCTTCTGGGAGGAATTCCACAGATACTGTGCCACCATACAAAAGGTCCTGTCTCTCGTGCCTGCTGATCTAATTTGCAATGATGACAGGTAGGTTATCAGGTGCCAATCAGGTATATGACCAACAATTCCAATACATGAAATTGGGCTCCAAAGTGAACAGGTAACCAATGAACCAAACACTTTGCCTTGCAAAGCCTTCAGCTGGCTGCATTCTGTACCAAAGGAAGTGTATTTAAAGGTAGCCCCACATAAAGCACAATACAGTAGTCATGTTTGGAGGTAAGCTGGGCATGAGTATTTGAGGCAAAGTCCTCCTCCTTTTCTAGTTAGAGTCATATCCCAAGCTAGTAAAAGGCATTTGCAGTCACCAGCATCCACCAATGGTGCTGAGTCCAGAAGAACTCTGAAGCTGAGTACAGTGGTACCTTGGTAGTCGAATGGCTTGGCTCTCGAACAAATTGGCTCCTGAACACCACAAATCCAGAAGTGAGTGTTCCGGTTTGCGAACGTTTTTCAGAAGCCGAACATCCGATGCGACTTCTGAAGCTTCCGATTGAGTGCAGGAAGCTCCTGCAGCCAATCAGAAGCCACGCCTTGGTTTTTGAACCGTTTAGGGAGTCGAATGGACTCCCGGAATGGATTAAATTCGAGAACCAAAGTACCACTGAACTTGATTTTTCAAAGAGAGTGCAGTCCCATCCCATTGCCAACCTCTAGACAAGTTTTCAAATACTACTGAAGGAGTGTTAAGCTATATATGTTATAATGGTTGTGGAAATACTATTGGAAGAGTTTGTGCAATGTTAAATTGGTATGTTTGATAGCAGTTCTTACAGCTCTTATGTTTTCAAGAGCTTGTATAAACTATCCTTCAGGCAGAAAATCATATTTGGATTTAGTTTCATTTTCCTCATACAGTGCTCTGGCATGAGATATAAAAAAGCACTTCCTTGAACAGCAGACACAACCAGTACGTAGAACTGTTGAGCTCAGGATGCCAAAATTATGAGGTCCCAAACCCTTACCCCAAAATGTGCTTGTGTTCTGTGGGGTTTTCCCAAACGTCTAGCAGAGTAGTGAAAATCTGGCTCTTCTCACAGTAATCAATACTACTATCAGATTCTGAGAATGCTAAAGTGAGCCATTAAGCTATTTTTCTTTTATTACAAATCCTCCTTTGTATGTGGAAAACTTAAATTGAATATATTTTTAATTTTAGGGACCAGTAGCAATGAGAGTTGCAAAACTGGCCATCAATCAAGGAATGGAGGTAAGAGAACATGTTCGTGCCTTCTATCTCAGTTTAGTTATTTAAAACATTTATTTTACCCAGCTCTTCAGCAAAAAAAAGGCTTCCAGAACAGCTTCCAGATAAATAAAAAGCAAGATGATCTCTGATCTCATGCTTGCAATATAGACATGACACAGAATGAAAGAGGAAAAAAGCAAACTCTGGAATCTTATAGTTATATTACTGGGTAAAGTAGATGTGACAGAAGCCCAATCTGATGTTGGTTAAAGCAGATGTGGGGAAATTGTTTCAAGTGCATTAGTGGTAGGGAAGTATGCCAAACATTTCCTTTGAAACTGCTTCTCCCATCATTTTTCTTTGGCGGGCGTTGCTTATTGTCTCTGACGTCCATTGGAATGGAAGGTTTTGGCACTTCCTCGCTGCCCACCTTCGCAGCAACTTTAATTCTGACCTGCACACACATACCCTGGGGATTGGAGGCAAATTTTGACATGCAGCTATCTTCAGCCTTCAGTTTTAACCAGAGTCCTTTTTGTTGGGGGTAACCCAGACTGAAGTTCCTGGGTGTCAGAAAGGTTATTTATGTATGCAACAACTGTGGCTCATGTTTTGTTAGCCCCCAAATGGAAAGTGAGCGAGGTCCCAAATAAGAGGATAGGCAACTTAAGTTGACAGAATATGCACGACTTGCAGACTTAACATATAGAATAAGAGAGCAAGAAGAAGATACATTTAAAGAAGACTGGGAAACGTTTATTGAATACATGGAAAATAACTATACAGCTGAAAACGCTGGCAGCACTAAGATAAATTCAACAGAGTAAATAATTTTTGATGGCTGTAAAAGTGGAAAACTGATTTTGAATGGTTATAGTAAAATATGCAGGGATGTATGATATGTAAAACGAACCAAGGAAAGAGAAGAAGGGAAGTCATTGGCTTTTTTAAAGTTTGTAAAATGTTTATTTGGAAATGTAAAATTGGCAATTTAATAAAAACTATTATAAAAAATTAAAAGAATTAACACCAAGTAGCAGCATTATCTTACCTTTCACAGAAAGTAGTTTTTAATAAATCTAAAATAAAGGTACCTATGAAAAGAACTCTATTCCAAAGTCTTTTAGGATATCATGTTGCGGTGCATAAACACACTTTTATGTGCTCAGCACAGTTATTTGTAAGATTTTCTTGAAACCCAAACCCACAAATTGATTTCCTAAACTGCTTTTTAAATATCCCTGGGTCTAAATGGAGACAGCTTCTTGCTGCATTACATTTCACTGTCTTTCACTTACCTTTGTGCGGTACCTGTTCATAAACACTGGACTGCTGGGCTCAGGTTTTCATTATATTGTTATAGTAAGGTTACCAGAGGGATGCGGGTGGCACTGTGGGTTAAACCACAGAGCCTAGGACTTGCCAATCAGAAGGTCGGTGGTTCAAATCCCCGCAACAGGGTGAGCTCCCGTTACTCGGTCCCTGCTCCTGCCAGCCTAGCAGTTCGAAAGCACGTCAAAGTGCAAGTAGATAAATAGGTACTGCTCCGGCGGGAAGGTAAACGGCATTTCCGTGCGCTGCTCTGGTTCGCCAGAAGCGGCTTAGTCATGCTGGCCACATGACCCGGAAGTTGTACGCCGGCTCCCTCGGCCAATAAAGCAAGATGAGCACCGCAACCCGAGAGTCGGCCACGACTGGACCTAATGGTCAGGGGTCCCTTTACCTTTAAGGTTACCAGATTTCTTTCAATGAATACGGAGACATTTATTGTTACGTACATGTGAATGCTAAGAAAGCTGTAAATCTGGGGACTGTCCCTGGGAAACGGGGACGCCTGGTAACCTTATTTATAGAACGGGGGGGGGTCCCCCTAAACTCTAAAATTAATAAATGCTAGGATTTGGAACTATTTGTAATATGAAGAGAAAATATAAGCTGCAAAGGAATTCCTGGGTAGCCTAGTCAGACTAGGGCTGTTAAGAGAACCATTGTGAGTCATTTACAAGACAAGGTGTGACCAGAGACTGGAGATTTGAAAGGTTATCAGGGTAACTGCTCTGGCAGAGGGCAAGGGGCTATTGGGAAGAAGAAGGGAAGAAGGGGGAGAGCCATCTTGGCGAGGGAGAAGGAAGGACTGCCTGCAATGTTTTGGGCCATGTAAGATCTGGACCCCCTCCATGCAGACTGAAGGTGTAAATATGTGGATAAAGCCGTATTTCTTAAAGCGCGACTGTCTCTGTTGTGTCTTCCATTCTCCAAAGGGACACAGACCCTGTGTGGGTGCCTGAGATTCCATGCACTCTTGCCATGACTTGGACAGCCACTGGGCTTTTCTAATACAGTTTCTGTTTTTGTAAAATAATACTGAATTTACCAATTTTACCTCCAAATTGGATGTAGTAGACATAATGTAGGATCATAAAAATAACCAGGACACAGGATCAAATGTTTAGCTTCCACTCAAATTAGCCAATTTTCCATACCCACTTGTGCAATTTCAACATAGTAAAATGCTGAAGGAAAATATCACCCTGCAATGATGATCAAATATGCCAAAGCCTGGTATGTGCAAACTCGTATGTAAACATGAAATTTGGACCTAAGATACTGTAGAAATGTTTCTCAAGATAGTTACTTTTGTTACTTTTTTCTGAGAATTTGTTTCTTAAATGTCACCAGCAGTGATTATGGTGTAAAAATCTTTTTACTACATTTCATGTATCGGTTTCATAGGTGGACCTGCTAACCGGTTTAGCAATTGAGGAAGCTTGTTATGCTCAGGTATGTACCTCAAATTTGTGCAAAAAACACACACCCCAAAATGAAAAAAAAATCCACCTGTGTCAAAGATTGTAAGTATTTCTCCATTTCTAAATGTAAGTAGTCAGTGACTTGCATTTTCATTATCATAGGCCTAATATAAAGTTTACTTTTACCATTGATAGTGCTAATGTTTGTTAATTCAGATCTGGAAATACCTGTCAAGCATTCAATATTTTTGTGAGAATAATAGATACATTGTTTATGCATTATGCTGAATGGATGCATCACACACTTAGTGTCTCCCTGTTAAAACGAATGGTAAATATTCCCATAAGTTACTAAAGCTGGGTTGGGCAACATGGTGCACCTCAAGTGTTGCTGGACACCCTACTTCCCCAGCTAGCATGGTCACCAGGATTTTCTGGGCCTAGAAATTAGATTGGACCTCTGCTGCATCCACCAAATTTGCATGGACAGTTTTTATTCTTTCTTGCAGGTGGGGTGGAGGCCAAAAATAAATCAAGAGTCACAGACAAGTAACAAGCTGTCTGACAGGGTGTATGTAGGTGAAACATTCTGTACTAGAATAAGATTAAAATAGTTGAATTTCTTTTTGGTCAAAGGCACAAGAGCCCTATTCTCACACCATGAAATTTGATGCATTTGGCAGGTTTAATCTATTCTGGAGTGCCTGCAAATTCCACCCACATCTGTTAGAAGGGGGAAATGTCATAGTTGTTTTTTGCTCTCCATGGTGGGAAACAGAACTTTTATCTCAATGAAGAAGGTGCTTCATATGTAAAATATGACTTGAATCAGACAGAGCACAGAGCGACTGGGAATATAGACTGAGCACAGAGTGACTTAGGCTGCATTCTAAAGTGACAGGTACAGATCTGAATTTTTTGGCCAGAGCGCACCCCTAGAATATACATTCAGGCTTACTTCAGTCATGAGCTGGAGTTTCTTGGCCAGAGTTCTTCTTTCATTCCATAGCAGTCTGGCATTGTCATCTTTACCATGCATGCAGATTTACCCCTAAACTGAGCTCAGTAATGAGGCTAACTTTTGCTTGTACTGGGTTGAGCCAAAATCAGCTTCTTTTAGGTAAACTCATTCTGTGTCAAGTCTGGAAAATTTCACAGTCATGAAAGTTCTTAACTTTGCAGCAGGTACCAGCTTTAGGAAGCCATTTCTCGGCCTTCACGCTTATGGCAAAATAAGTGTTTGCATGTTCCTTCTTCAAGATAATCTTAGTGTAGAAAGAGCATATTGGGAACTGCTCTCAATGTGCTAGCCCTTCCACTGGTTTAAATCAGCAAAAGAGTGACTACAGAGAATTGTGATTGATTTATAACAGCTGCAGGTTTCCTTAGCTTTCTGAATGCATATTATGAATTGAACTTGACAGCTCTAGAGGGTGAAGGTGCGTGAAAATGAGACTTAACTTTAAATGTGGGCACTGAGAATGATTTTTGTTCATTCTAGACTATTCCAACAAAAGACAGAATTGAAGGTCTTCTTGCTTTTAAAGAAAAAAGACCCCCTCGCTACAAGGGAGAATAGAAAAAACAACAACAGCACATACGCCTTTAGAAAAACAAATGAAATACACATACTACAGGAAAGACTTTTCAGCTGTGTTTTTTTTGCCTCAGAACCTGGAATATCGCAACCAGGAAAGTAAATGTTAACCACCCATACTTTGATCTATAATGTATTCAGATGCATATTTACCCTTAACAATTTCTCAAAACTTCTGTGTGTATTTTCGAGGTCATTGAGTTATACAGCACTTTATTCCATATATTTGAATTGCATTCCTTATCAGATAAATATATTGAATGCCTAATGCAGACAAAGCTAAAGAGAACATCAGATGTACAAGTCTTCTGCTGTTGAAACAAAAAAATAAAATTCTGCGCACCCAAACATGTGAAATGGACTGCATAAAGTTTCTAAATGAAACTTTCTTTAGACTAAAAATACCATGCTTGTTCTCTACTTGAATGTATAAATTAGAGTTAGCTGAATTGATGAGGCAAAGCAACTGGGTGATCAGCTGTTCATATAGTCTGTTGGTATATGAAATCCATTTGGAAACTTTTTTGTGGTGTTGCATAGTTGTAAAAGGGTGATTTGCTATATTAATGCCATTGTGCTAAAGTTCAGCTTTAATCCAATTTTAATAATAAAATAGACTGAACTTAGATTTCCTCTCAGAGCTATTTGAGTGCAACACGACATAGGTCATGAATTGTGGTATTTTCACACCTGATGCCAAATGGACCTTGGAGCTACTTTTTGGCTAGTAGTGCGCATGCATGAGTATTGTCAATGTAGAATAAAGAGCCTCATAGAATAATGTTAAAATATTTGTAAGGACTGTCTTATACAAACACAAAAATCATAACCACCATTATAGCTTGATAGTAAACATGTCTACTCTAAAGTTGTCACCAGAAGGTTTGCTTAAGGCCATAGCTAAGTGTCATGTGGAAGCACATTTCAATTGATGTTCTACATGAAATAAGCTAAGGGGGAAATGAAAATTGTGAAAAGCAGTTCTTTTGCAGCATTGTAGAAATCATTTCTACATTTGGGCTTCTGTTCAACTAAGTCCTACTCAGAATAGACCCATTGCAAATCATTAATCTTTAAACTTATTCATGTCCGATAACTGGTGGGAAGGTTGGCCCATTTCCTGAGATAATCAGGACCCGCACTATTTGGTAAATATGAGAATTGGACAGTAATGGCGTATTCATTAGAAACACTTCCTTTAAAAATGTATATCATTAAACCCTATTTAATGTTTACAAATGTATTCCTTGTCATCAAAACCCACAGAAACATTGCTGTGTGCATTCTCACATATGACACGGAAAAGTTCAAATACAAAAGGGCTGCCATATTTGATCTCTGCTATTTCCAAAGTGGCTCCGCATCTGAAAGTAACTGGTGGTGAAACATATATCTACAAATATATATTAGAAACCTGCTAAAGACCGTCTTATAATAATGTAACACTTAGCACCCTAAATAGGAAGGTGCCTAAGTTAAAATATATTTAGAACTTAAGGTTCAACGTGGACTGTTTGTATCTCACTTTGTAAACAATGCTGCTAATGCTAATAAAAAGTCTCAGCTAATGACATCCTTTTTAAAAGTTACTCAATAGCAGCAGGCACAGAACTAGAAATGCCTGCTCAACATCTCTTTGGAGCAGGTCAATTTTGTGTCCTCTCTGAAAAGCTGTAAGAACTATATCACTTCAGATGAGTTGTTCCCTAATCTTGGGAGCATGGGGTGTGTGTGCGTATTTAGAGCAGGGTCTGACTTAGAGACTGTATATAGGAACTGGGTTAACATGGGGAGAATTTGTTTTCAAAGAATATGTGCCCCAGGGCATTGAAGATTTCAAGGGGAATAACTCGCTGCTTGAATTGAGCCAGGAAGCTAACAGCCAGTGCAGTTGCTGTAGAATAGGATGAATTGTGTTCCTGCCACCCTGTATCCAACAGGAGCCGTTAGTGGCGTTTTGTGCTAGATGGACGTACAAGACAATCCAAGCCACGCATAAAGTGCATTACAGTAGATTGCTCTAAAGGGTATGAAAGCACAGATTGGTGCATCGAAATCCCTCTCTACAGGAAGGGGTGTAGCCTTCGTAGACAGATAATGGCGATAAAAGCTGCTCCTGAGTAACACCTGCTTCCCAAGGTGGGAAATACAACCCATGGGCACTTTATGCTGCTAATCTTATTCAGAACAGTTAAAGAGAACTTGCTCTGGATTCAGTTTTATCCTTTTTAACCAGATCAGTTAAACCACTGCCTCCGAGCATTGGTTTAAAACTGTTTGGCCGATACCCAAAGTTGAATGCTAAGACTTTGGAGTGAGACTACTACTGCCCCCGTTGTGTAATTCTTACATTCTAGAATAAGATTTAATTTATTAATATGACTTATTTCAAGTATTTCAAAGAAACTTATCATGTGGCATTGTCTGCTGTTAGAGTAACATGGCATGCATGTGGTTACATTTTAGCTGTATGGTGGTAAAAGCTGATCAATATGAAATGCAAGAGCTCATTAAAATTAACCTTCAACTATATAGCTATATGAACATTGATTATATATGGTACAGTGGGTTTATCATTTTGCTGGCTGATGAATCTGCTAGGAAGATCATTTCATGCGTTATAGTTTTTAAAGTAAAAACTGGAGCAGTTCCTGACAGTTAAACAAAGCTCCTTATTTTGTTTTGTCTCTAAAAATTTTGAAATGCTATTCTTAATGTGCAAGTTGTAATTTAATATGATCCTGCACTCAGTTATGCACACTTAAGTACATTCACTTAAGTGGGACTGAGCCTGTCTAATTGATGCAGAAATAATATAAATTCTGTGTGGAATGTCTCTACTTATTTCATCAAGATTACTGGTAGGATGTTAAAATATTGACTAGATAAAGTGAAACTTTTGGGCATTGTCAGAACACTTGTGTTTTTAATTATTACTGATTTTAATATAAGGAAATTATTTGTCCATTACATTTATTTTTCTCAGGGGAAATTGCCTTTTTCCGGTACTTAACTACCTCCTGTCCATTTCTTTGTATTTGCTTGTTGCCTTTGTTAATTCTGATTGTTGCTGAGCATAAAAAGATTGTAGTACTTACTGAAACTAGTTTCAGAGGAAAAACCACATAGAAAATTCATATTATATTAAAGGGGATGAAATTATATCAAATCACATTCATATTGATTTATTAGTAGTATTGCTAGCAACCTTTTTCATAAAACTATGATTGGAGGAGGTGCTTCTCATCATAAGAACACGTTCCCTGCTTTCTTATTCAGCTACTGGATTTCAGTGTTTCCAGGTCATTGTATTTATTAAATTTTATTTCTGTCTTCTCATCTTTTGCCTGTGCACATCAGACAGTAGTAATTTGTGTATATCTCCCTTTATTTTGGTATCTCATTCACCGTGAGTAATAGGTGTGATTAGCCTATTGGCATGAAAATCATGTTTGTAAATAGTACTTCAGATCCAGTGATCCTGTTCTATGAATAGAATGCGCTTGGTACTGATTCTCTTCTCACACATTTGCAGACACTGATCTTGAGACAATTTCAGAGGTGGAGGTTAAATGGGATGGGGGAGAGTGGCAATTCCTTTGCAGAAACAGAAGTTACTTGTGCTCCTATAGCTGAATCTTTGAGTTGAAGCTATCTCCTTAAAGCAGGCATGTTTCAACCCTAAAAAAAGCTCAACAACTTCAATCTTAGAAAAAGTTGAACAACTATGGGGTAAAAAAAAGCTGAACAATTTCAATCCTAAAAAAGGTCAACAACTTTGGTCGGCCCTCATGGCCCTTCACTTCATCAAATCTGGCCCTCTTTGAAAAATGTTTGGACACCACTGCCTTAAAGTGAATATTCCCATAATACATAATTTTATAGTGCATTCTAAAATCCCCCATTGAAATAAATAGTCTCAAGTATAATCTGCACATGGGTTGTTAACCACTAACTCTTCTTTTTTGCTGTTTATAAGTTTCATCAAGTTACAACATGAAGTCACAGTCTTGTAACCGTTCCCCTTAATGCAGATATTCACATGTTCTCAGATCATTACAGTCAAACTTTGGGTCCCAAACACCTCCGTTATCGTACGTTTCTGCTCCCGAACGCTGAAAACCCAGAAGTAAGTGTTCCAGTTTTCTAATGTTTTTTGGAACCCAAACGTCCGACACGGTTTCCACTTGAGTGCAAGAAGTTCTTGCAACCAGTCGGAAGCTGCCCCTCGGTTGCCAGACGTTTCGGAAGCCAAACAGTCTTCCGGAACGGATTACGTTCGACGACCGAGGTTTGGCTGTATATAATACTTCACCCCACTCACACTTGATAACAGACACACAAACACACCAGACAGGACAAAAAAGAAGATGTGGGGGGCTGCACTTTTTTTTTCCAAATTCCGACCGTGAAAAGTTAAAGTGTGGCTTAAATCCGTGACCTTACAAAAAGTGGCTTTTACGATATCCCTGCTGAAACAGGCATACGGTAAAACGGAACAAAAAATGTTTTCTTGCTGATTTGCGAGCTTGAGACTGTTCATTTGCCATTTATGGGTGAGAGTGCCTGTGGAATTGTAGCAATTAAATAGCGATTTGCAATTTTAGCGATTGTACAGTAACTTTTGTGGGCTTAGAGATCAAAGGCTTAAATTGGTTTGGAGTTACAATTCTACCAACCGCAGCCTGTAACCCAATTATAAGGGAGTGGCTTATATTCAGGTATTGTCCTTTTTTCTGTTCCCTCCTTGACTTTTGAAGGTGCAGCTTATTTGTGGGTCTGGCTTATATTCGGGCCAATACTGTACCTGGTATATATTTTGCAGAATTGCTGTGAGATGCTGCAATTTAATTGATTCCTCATTCCAAGATCACCTTGAGCCTTTTGGTCAAGGAGACCATAGTAGTTCCTCCGTACTAAATTACTCATGCCCAATATCACCTCCTCAGTTAAATGTTCTCTTTGATGTACAGAGTAACACCACCTCTTAATATGCCCTTCCCTATTCCCCCCTTTATAGTTTGTGTCCAGAGAGAACAATGTCCCACTGGTTGTCTCCATTCCACCAAGTTTCCATTACGCCGGCTAACAGATTGGGGTTGAATCCTGACAAGACAGAAGCGGGTGGGTGTGGCGGATTCCCTGGTCCTGAATGGGGTAACTTTGCCCCTGAAGGACCAGGTGCGCAGCCTGGGAGTCATTTTGGACTCACAGCTGTCCATGGAGGCACAGGTTAATTCTGTGTCCAGGGCAGCTGTCTACCAGCTCCACCTGGTACGCAGGCTAAGACCCTACCTGCCCGCGGACTGTCTCACCAGAGTGGTGCATGCTCTAGTTATCTCCCACTTGGACTACTGCAATGTGCCCTACGTACCTTTGAAGGTGACCCGGAAACTGCAATTAATCCAGAATGCGGCAGCTAGACTGGTGACTGGGAGTGGCCGCCGGGACCACATAACACCGGTTCTGAGAGATCTGCATTGGCTCCCAGTACGTTTCCGAGCACAATTCAAAGTGTTGGTGCTGACCTTTAAAGCCCTAAACGGCCTCAGTCCTGTATACCTGAAGGAGCGTCTCCACCCCCATCGTTCAGCCCGGACACGGAGATCCAGCGCCAAGGGCCTTCTGGCGGTTCCCTCATTGCGAGAAGTAAGGTTACAGGGAACCAGACAGAGGGCCTTCTTGGTAGTGGCGCTCACCCTGTGGAACACCCTCCCTTCAGATGTGAAGGAAATAAGTAGCTATCCTATCTTTAAAAGACATCTGAAGGCAGCCCTGTTCAAGGAGGTTTTTAATATTTAACGCTGTATTGTTTTTAATACTTGATTGGGAGCCGCCCAGAGTGGCTGGGGAAACTCAGCCAGATGGGCGGGGTACAATTAATAAATTATTATTAGTATTATTATTTATTATTGGCTTGGAGGCTCAGTGTATTCAGTTTGCAATCTAATCATAAGTGTGTGTGTCTATCCATTCCAATGGGACAGGTTTAGGTAACCGTGCCTCTGATTTCAACTCTTCATAAAAACAAACTAGTACAGTCTTGTGGCAATAGTCACAGGCTGTAAAGGTATATCAACCAATGATTCAGATTTCTGCATATTTCTTAGCTTTGTGCAGGTAGCCCACGGCGTGTCTGTGAATTTGTAGTTAAAGAGTATTCACATTGATTTAAAATTGCATTTTTTTATTCCTTTTGTTCTTTTGTGTTTTGCTGTATTACAACTCGAATTCTATGGAATTCAAACTATGACACAATCAGATACAATGTATAAGACATAAAATAACCAATTAAAATACAATTAAAATCTTACGACATCTAGCCCAGTGCATTCCAGTTGTTAAAACAGGCAGAAAAATCATTAAGTGGTCTGCGAAGACCCTTAGCAATTTTCAAGTGGTCTGTGTTGGTGGGGAGGAGAAGGGGGGAGTTTGAGAACTGCCGAACTACTGCTGTGTTGGTTTTGAGATTGTTCACTGACGTTTTGGAAAAAAACCATGCTTTCTTTGCTTTCTAATTGGGCCATGTCTCCTCAGGTGTTTGTGCAGAATTGTCTTCTGCAGGGGAAAAAAAGGCTTTATATTTCTTATAATTATAGCATGCTTGTCTGAAAGGTTTCGCAAATGTTCTTTTCGGTAATACTGGTAGGAGATTAAGTAAGAGCTTCTCGCTCATGTTATTGCTCAAGACCTTCAGATGCCATTGTTATGTGCTGAGATTTGATGTCCCATGCATTCCTTTGGCGGCATTTGTTCCTCTGACCTTTATACTCGTTTGGCTCATCGAGCGCTCTTGTAAAAATGCATGTGTTTTCTCACACACAAATGCCAGGAACCACTTGAACTGCATATTTGATTCCAGCTTTAATGGGAGACATTCCTAATGGACAACAGTAATACAGCCAAGCCAAATTGGCCACGGTTTTATGTTTACTATGGCAGAAAGTAAGAACTTCAAAGCTCCTTTGTAAGACTTGAAAAGAAGACAAGTTTCTCCTTCATATCATCAAGCTTAATTACTGTCAATAAGCAACAGTTGGCAAGAACAGCACATCACATGTTTCCAGTTCTGTCTTGGGAAAGGTCAACACAATTTTTTATATATATTATGCAGCCATGTACTCTGATCACATAACACGTTTTAGAAAGCATTATGCAATATTATGCTGCTGATTAACAATTGCACAAGAAGTTTTTCATTAGCTTGAATGTTTGTATCCTGGGAATGATTAACTTTGTGACATAACTCACATAAATATGGAAGGCTCAGACAACTTCAGACTCATGTTTCAGGACTAGCCAAACACTTTTCACTTGGTAGTGTACGTGATTAAAAACTGTTTTCAGCTTCAGAGGTGAAAATAGGGTAACCCATTTCAGGAAAGAGCAGAGATGATTTATTTTTAGGGGTCAAAGTGACACACATGCTTTAAAAAAATAATAATGTTGAAAACAGCATTTCCTTCGTTCTGCAAATGTTATCAATTTTCTCCAACAACTCAGATTTTTATTGTTCTACTGCCAAACTTAGAAGTAAAAGTGGCTCATACATATTCAGTGTCAATAATCACTTTTTATATCGGGACAAGTACGTACAAGCATTGGTCAAAACTGGTCAAAGGCTGTGTGTTTGTTACTAGATCTGGCCCTTGATAATGTGAAAGAAAAGCAAAAACTTTTGAATACACTGAAGAACAGACCCTGCATGCTCAAAAGTATCTGATTTTTAAAAAGAGCAATTTGGTTGTTCTCAATCATAAGCTGAGCAAGATTAATTCATTAAATAAATTACTCCTGATTGGAAATGGTAAGTTTGCTGAACTTTTGCCAGAAACCAGCTGACATTTGCTAAAGTATTGTGTTGGAATGAACAATACTCCTCCCCCTTTACATGCCATAGTGTAAAATCAGATTTCGGAAAAGTGTCAACACTGTCAGAAAAGTTTCTATACTATCAACATGTTCTGATATGAGTACAGTTCCTGAATGGTGCAGCAATAAAATTTCTAGCGCATTTGCAAAGCTAATCAGGTTCTGGTATGGTTTCAACTTGAATGGGGGACTGTGTGTTGAGAGTCGGTTGGACTAAATGAGCCTTGGGGTCCCTTCCAACTCTTTGATTCTGTGAAGTAGAAATACTTCTGGCACCACTACTGAAGTCTCATGTAAAATATTTTTATACTGCAGAGCAAGTAGCTTCAAATTTCATATAATAGCAACATGGAATAGAAGATAACAGTGTTTGAATCTTGGGAAAATACTGTATCTAGATTGTGCTGGTTAGCACAATCTGTTAGCAGAGGAGGAAGCTACATGCTTCTTAGCTGATCACCCAATTCGATGGGCATCCTTCACATCTCTTCAGAATACAGTACTGCTTTTAACCTAAAAGAGGTTGTTCTATACACTTTCCAGCCCTGTGTTTGTCTGGTCTGGAAAATGGTCTGCTGCAGCAACTCTCACTAGAATGAGTAATACATAGTCATGTGGGTTGTCCATCGGAATTAGTGCAGCCGTTTGTGAAAAGGTAAACGACTTGAGTAAGAGCTGCAGGATCTGACCTCCATATTCTGCTGGGAGAGGCGGTTTAGGAATGTTACCATATTACCTCATGTGTTCCATTCCGCAGGATCAGCTCAGCCAAAAGCAAATAAAAAGCTAAACATTGACTTGGAGTGTGTTCTCGGGAACTTGAGCAATGTCTTTTCCTCCATTCCAGTGTAGTAACAGCAGCGAGTGGAAAGGAAGGAGATTCTGTTACCGCAATCGTATCAGTGCTCCTTATTTGCCTTGAATCTACGTGCGGAGCCAGCTAGGCTTTCAGCTGCGATGACGAAATGTCATGCCTTTCTTCCTGGAATAGTATGCAGATAAGAGGCCACTGGCTATGTTGAGGTTTCAGATGAACTCCTCTCAGGGTTTCAAAACAGCGTGTCACAATTTGATCAGGTTTCTTTAGCAACCGGTTCATTACGTTTTGTCTTCAGGACAAAAGGAGAGGAGAGAAGGAGCAGTTTGTGTGCTCATTCCTTTGTGGTTTTGCGGTTGTCGGCTCGCAGGATGTGACTGTGGAGACTTTAAACATTTACATAATCTCAACACTGAATTACCGGCTCTTGGGAATCACAAGTGAAGAGAGTGCTGTTGTGTTCAGGTACCGCTTATGGGCTTCTGTTGTTGTTGTTGTTTAGTCATTGAGTCGTGTCCGACTCTTCGTGACCCCATGGACCAGAGCACACCAGGCACTCCTGTCTTCCACTGCCTCCCGCAGTTTATAGTCAAACTCATGCTGGTAGCTTCGAGAACACTATCCAACCATCTCGTCCTCTGTCGTCCCCTTTTCCTTGTGCCCTCCATCTTTCCCAACATCAGGGTCTTTTCCAGGGAGTCTTCTCTTCTCATGAGGTGGCCAAAGTATTGGAGCCTCAGCTTCAGGATCTGTCCTTCCAGTGAGCACTCAGGGCTGATTTTCTTAAGAATGGATAGGTTTGATCTTCTTGCAGTCCATGGGACTCTCAAGAGTCTCCTCCAGCACCATAATTCAAAAGCATCAATTCTTCGGCGATCAGCCTTCTTGATGGTCCAGCTCTCACTTCCATACATCACTACTGGGAAAATACATCTCTACTGGGCTTCTGGCTGGCCGTTATTAGAAGAGGGTGCTTCTAATATAATGGATATTTGGCCCGATGCAACAGGTCTCTTACGTTCACAGTGTTGTTGCAATAATCCAACAATTCTGTTTCTGTCCATTGAATCCATATTGAAATAACACCCCTATTGTATGATAATTGTTAAAAAGAAGTGGATTTTGCATTTGAGATTTTTCCGTAGGCTTTTGGAACTTTCATGTCATATGATATGCAACAGCTCTCCATGGTCTGTTCTCCAAGGTCCTTTCAGTGTTCTTTCACACAGCTTATAGGCTCTCCCACTTCATTCTCTCAAGTCAAGTGCAATGCGTTTCTTCGGAGATTATTCCATTTGCAGTTGAGAGTCATCAAGAGATAAATGTACTACTGATGGTTTAGTTACATCCCACCTTTCATCTGAGGAGCTCAAGGCGGTGAACACTGTTCCCCGCCCCCTCCTCATTTTACCCTCAAAACAACTCTGTGATGTAGGTTGGGCTGAGAGACAGTGGCTGACAAAAGGTCACTGCCCAGAACTTCATGGTTGAGTTGGTATTCAAATCTGGGTCTTCCTTGCTCAGCACACTAACCAGTGCAACACACTGGCTCCCCACTTGTGTTCGTGCAGCGAGCATCAGAATCGCTGCCTCCTCAAAGGGGCTTTGAGATGTTTTGGAGTTTGCTGTATAGCACAAATGCAAATCTGAATTATGTGGACAGTTGATTGGAAATATTTACAAAGAGAGCATAAATCAAGAAGCAAAAGAAAGCCAAGTATTAGTTTTCCAGTTATCCTATGAAATGGGTACTGTTGGTGGATGCTGTCTTCTACAAGTTTGTGTATAAACGCCCATCCATTTCTGTAGCGATCAAACAAGAAACATTTCCAGTAGATTTGACCCAAAGGCTTTTTTTGCCTGTATGCCGCTTTCGTTAGTAAATTTTGGTAGTAAAGACAGTGTTATTGGCTGCGACAGTAGGAGCTCCCTTTTGGATTCCCGAAGAAATGTGGGTATAGGAATTAGTATGTGGATGCAGACTCAGTCCTTAAAGATAGTAAGTTCCTAACCTGTCGGGAAGCAACACCATTTAGGGCTTCTAAAGCATGCATAAGATAAGAGATGGAGGAAAATGTAGACCTGAATGATATTTAGGACCTCTCCTTGTAGGCAGCAATTCCATTGTCATTAAACGTCAGTCCTCTCAGTCTTTACTCCAAAACTCAACAGGATTTCAGATCTTTTTTTTTATTTTAATGATATTTATTAAAAGTTTAAGAATTACAGAAAAAAGAGGGGGGGGGAAACAGCAAAAAATTTGACAAAACATACATTACAATACATAAAAAGAAAAGCATAAAAAACAATACAACAATACAGCAAAAAAAACCAAAAAAACAATAACATTAACAATAACATTAAAACACACATCCAATGTTCCATATCTTTATCTTTCATTTACTTGTTTCATCGACCTCCTCACACCTCCCTTTTTGTATTCTAATTTAATTAATTGTTTCAGCAAATTCTTTCCATCTTTCTCAATTTTTTTATATAATTTATCTTAACGATCTAACCTTTTAATTAACTCAACAAATCCTTTCCATCTTTCACTATATTCTGTCATTCAATTTACCTTAATTTATTTAACCTTATCTTACCATAAAAAAAAACCTTAAACCTTAAAACTTAATACTTATTTGTACATAACTCCTTATATCATTTCTACTAAAGCCAAATAGTTTCATTCCAACAATTTTCCTAATACTCGTTAATTTTACACTAATTCTCAAAATAATTTTTTTAAAAACTTTCTTCCAATCTTCATCCAACGTCTCTTCTTCCTGGTCTCGGGTTTTGTCAGTCCTTCTTGTCCATTCCATCTAGTCCATCAACCTGGTGATCTTATGTCCGAGGCTCTTAAGTCTTTTCCATGTCCCTTCTGCAGATCTTCTTCTTGTTTATACCTGCACTTTACTTTGTCTTTTGTTGATCTTTTTCTTAATTTCTTTCCTTTCTCATTGGGGGGTAGGTCTCGGGAGGACTCCAATCCAAAAATATCTCCATCTCCCCTCAGCAGATCAGCCCATTCCCCACAGTCCCATTCCCCACAGTCAACACTGTAATCCAGGAAGTATTTAAAAGCATGTTTCAAAGTCCTTCCAAAATTAAGAGCCCTCACAACTCCAGACCCCCCCTGGTCCACTCCAGATTCAAACTTCAAGAACAGCGGCTTATGCTCCTGCAAGGCCTCAGATCTCTCCATTTGTGTTACTTGAGGTTCAACAGCAACCTCCTCCATTATCTTCTGCACTTGCGCTTGCCCTGTCAAAACAAGTTCCTGGGCTGGTTCCTGAATGGTTTCTATATGGGTATTCGCCGTTTGTCCAAAGTTTTTAACTGCAACAGTCATCAAATCCATCTTCTCATGCATCTGCTCCAGCAAAGCGCTTGTCTTGCAAAAAGCAAGCACCAAAACTTCTTCTAAACACATTTTTATTCAAGGTCAGAGTCTGGTCTCACGATCCTAATCTTACAGCTGTGAAATCCCCAGATCGACTCCGGCAACAAATTAACAAGCTCCCTCTAGAGGAGACAATTTCTATTTGTATCCATCTTTTGAAAGCAGGACCAACAAAAGAAAATTACTTTCATTTTTCAAATATTTTGTTTCTTTTAAATGCAAGAAGCAACATTGGAGTCAATTTGTTTCTCTTTTTTTTACTATCTGTCAAAAGACGTTCCATTCACAGTCGATGAACTTCCCCATAAATTTCTGTCTCTGACACCCCGATCCCAGGTTTGAGACGGTGGAAATTTATCTTTCTTTACTCTCTCTCCTGCAGGCTTAAACAGTCAAAAATTCCCCCCCTTTTCTCCTGCTTCCAAGAGGGGTTTTGGTGGTAATAACTGAAGGAAATTTAGACCTTTATATACGACTTTCCAGACTTTAGCTTACAAAGTTTTTGCTTCAATTTATTTACAAAAATGGGAGGCGGACTTCCTGTTTAGAGCCTTCCCGCTTCAGTGCCAAATTAAAATGTTTCTTAATCCAATTTTCCGTTCTACTCACGGGTACTTGTTTAGAGTCCAATTGTCCACAGGAAAAGGTCAGCGCTCTCCGGCAACGGCTGTGCGGCTTCACTCCGTAAAAGTAGCGGTTGATTCAAAACACCGCGCCACTCACCCCACGTCGCTTCGGATCCCCGAAAAAGGGTTTCCCTGCGAGTAGGGGAGGCGCTCCTGGTGTCAGCCGAATCCCACGTTCCCAGGCTTCCTCCGCCTGGGATTTTTAGAGGGTCTCCGCCTTCGCCGCGGCAGCAAGACCCGATTTTCATGGAGCGGGTTCCTCTCGGTCAGAGGAACTCCGCCATTGCCGATGGCACTAACCCGGAAGTCCCAGGATTTCAGATCTTAATGACCTTGCAGTTGATATTTTCGGATGACCTATAGAAGTTGAGTACGTTGCGACTTACTGGTGAGGAAAGATACTTATCAGTCTTTTATTGCTCTTCAGTGTATGGAGTCCATTCTTCTGAGCATGATTTTATGAGTAGAAGCAGATGGTAATTAGAAAACAAAACCCGAAACACCCCCTCGTTACTATTTTTGTCTCATTATTTAAAAGAATAAAAAAAAGTTGGAAGTTACTGTACTCTGCAAAACCCCACTGTCAGCACATTTCTTTCTTGAGTTGAAAACAAATCTGTCAGCAATTTATGTTTTCTATGAGTACTTGTGTTTTCTTTCTTTAGATAGTTTCTTTAAATAAAGTGCCTTTGTAATGGAGTCCATTTTTAAGCGTTAAGCGTCAACAAATTGCCATCTGTCTTGTAAAGGCTCTCTGTCATCTTGATGAGGTCAGCACTCTGGTTAATGTCGAGGAGCAGCGACGTGAATTAGACTTCAAAGTCTGAATGGCCTGAAACCGACATCCTGAAGATGGATGCAACAGATTTTCAGGCATGCAGCTATGAAAGCCGAAGCAAAGTAAATTGTAGACCTTTGAAAATCCTTTACACCCTCTTTTGGTAAAAGTGTTGAGCAGTTCTCAGAGTGTTTGATGACAAATTCAGCGGATTATCTATTAGGTACCTAAATGGACGTGTTATATTAAGGCAGGGGTCTGCATGGCCTGGATCACTCCCGTGGAGATCCTCCGTGGGCCAGACTGAAGCAGCACGACACTGAAAAGTGTGTCTGCGCGTGCCCAGACACCAAAAATCGTGCCTGCACAGAAGCAATTTTCAGTGCCACGGACATGCTCAGATGCAATTTCCGACATCTGGGCATGTGCAGAAGCGATTTCCGGAGCTGTGGAAGAGAGTTGCTGCGCTGCACCGGTTTAGCACAGCGCGTGGGGTGACTCAGTTTGGGGGCAGCTCATGGGCCGGTTAAGCAGCCCTCATGGGCTGCTTCTGGCCCATGGGCCTTAGGTTGCCGACCTCTCTCTTAAAGGATGTGTCCCCTTTGCCATCTTATGTGGGCTGACTTGCCTTCTTAAGTGGTAGTGGTGGCAGATTATCAGGTCAGCTGGTTGGCCATCAATTCTTCCTGTGCTGATTTCTTCCAGGTCAATGCTTCATCATAACTGGTGACAAAGCTGACCAACGAGGAGAAAGTTGGCTAGTATTTCCATCTGACCTAATTATCTGGATCCCAGGCAAATGGAGGAACCAACAAAGCCTGAGCTACCCTTCCACCACATATCATCATGCTGTATCTCACAGTGCCACCTGTCTATGGTCAAACTAACTGCAGCGTGACGACATTCTTATGTTTTTATTACATGTAAAGATAAGAATACCATTTAATACTTAACTGCCATTGGGTGAAGCAGTAGCTGAGTGGCAGAGCATCTGTTTCACATGCAGAAAGTCCGAACTTCAATTCTTGGTATTTCTGGGTAATGCTGGGAGAGACTCCTGCCAGAAAAACTAGACAGCTGCTGCCAGTCAGTGTACAGAATATTGGGTTACATGGGCCAAAGGTGGGGCAAATTCCAGCTAGACCTAGGCTAGGAATGGTGCAGAGGGGCTGCAATATAAACACGAGGGTGGATTTAATTCATGCTGCTCTCTACTGCATGTCTGATTGTACTAACTCCTCAAAGTCTCCCATCAAAATAGGGGATCATCCATTCCTGCAGTCAGTGAGCCCCCCCTACCCTGGTTCTAAACATCCTTCCACAGCTATTCAGCCAGTAGTTAGGGGAGATGAGTGAAGAAAATTGCACATCAAGTGTTTTAAATGTCTGCCCTTCATGTCCTAGGGCATCTGCACTGGTGCCTTACAGTCATTAGTAATATCTGTTTAATGAGCATTTCATCCATTGCATCTGCACAATACTTAGCCTGGAATTGATGTGCCACTAATTTATCATGCAGAAAATTAGAAAGGTTAATTTTCATCACTGCAAGTTCAAATGCTAGAAGACACACACACACACAGGAGAGAGAGAGAGAGAGATTGATTTGCTGTAATCCCGGGAACCAGCAATCTTTGCTGTCACACTGAGCAGGTTGTCTCCTCATGCTCCCCCTTCGCTGTCAGAGAAAAGAGCCCTTATTTGGTTCACAGCTTATAATGAAAACACAGAGATGTGTTATAGTTGGACCTTAACCCAAAGTGTCTAGTCTTGCTCGCCGTTTGGAATTTTTGCCTTCTAAAGCAGCAAATAAATATTGGGATATTCGAGATCTCTCGGAGTATTAAAGGCCTTTGCAGTCGGCAGCCTGGCTTATGGCTTGTTTATACTGATGCCTTACTGAAATCCAAACAGGTCATGTACGGATTGCAGAACTGCTGTCTTTGTAATGGCACTTCATTGCTCCTAATAACTATGGGGACAATAGTATGACAGAAAGTACTTCACAGTGCTAGAGTCCTGCTGCTTTGCAGATTTATTCCACTCGTTATTTGTGCCTGTAGCGAGGAAAGGAGAAAGCCGTATACATGATTTGGTTGGGAACGGTGGCATCTTAAGCACACAGTTTCCAAAGTTGACAGCAAAAAAGACAAGGACCCAAGCATTTTTCTGCCTGCCCCTTCTGTTCTATATAATATGGAAGAACGACAGGCACATAGTGGACAATGCAATATGTGCTGCCCTTTGCCATTGGGTCCCAGCAACCAGTCTTGGTCTACTGGAAATCTTAATGGCAGAACTAGCCACATGATCCTGAGTGAGAAGCCAAACTGACAGACAAAGCTCTAGATCAGCCTTTCTCAACCTGCGGGTCCCCAGATGTTGTTGAACTACAACTCCCATCACCCCTAGCTAGCAAGGCCAGAGCTCAGGGATGATGGGAGTTGTAGTCCAACAACATCTGGGGACCCACAGGTTGAGAACCGCTGCTCTAGATGAACAGATCAAGTCAGTAATGATACACTGGGCAGAGGATTTGGGACATAATATCCAGATGGTAGATTGGGAAAGGCTATGGAAAACAGATTTGTTTTTGTTTTTTAAATAATATTTATTACTTTTCCAACAATTGAAACACTACAAAAAAACACACCAATACAATACAAAAACAGTACATAACACTAACACATTAAACCAACAAAACAAAACAAAAACAGTTTAAAACACATCAAACAGTTTCAACTTCTTATCTTTCATTCACTTATTTCAATGACCTCCTCACACCTCCCTTTTCGTATTCCACTTCTGTTAATTGTTTCAGCAATTCCTTTCCATCTTCCTCTGCTTTCTATCCTTTAATTATCTTAACACATTCTAACCATATTTTTCCCTTTAATACTCTATTAATCTATTTATACTTAATTCCTTATAACATTTCTACTAAAGCCATATAACTTCATTCCAACATTTTTCTAACATTCATTAATTTTACAGTATTTCTGTAAATAGTCTTTAAATTTTTTCCAGTCTTCTTGCACCGATATGGAAAACAGATTTGGAATTTACGGCATATTGTGCATTGGGGGGGGGGGAACTATGAAAATGATGTACCGGTGGTATTTGACCCCTACTAAATTGGCAAAAATGCATAGGACAAGTACAAATATTTGCTGGAAATGTAAAGAAAAAGAAGGTACCTTTTATCATATGTGCTGGACTTGTAAGGTAACAAAAGCTTTCTGGGAGATGATATGTAATGAAATGAAAAAAAATGCTTAAAATAACCTTTTGTTAAAAAAGAAAAAAGAAAAAAAAAAGCAGAAGCTTTTCTATTAGGAATCATAGGTTCCAAAGGAGCAGAAGAGACTTTTTACGTATGTGAAGAAGAAGAAGAAGAAGAAGAAGAAGAGTTCACCCTCCTTTCCTTTCCATCCCCACAACAAACACTCTGTGAGGTGAGTGAGGCTGAGAGACTTCAAAGAAGTGTGACTGGCCCAAGGTCACCCAGCAGGTGCATGTGGAGGAGCGGAGATGCGAACCCGGTTCCCCAGATTAGGAGTCTACCGCTCTTAACCACTACACCACACTGGCTCTCTGTAACAACAGCTACTCAGATGCTAAGAAAAAGTCCCTCCCAGAGAGGAATGGCAAACTAAGCTGATGATCTATGCCCAGATGGCAAAACTGGAAAACTCAGAAATCAAGAGGACAATAACTTTATAAAAGAATGGGGGGGGGTATAAATTATTTAGGAGAGCACTGTAAGCAGATGGAAACATTAGCAGGATTTTTGTTACGCTTGTAGTGTAACAATTACCATGGACAATATGGTTTGATGGAAAAAATCGGAGTATGGAAGAATATGCAGTAATAAATGCTTAAAATGGGACTCCATGGAGGGAGTGGGAGGAAGTCCTCAGATTCAGAGGAATCTCTCTTCTTCTTTTTCTCAAAATTTTTTTATTGGTTTTCCAAAAAATTTTAAACAAACAAACAAACATGCATCTTAACTGTACTTGATCCAATCTTAGTAACATTGTTAACTGGCTTCCTCAAATCCCCCTGGCTGAATTTCAGTGTATATCATTGTAACAGTTTTCCAAAACCAATTTTCTCATAAAATTAACTTAATCACTTAACATCTTTCTTTGTTTTCATTTTGACTTTAAACATATTATTCTCTAACATCACATATTTGAATCCTAAGCCTATCTGATATTTGCAAGTTTTTCCAATTAAGTTATCTTAACATATTTAACTAAATAGTCTTTAAATTTCATCCATTCCTCCTGGTACTCCTCCTCCTTCTGATCACGGATTCTTCCAGTCAGGTCAGCTAGCTCCGAAAAGTCCATCATCTTCATCTGCCATTCCTCCACTGTTGGGACTTCTTGTGATTTCCAATTCTTAGCTAGAGGAATCTCTTTTTATGGATATGTTGTGTGTGTGTGTGTGTATGTGTGTGTGTGTGTGTGTGTAGAACTTTGTAAAAAGTCTTTGTAAAACCAAATAAAAATGATCCCCCCCCCGAAAAAGACAAATAAAGCTCTGGAGGTAGGGCTCATATTACACAGCCCAGTGGGCTGATCAGAGGGGGGGGGGCAGTTTTCCCTCCAATCTGCCCCTGGCCCTCTCCTGCTTAGAAGCCATGCACACTCATTTAGCTTTGAGGGGTATATCGTGCCTTTCTTGTACCATACGTATTTCTCTGCGTTACTTTCCGTGTTTTTCTTTGAGTGTTCTTGCATGCTCAGACAACTCCCTGATAACCCATTCTAAGATGCTAGGCTCGTCTTATGTGCTATGGGAACCGCCAGGCACATTGCATTGCACAACCCAGTTGTGTTGCAAAAGCAATCCTTGCAGACTATTTCATAATAAGGAAAAGTGATGTTGCAGAACTCACTTGCCCTGAAAGTGCTCTTTGTTTCTGTATGAAGAACACCATAAAGTACCAGTACGGCATGTCAGATTGTGTCAGGAAAAACAGGTTATGTTCCTCCGAAATCTTCCACCTAAAGATTTATTTATAGAGTGGATTCCTTCCATCTAAGCAGCAGGGCTAATGATCAACTAGATTGTGGAAGAACAACAACAATTTTATTATTTATACCCCTCCCATCTGACTGGGTTGCCCCAGCCACTCTGGGCGGCTTCCAGCACATATAAAAATATAATAAAGTGTCAAACATTAAAAAATTCCCGATACAAGACTACCTTCAGATGTCTTCTAAAAGTTGTGTAGTTCTTTATCTTGACATCTGATGGAATGATGTTCCACAGGGAAGGTGCCACTGCCAAGAAGGCCCTCTGCCTGCTTCCCTGTAACTTCACTTTCTCACAGTGAGGGAACTGCCAGAAGACCCTCAGAGGTTTGGGAGACAAATTGAATGATACATGAGTTGCCATGGAATGTCATAGTATAAGTGGGGAGCTAACATTCTAATTGGGGAGCATTCTGTACCTTACAGAATGATGTACTAGTATCATAGATATGTATTATCAGCTAGTTCACGTTCTTAAAGGTGAAATATCATCTACCAACTTGGACCATCACTCAACCCATTTAGGCTATAATCACAGAGGATGTGATAAATAATATACCCTCTTAATTTTGAGATTCCCATACTGTGCTGTATCTGATTTCTCAGGATGCCATAAATCTGCCCCCAGAAGAAAATATACATATCCCTGATCCCCAAGTACAGTGGTACCTCAGGTTACAGACGCTTCAGGTTACATATGCTTCAGGTTACAGACTCCGCAAACCCAGAAATAGTACCTCGGGTTAAGAACTTTGCTTCAGTATGAGAACAGAAATCGTGCTCTGGCGGTGCGGCAGCAGCAGGAGGCCCCATTAGCTAAAGTGGTGCTTCAGGTTAAGTACAGTTTCAGGTTGAAGAACAGACCTCCGGAACGAATGAAGTACTTAACCTGAGGTACCACTGTACCACAGACCTGGAGCACAAGAAAAACACATTAGCAATTTTGAACAAAAGACATTAAACTGGGCCTTTCCCTCAAGTTAACAGCGTGGCCCTTTTTGTAGCAATTCCCGATGCCTCAGAATAAAATGAAAACTTTTCTAGACCAGAGTGAACTGCAGGGGGGGAAAGTCACACACACTTTCTGAAAATTGATACTACTCTTGAATCTGTTTCGGCTTTGTTTCAGTGTGTGACACTTTTTAGCCTAAAGGGATTAACAGAAATTTATAGTTAGTTGCCAGTTTTAGTACTCGATGATTACTTTAACCTAAATAGCTCAGCCCATCTTTTAAGTGTTTTATTTTTAATGCTCATGGTTAAACTCTTGCCACTGATGGTGCAAGGAGACGGCTTACAGAGGATGAGGTCACTGCCCTGTCTAGCCTAGTGCTATAAACTCACTTGTAATGGCCAACCTGACTTATGGTCCATATTGTTCAACTTTTTTTAAACCCCAAACTGGGACATGTGTCTTCTGGGATGCACTCCCAGGTGAGTCACATAACCTGTGCCTCACTCTCATCCCGAAAATGTCCTTTTTCAGGTTGAAAGTGCTACGCGGGAGCACAACATCCAAAATGGCTGCTGTGATCTTTGTGTTGAAAAATGGGATGTTCCATTTTTTCCAGGGCACTTGGCAGATACAGAGGTCTTTCCTAGTCTTGGTGCCATATTCCTTTACCTAGAAGTTCAAAGACTGAATCTGGAACCTTTTCCATGCAGAGATTATGCTGCATCACTAAGCTGTAAAAGAAAAAAGTTCAAACTCCCAGTTCATCTGGCAGAAATTTCATTCAGCTTCTGACATTATTCGCAGTGCCGCAATGCTAAAGGCAGCTCTTCAGAGGCCACCATGCCAGATATCAAAGGTATAAGAAAAACAACAGCTCTCTTCCAGGAAATTTCGCACGTAATCAAACATGACCTCACACCTGATCCTAACGTTGCACTCCTCTCTATTTTTCATTGTGTTTCCAACTGCCTTCCAAAGATTTGATTGTACATCCTATTGCAGTGGCTAAATTAACCATTGCCAAGCACTGGAGAGCTTAAAACTTGAACTTTGGCTCTAATGGAGAAGTTAGAAGAAGAAATGAACACACAATAGACCCATTTTGCACCTTATGGTCATATTTTATGTCCGATGCTATGACAAAGGAGTATGGTTTTCGCCCATAGGTGTCCTGCCAGATTGACCATGGAGAGGGAGGGAGGGAAGCTTTCTTATGTAATGTACTTACCTGTGGAAATAAAGAAAGAAAGAAAGAAAGAAAGAAAGAGAAAGAAAGCTGGAGACCAAACTCCAAAATCCACAGCTGGGCATTGCCTTTATTATGACCAACCAAAATGTTACAAAATACAAAAAGGAACTCTTCAGCAAGCAAGATGTTACACAATGCAGGAGGTGAAGCAAAAAGCAAGAAAAGCACAACCATGTTAAGCCATGAAGTCTGTATTTATAAAGAGGTAAAGGTAAAGGGACCCCTGACCATTAGGTCCAGTTGTGGCCAACTCTGGGGTTGCAGTGCTCATCTCGCTTTATTGGCCGAGGGAGCCGGCGTACAGCTTCCGGGTCATGTGGCCAGCATGACTAAGCCGCTTCTGGCGAACCAAAGCAGCACACACGGAAATGCCACTTGCCTTCCCTCCGGAGCGGTACCTATTTATCTACTTCCACTGGCGTGCTTTCGAACTGCTAGGTTGGCAGGAGCAGGGACTGAGCAACGGGAGCTCATCCCGTCGCGGGGATTCGAACCGCTGACCTTCTGATTGGCAAGTCCTAGGCTCTGTGGTTTAACCCACAGCGTTAAACTGTGTTTATACTCAGTCTCAAAAAGCACATTACAGGGGACGGTATCCATACCCTCCAACATCCCTTAGATGAAAATAGGGACATTTCTCAACCCCCGATGGCTTCGCTCACAAGGGTCATAGGAACGTGCAAGCCCATTCACCACGACAAGGTGATGATCCAGTGAGTGAGGGCTAGAATGTAGCCTACTGTACAAAGGCAAGCATCTCACAACCTTGGGTGTATCCACTTTTTCCTGCCCACCCCTGACACAGAAGATTGCCCAAGAAGCAAAGCAGTTGTCATGCGGGGGGGGGGGGAGATTCCCCATCGCTGCCTTAAGCGAAGTGCACAGCTTCCTGGTTAGGCACAAAGCAGAGATTTGATATTTGATTGGCAACAAGCACTTTGAAAGTGAAGGTTAATCTAATTCTTTTTGTGCTGTTGACAGGGAGCCAGATTTTGGGCTTGTAATCTATAACTTTAACCTTCTGGCTTGTAAACCAACATTTCTATTTCAATTTAAAAAATGGCGATTGACCGCAAAGCAGTGAACACTCCTTCGCTAAAAACATGTTTTATGGATTGTGGCTTGTGGCCTGGGTGTCTAGGCTTTTATTCATTCTAAATATAATCTCGGTGGTCCTCCGTGTGGTTGTCAGTTGAATAAATAACAGGCAAAAAGGCGCAGAATCAGGATTTACATCTATGAATTAGAGAGGACAAAACAGACACCCTCTGAATTACAGGAGAAGAAGTCTATTGAAGAGTTATTCTGGTGTAAAAACAACAACCCCAAAACAAAAATAAGGGATCAAGCTTTACACATTGCATGTGGAGATAAAAAGAAACGTCTGTGAAACTGGAACTGATAATTTATTGTATTTGTGCTTTATTTGTTTTCTGCATTTCTTCAGATACTCTTGATAAGAGAGCAGCCCTTTGCATGAGCACAGCCTCTGCAACTGAAAACACACAGACTGTGATCTAGAATATCTGCAACTAATTCATTTGTCTTCTATGAGAAGAGAAACGTCAGCATGCATTTTGGCATCCTCTTACTGAATATTCCAATGTTTCATTCAGTCAAGAAGCACACAGGAGTCCAGAGTACAATACACAAATGTATTGACTGCCCTTACACATGAGCAGGTTTTTATTTATATAATTTTTTGTGACAGTACTTTCTGGTAGGCACTCCGGGCACCCTGTTGTTGTCGTTTTTGCTGCCAATGGCAGCCGTTTTGGGCTGGCACCCATTGGACCTTTATCAAGATATAGAATCATAGAGTTGGAAGGGATCCCAAGGATCATCTAGTCCAACCCTCTGTAATGCAGGAATCTCAGCTAAAGCATCCATGACCAATGGCCATCCAACCTTTGCTTCAAAACCTCCAAGGAAGGAGTGCACCACCTCCGGAGGGAGTCTGTTCCAAACAGCTTTTACTGTCAGAAAGTTATTCCTGAAGTTTCTTTGGAATTTCCTTTCTTGTAACTTGAATCCATTGGTTCCCAGAGGAGGAATAAACAAGTGTGCTCCATCTCCCATGTGACGGCTCTTAAGATATTTGAAGATGGCTACTGGCACCTCATTGAGTTGCAGAACTGTTAAGTTGGAAGAGACCCAAAGGGTCATTTAGTGCAACTACATACATGTAAGCTCAATTTAAATTGATTGGGGTATTATTTTATGCAGACAACATGTTTGTATCATTTGAACACAGATGGAAGCAGTCTACAACATGTGTGAGAAGAGGGAGTGCCGGTCAGTGGCCAATTAATGTATGTTGGCCAACCAACTTTTCAAAACTTCTCTTGCTAGGCTGGTTTGCCGAGACCATATATTTTTGAACCGTGTTTTTTACTCAGAAGAAAGCAGCCTTCTTGTGAGTAAAAAGCATGATTCCAAAATATATGGTCTGGGCAAACCAGTATACGTGGTGCAAGTTTTCCAAACCAGTCCCTTCAAGCACTGGTGGTGCTTAGACACAACCTTAGACAGACTGCTCTGTCCAATCCTCTGGATTCTCCCCAAGCCATCTCCTTCATGAGCTCCTCTTGCTTGCCCCATTGGGAGATGCAGAAGTGTATGTGTGTAACTTCCACATGTGGACGTGGAAATGGGTCAGAGTGGAGGGACAATATTTTAGGATGAACTCCGTGTCGCCAAAAGTGGTGGAATGAATAAAGAGCATGTGAAGAGGACAACAAGAAGGCGGGCACTCCTGAAATCAGGTCTGGGTCTTTGCGAAAGCTATTTCAAGAAGGTTTACAGTCTCTCTCTCTCTCGTTCTCTCTCTCTCTCTCTCTCTCTCTCTCTCTCTCTCTCTATCTCTCTCTCTCTATCTCTCCCCGCCCCCCCCCCCCAGCAACTCCAGTGTCTGGTTGGCCACTGTGAGAACACAGTGCTGACTAGATGGGTCTTGATTTTCGCAACACGGCGCCCACACCCTCCAAGTGTCCCTATTTTCCAGGGACAGCCCAGATTTATACAAGCCGTCCCAATTTCTGATTTGATCCTGGAATGTCCTGCTTTTCCTTAGGACATCCCTACTTTCCTTGGATAAATGTTGGAGTTATGTGACCCTAGAGCCAAGGAAATGAGTAACTATACAACCTATACAAGACATCTTAAGGCAGGCCAGTATAGGGACATACAGGTTTTTTTTAATGTTTAATGTTCTGTTGTGTGTGTGTGTGTATATATATATACACACACACACACACACACACACACACACACACACACCCCATATTTTTCACTCCATAAGATGCAATTTTTCCCTCCTAAAAAGCAAGGGGAAATGTGTGTGCGTCTTATGGAGCGAATGCAGGTGGGAGGCAGGTGGGAAAAGCCCCCAAGCTCCATGTGGCTCTTGCGGGCTTTTCCCCAGGAGGGAGAAGGGACTGACTGGCCGCGTAAGTCCCTTCTCCCTCCTTGGGGAAAAGCCCACAAGAGCCACACACACACTCCACGCGGCTCGTGAAAGGGAGCGCTGAGCTGAGCCTGGGATACATACAGGCTCTGCTCAGCGCTCCCTTTAAATATATATTTTTTCTTGAATTCCCCCTCTAAAAACTAGGTGCGCCTTATAGAGCAAAAAATATGGTATGTTGGAAGCTGCCCAGAGTGGCTGGGGTAATCCAGTCAGATGGGCAGGGTATAAATAATAAAATTATTATTACAATGGAATAGGACATCCCTATTTTCATCAGAATCGCCAAAGAATTGATGCTTTTGAACTATGGTGCTGGAGGAGTCTCTTGAGAGTCCCATGGACTGCAAGAAGATCAAACCTATCCATTCTGAAGGAAATCAGCCCTGAGTGCTCACTGGAAGGACAGATCCTGAAGCTGAGACTCCAATACTCTGGCCACCTCGTGAGAAGAGAAGACTCCCTGGAAAAGACCCTGATGCTGGGAAAGATGGAGGGCACAAGGAGAAGGGGACAACAGAGGATGAGGTGGTTGGACAGTGTTCTCGAAGCTACCAAACTGTGGGAGGCAGTGGAAGACAGGAGTGCCTGGCGTGCTCTTGTCCATGGGGTCACGAAGAGTCGGTCACAACTAAATGACTAAACAACAACAACAACAAATTTTCATCGGAGAAGTGTTGGAGGGTATGTAGTTCTATTTCTAGTAAAACAATGGACTGAGTGATGTAAAAAAGGACCCCTGGATGGTTAAGTCCAGTCAGAGGTGCCTATGGGGTTGCAGTGCTCATCTCGCTTTTCAGACTAAGGGAGACAGTGTACAAAAACAGCTTTCCAGTTCATGTGGCCAGCATGACTAAACCGCTTCTGGCACAATGGAACACCGTGACGGAAACCAGAGCGTACGGAAACAGTGTTTACCTTCCCGCCGCAGCAGTACCTATTTATCTACTTGCACTGGCGTGCTTTCAAACTGCTAGGTTGGCGGAAGCTGGGACAGAGCAACGGGAGCTCTCCCCATCGCACGGATTCGAACTGCTGACCTTCAGATTGGCAAGCCCAAGAGGCTCATGGTTTAGTGATGTAATGTGAGGCAGATCTGGGCCATAAGAAGAGGGGGGCTCTTTGCCACCTCTCGTACTCTGTGTTGAAACACGAAGAGACAACTTTGGTTCTCATCTGTCATGAATTAGGTTAATGTTTGCTCCGTGAATTAGGTCATGCAGGCTGATAGCTGCTGCCGTTTCAAAAATGGCATCAATCATAACCTTAGTTGTCTCTCAGCCCTTTAGGCAACTTGCTGCAAGTTTGCCAGACTTTGTTTCATTAACTGGGACAGGCGAGAGCTTTCATAATGTACGTAAAAGGCATGTGGTTAATTGTAACAATAATCAGGCAGCAAAGCACTTCAGCCTTATTATATAAACTATGTTACATCAGCTTGTTGATAGCTCGGTTTAGATGGGGTTTTACACGGTGAATAGAAACGACGCTCAGGATTGTTCTCATTACGGTCAGCCACAAGCACAAAAATAGCAAGAGCTGACAAAGTCTTTATTGTACAATAGAAATGTTATCACTCTGTAAAATCCCGATCTGCAAGCCATTTGCAGAGGAATATCTGGGCCAGAGCCAAGCCAATCTTCTTGACTTCAATAGGACTCCGATTCAAACTGGCTCCCATTCAGATACTTTTTCTTAGCTCTTTGCAAGCATGAACTCTGGCCTTGCGCAGTTACCCCTCTCCCCTACCTCCTTAAAAAAAATAAAAAAATAAATCAAATTTCACGTTTGTTGTGTTAGAGCTTTGCTTGAACTTGTCAGACGACACAATTTCTATGTTGATTGTATTCCAAGTTTCTATTTTTGGACAGTTGGCAAATCTTTCGTCAGACGTAGGTGTGGTGAATTTTCAAGGAAGCGCGAGAGTTCTGCTTTTATTAAACAGCTTTAGGTTTCGTAACAGAGAACTTTCAACTCGCTTTAAAGGTCTGGCTGCTTTAGGGTTGTTGTGTGGTGTGTGTTTTTTGCTTCTTTATTGCTGGGAGGGTTATGCAACACGGTTTGCGAAAAAGGGCAGTGACTCATTATTACCACCTCATTTTTTTAATCCTTTCACTTACATAACTCTTCTCCAATTGAAAAGAAGAAAAAAGTTAATGTTTCAGATGTGATTTTTTTCTTTTTTCTTTTTACAGATGATAATAAGAAGCATACTTTTTTTTTTTTTGCATATAAGCAAACACGAGAGATGTGTTTTGAATTTCTATGTCTTTTTCTTAGCTGAGCTGTATTTTGCTGAGTCGTTTTGGCTTGATGTTTCAGAGATTTCTTGCCATTAGGAGTGTTAAAGTTAAGCAGCAGAACCAAGAGTTCCAGATATCCCTACTTTTGCCATATACAGCACCAATTGCAGCTACAAGTACCCACAGAAATAATGGTCTTTTCCTTCTGTGTTTCTTCATTTGCAGTTGCTGGCATTACAGTGCTAATTGCTACCCATTTGGGGCCTGTCAACACATTTGGGATTTTGAGAGTGTGTCATGGTCACCCCGGCAACCCCTGGTTGCATCCATGCCTCCTCTGCTGCCCTGACCGACAGGCAAAGTGACACACACGTTCTTTACTTTTGGCAAAATATCCACTTTCACTCCTCCATCTCCCTTTTAGATGCTAGCAGGTCAGGCTAGTACTAAGCTTGCTTTGCAGTGACCCAGACTCTGTCAATATCTCGCAAATACTCCTTGAGTATGGCAAGGAGACAGGGACATTTTTTGCTTGGGGCTTCAGGCAACTCGCCCTGATAAAATTACAGACTTTTATCAAGACATTCTTGACGACACTTGGTGAACAGGAGGTCATCTCTATTTGCATCGTTTCGTGGAATCCTGTCTAGTTTGGTCCAGGTTTTAATAGAGCTCAGATAAGGGGGCAGATAAGCTACAGCTGGAATGTTGGTTTCTGCGTTTCATTCGTTAGGTATTACTCAATGGAACCCGTGCCGAAGAACCACACCTTTTTCTAAGCACAGAGGCAGAAGCAGTCTTGAGCTACCCGCAGGCTTCCAAGCCCGCTTGAACCCGAATGTAAACTCGTTTAGCTGCTCACATGCAAGGAATGCTTGGGTCATGAACCACATGTAACTGTTAGATGGGGTTGGTGCACACCAATGAGTCAATGTATTTGGGGAGCCATGCAATGTCATCATAACTGCACGAAGCTGCTTTACACCTGAGGTGGTCATGTGTTACAGAGAACAGTGCTTAAAGGACAACTCTGTTTGAGAGAGTTTGAAGTTTGAGAGACTTTGAAGTTCAGAAACTTCAGCTAGTGGAGAATTCAACAGTCAGGTTGCTCACCAGAGCAAGACAGTTTGAGCATATTACACGGATCCTGGTCCGACTGCACTGGTTACCAATTAGTTTCTGGGCCCAATTCAGAGTGCTGGTTTTGACCTATAAAACCTTAAACGACTCAGGACCGCTTTATCTCAAGGATCACCTCTTTCCATATGAACCTACCCAGACCCTGAGATCATCTTCTGACACTCTTCTTCGTGTGCCTCCTCCTTCAGAGGTCCAGAGGGTGGCAACACAAGAACGGGGCCTTCTCTGCAGTGGCTCCCTGCCTGTGGAATGCTCTCCCCAGGGAAGTCTGCCTGGCGCCTTCATTATACACCTTTAGGCACCAGGCAAAAACGTTCCTTTTTAACCAGGCCTTTGGTTGATGTGATTGACATCCTATGCCCATTTAAAATGTAGCTCTTTTTCGGGGTGGGTGGGTTATTAGGTTGTTGTTTTTATTTTGATTATATATATTGTGGTTTTTATGTTGATTTTGTTCTGTGAACCGCCCTGAGACCTCCGGGTATAGGGTGGTATATGAATGAATGAATGAATGAATGAATATTGTTTGGTCGAGTTTAACTTCCACATAAAGGGTTGCATTCAACATAATGCTATCAGGCGTCCGCAAACTTGTTCAGCAGGGGGCCGGTCCACTGTCCTTCAGATCTTGTGGGAGGCCGGACTATATTTTTTTTTGGGGGGTGAACTAATTCCTATGCCCCACAAATAATCCAAAGATGCATTTTACATAAAAGCACACATTCTATTCATGTAAAAACACCAGGCAGGCCCTACAACTAACCCAGATGTGCATTTTAAATAAAGGTACACATTCTACTCATGTAAACACATGCTGATTCCTGGACCGTCCGTGGGCCGGATTGATAAGGCGATTGGGCCGGATCCGGCCCCCGGGCCTTAGTCTGCCTACCCATGCGCTAAATGGATTGTTATATGAGTGTAAGAATTCCTCCTTGCTCCAAGAAACACTGCTGAACAGGAAAGGGTAACCTGAATGTGTCCCACCCAATTTTTGGCAAATCGTCCTTCTCTTGAAATCTTCAACAACCCATGGTGTTGAGAGGATGGTCTCCTGACATTCTGGGGATCAGGGTGGGGGGCGGGGTTTGGAGAGGAAGAAGGAAAGGAGAAATGCTGCAGCGGAAGTGGAAGGAGATCTGGGCGCAGAAGCAGGAAACTGTATGCAATCCAGATGCAGATTCTGCCCATTCTGGGACAGCCAATCACAGATAAATGGGTGTGACAAGAGCTGGATAGCAATCATTGGCTACAGCGTTTAAACACTATCAAGAAAGAGTTAGGCTGCATACAGAATGACACATTTGTGGCACAAATGTGTCGTTTTTCTCGACCCAGAATTGTGCCTGCTGGTCTTCAACATGTCGCTTTCAATCCAGATTGATTCTAGCTCCTGCTGACCACAAGGCTGGGTGGGGTTATGTGATATGCATTTGCACCCCACCCCCAATTGTGTTATCCATGCCTTTTCCTCATGCCTCAGATGAATGAAAAAGGAAGAGATGTTTGTAGTCTTGGTATATGCCTACCCACTATGTCACTGGGAATAATAATAATAATAATAATAATAATAGTTTAATTATACCCCACCCATCTGGCTAGGTTTCCCCAGCCACTCTGGGCAGCTCCCAACAGAATATTAAAAACATGTTAAAACATCAAACATTAAAAGCTTCCCTTTCCTTGGCATCTGGTGGGAGGGCGTTCCACAGGGCGGGCGCCACTACCAAGAAGGCCCTCTGCCTGGTTCCCTGTAACCTCGCTTCTTGCAGTGAGGGACCCGCCAGAAGGCCCTTGGCGCTGGACCACAGTGTCTGGGCTGAACGATGGGGGTGGAGACGCTCCTTCAGGTAGAAACACAAACACAAACTCTCCCCGTTGCCAGAACTGCCTCCATCAGGCATAGGCAAACTCTGGCCCTCCAGATGTTTTTGGGACTACAACTCCCATCATCCCTGACCACTGGTCCTGTTAGCTAGGGATGATGGGAATTGTAGTCCCAAACATCTGGAGGGCCGGAGTTTGCCTATGCCTGGCCTACATCTTGTCTTCGAACAGACCCACTGCAGAACCAATCTGCAATCAGTTTAATTGTTGAAATCAAACCAGTTTCTCAATCAGCATTTTTCAGGGGCAAAAAAAAAGAAAAGAAAGAAGAAGCAATAGATCTAGATTGTTTGTGAGCTACGGAGAAAAAATAGGCACTTTGTGTGCATTGATTCTAGAATGAACGTTAATGTGTATATAGCCTAACTAGAAGTTTAATAAATAAGAATAATGAAATAAATAACTGGCCGTGGAAATGAATATTATCGCTGACAACACAGGTGTCAGAATACAAGGATGCTATAGCCTTCCTTCCATACATAGGGATACTTTGAACTGAGAAATATATAGACTGCTCTTCTTTCACAAAATTTAACTGGACAGATCCTCATTTAACACAGTGGATCTTAACTCTCCATAAATATGCATAAAGAGAACAACTTAGCCTACTATATTTAATACTGGAGCAACTTGATTATACAGTATACTGAAAGCTATTAGGCTTCTTGATCATGTTAGAAAGTCAATACTCATATTTGCATAACATTCTCCATTTATGGCTTTAGTTCATGGGAACCGAAAAGAAAAGACATTTCAAGCCCTCTTGAGAATGTCACAAACAAGAAAACACTCGCATATAAAATGTTTGAAATATTTTTCTTCAAAAGCCAGACGTAGTAGCAATTAAGCTAGGATAATTAAAGGAACAGTGCTAATTTTAGTGGAAATTAACAGTGCATTTCTCCAGGCAGTCAATCATGGAGCTCAATTGTCTCTTTATATTATGCAAATATGATACACGTTAGTCAAACATAAGTGGTTGAAGGCTCACGTTGCCAAACGCCTCTCGAGAAAGAGACATATAATGAAGAGTTTGCATTGTTGTTAATTCAAATTAATCCTACAAAGGCAGTGCAGGCAGAGAAGGAGACAGTGGGAGTCTCATGTGATCTGGTTTTATATTTATTGATTGGTCATTTACTGGAAGCCAAGTGTTTGTTCAGTATAATTGTACAGCTAATAGCCTTGGCTAAGCCAAGCAAAAATTGTCAACTGTTCGCTTATGTATGGTACAGAGTGATTGCATACACTGAGGGTGGGAGAGTCCTGTGATTTGCATTTTATTTATAAGATTTCTAAATAGTCAACAGGTGTTCAGGTAGGTTATTGTGTAAAATTAAACCAAATCAAATAAAGACCATCAGTAGTGATGTTAATATATATACAGTGGACGCTCAGGTTGCAAACATGATCCATGCGGGATGCACATTCGCCTGCAGCATTCACAACCTGCAGCGGCACTTCTGCGCAAGTGTGGGTTGCGATTCGGCACTTCTGCGCATGCGCAAAGCGCGATTTAATGCTTCTGCACATGTGTGACCGCCGAAACCTGGAAGTAACCCATACCGGTACTTCCGGGTTTTGGCGGGTCCGTAACCTGAAAAAACACAACCTGAAGTGCCTGTAACTCGAGGTATGACTGTACTGTATATGTACTGATAAATATATACCGGTATATTGATGATAAATTTATACTGTAAACTGCCCTGTGATCCTTAGCTGAAGCTCAGAATATAAATTTAAGAAAACAATAAATAACGGACAAAATATATACAAAAATATACAAAATATTAAAATAAGATATCACTCGAGATACCGTTCCCAGACTCAGACTTCCTGCTGCATGTAAATGATTTAGTATTCCAAAAGCTTTCTGATATTATAGTTCCAACATCCTGCAAAGTCAGATAAAGCTAAAGGCATGGCAAACTTTGGGTAGGAGCCGGCAGAGAACCTTATGCAAAAATACATTTGAGTAAATGACAATCTCAAACACCAATAAAAGAAGGAAGGGCACTGTTCAAATAACTTAACATGAACTGGAGCTAAAGATCGCAAGGATGGTTCAGACATGAATGCTAAGCAGTGATTTTGCCTGTGCTCACTTCCTCTCCCCTCTCACCACCATGTGCAGCGATAGCCCTGTCCTGATTTGAGGCAACCCACAAATTGCCGCTTCATATAGAAAATTATTATTTGCAACTGCACTCCAAGTAGGACTGGAAAACCAAGAAGGGAAGAAGGAATCGAAAGGTACACAAGTCTAGAGATCCTGCCAAACCCAGTCATTCATTCATTCAATTCATATCCCACCCTTCATCCCAAAGGAGCCCAAGGGCAGCAAAAACACATTGAATCATCTAAAAACAGTTCCAATACAGATGCAGACTGGCAAAGAGCTCTATTTAACAGTCTCGTGGGAAGAAGAAGGTCTTCAGTAGGCACCAAGAAGACAATGAGGGAATCCCAAGAAATAGGTGCCACAGCACAGAAGACCCACCCACTTCCTATATTGTGCTGAATGGACTACTGGGATCTTAAAGGTAAAGGGACCCCTGACGATTAAGTCCAGTTGTGACCAACTCTGGGATTGTGGCGCTCATCTCACTTTATTGGCCGAGGGAGCAGGAGTACAGTTTCCAGGTCATGTGGCCAGCATGACTAAGCCGCTTCTGGCAAACCAGAGCAGCGCATGGAAACACCGTTTACCATCCTGCCGGAGCGGTACCTATTTATCTACTTGCACTTTGACGTGCTTTCGAACTGCTAGGTTGGCAGGAGCAGGGACCGAGCAATGGGAGCTCACCTTGTCGCGGGGATTCGAACCACCAACCTTCTTTTTTAATAAATAAATAAATAAAATAAAATAAATTTTTATTAGTTTTCAATATAATCACACAATTTTATCCAAATTTTACCTGATTTTAACAAAATACACATTTTGGACTTCCTTCAACTTCTCTGGTAATCATCCATTCGAACCACCAACCTTCTTATTGGGAAGCCCCAAATTCTCAGTAGTTTAGACCAGAGCTCCACCCACTTCCTGAATAAACAAGCACACAATCACTGATAGGTCCACTTGCCATTGTGAGGCTCAAAGCAATGAAGGTGATGCCTCCCCAGCTGTTGCCATTGGCTGTGGGTTTCTTGTGATGTCACAAAAGCACTGGGCAACTGAGTGGATATAAAGGCAGGCCAAGGGGGAAACCCTTTTTTTATTTCCAGCAGGACACATCTGGCAATGGATGTGACATTCAGCACTGCCCAGGTTTCTTCCACTTGGAGGAGGCAAACTGGTGAATGGAAGAAGGCAATCCTCTGGCAGTGGGATGCTAGGGAGCGATAATAAGGCAAGTTTGCTTGCTTGAAGGCTGCTGATATCTGTGGTTGGAAACTGGTGGATGTCTCATGATGGACCTTAGAGAAGCTGGCAGATGTTGGTGGATGGAAACCAGTGGTTTTTGGATTCAGAAGTTGGTAGAGGCTACAAGGCTAAAGCAGACTGATGTTTGTGGATGTCGGCTGATGGAAGTTCACCTTTGGAAGACAGTCAACAGAAGCCAGTGGATATTTGTGGACTGAAGCCAGGGCACGAACGTGAATGGATGTCATGTTTTTGGATGTCGGCTGGTATATGTTTGTGTGAGTACATGGGGGGGGGGTGGTTCAAATGTGGTTGAGGCAGAATGGTGTTTGTATGTGCACGAATGTGATGTGTGAAAGGTAGATATTCATGAATAAATGGAACCCAGGGGAGGGGGGGATATTGGTTTCATGGAATCAGAGAATCAGGGAATCGAGTTTGGGAGGGACCATGAGGGTCATCTAGCCCAACCCCCTGCAATGCAGGAATCTTTGCCAAATGTGGTGCTCAAACCCACTGGCATGCTTTTGAACTGCTAGGTTGGCAGAGGCTGGGACAGAGCAACGGGAGCTCACCCCGTCGCGGGGATTTGAACCTCTGACCTTGCGATCGGCAAGCCCAAGAGGCTCAGTGGTTTAGACCACAGTGCCACCCATGTCCCACTTTGACTAGAGATACCACCTCATTGACAAGAGGAATCCATCCCAGTTCTACCATAGAGAATTACAGTATATACTAAACAAGACCCTACAGTTGAAAGAAAGATTTTGTAACGGAAAGCAGCTGGCATGTTTCAAACAAGAGGAAGAGACTCATTTTGGGGAGGTTTCAAATGTATTTCTGAGAGACTCCCTAGAAAGCACAGGCTCCAGTTGAGCCACGATCTTGTTTTGCAAAGTCAAGTTGAGCTTGGAAGGATGGAAATCCCACGGATTTCCTTTTAACAGGGAATGCTGACGTCGCATCACCTCTTCCAAATTGTGGATATAAATTAACTTTTCAATAAATAACCACGGAGCTTTTGGGGAAGGGGGGCTGTGAACGTCCCCCCAGCCTTAGAAGCCAACCAACATGTCTCTTTTCCGGAGCCCTTTGAGCTTTTGTTCAAAGTTTGAAGGCTGCTCTCTGACAAGTGATTTGTTTCCATTAGAACATGCCTCCTTCCAGCCGTCCGTGACCATCTTGTACTTAGGGCTTTATAAGCAGCACGTCTCAACATTCCTAAAATCCCAGGGAGGATCTGAAAATAGAAAAAGAAACGAGCATTTAAATTAAAAGCAATGGCCCTTAAATAGAGCTGCCATGTTTTGAGGCAAGATAGTGTCTCTTTTCCCCCTCCTTCTCGCTTCCCTCCCCCCTCCCACGGGGTTGCAAGTTGCTTTTTCCAGAATACAGTGCAAAGCCACCGAGATTTGCATTCCCTCTTCTATTTATAGGAGCCTCTTTTAAAACGAAACAGGTGTCAAGTTGAATGAGACTGAAGCAGGCTTACATGTCCTATATGGCTGGAAAAGCAAGAGCCGGGGCGTGTGAGAGAGGAAACAGGGTGACTTGGGTGATTGGCAGATTGGTTGCTGAATGGAGCGAGCAGCCGAATGGGGAAGAGGAAAAGCTGAGCTGCTTCTTTGCAGGGCTTCGGCCATCTTTAATTCAATCGATTTAGGAGAATTTAATGACAGGGGAAGGGACCAGCTGGCTTTCCCTGCAGAATTAAATCCTCCAAAGATTGAGAGAGACGAAGTGAGAGTTAACTGTGCAATGCAAATCCCCTTTGGGTGGAGAGTGGCATTGGGCAGAGGGGCAGCCGTGGCAACCTCCGCCAGCTTGCCCCATTGCCAGCAGAGTGATATCAGTGCCAATCCACCGGCGCAAAGCTCTCCCGTCCACTCACTGAACAGGCAGACAGGAGTGATGTTGTCTGGGACCCTGCCAGTGGGAACCATTGGAAAGCCCTGGAATGGGGCATTCAATGGGCCGGTGGGAAGGCCAAGGGTCCAGATAATGGGTCGATTACAGTGGTACCTTGGGTTAAGTACTTAATTCGTTCCGGAGGTCTGTTCTTAACCTGAAACTGTTCTTAACCTGAAGCACCACTTTAGCTAATGGGGCCTCCTGCTGCCATCGCGCCCCTGGAGCACGATTTCTGTTCTCATCCTGAAACAAAGTTCTGAACCTGAAGCACTATTTCTGGGTTAGCGGAGTGTGTAACCTGAAGCGTATGTAACCTGAAGCATATGTAACCCGAGGTACCACTGTATTTGCTTTGGATAGGGTCATGCTTCCCCTGAAACAGCAAGTTAGTAGTCTTGGGCTGCTCCTGTGTGCATCTACCTCAGCGGCTAGGAGTGTCTTCTACCATACAGTGGTACCTCAGGTTAAGTACTTAATTCGTTCCAAAGGTCCGTTCTTAACCTGAAACTGTTCTTAACCTGAAGCACCACTTTAGCTAATGGGGCCTCCATCTGCCGCTGCGCTGCCGGAGCCCGATTTCTGTTCTTATCCTGAAGCAAAGTTCTTAACCTGAAGCACTATTTCTGGGTTAGTGGAGTGTGTAACCTGAAGCATATGTAACCTGAAGCGTATGTAACCCGAGGTACCACTGTAGTCGCCTTTGACTGGACTTAACTGTCCACGGGGTCCTTTCCCTTTCCCTTTCCCTTTCCCTTTCCCTATCTCTACTCTAAGGGAGAAGGCAGTCCAGTTGGTAAGAGAGTCTGATGTCCAGAACTTCAAATAGATCTTGGCCACAGCCATCATTTATTTATTGCAATAGGGAGATTAGCAATTGTCATTTTAGCACTGTTTTGGATCACGTCTCACTTCTAATGGATGCTCTTCAGTATCTTCCTAACTTCAACATTCCTAACTCTCCCTGGAGAGGCTACTGCCAGTAGAAGTGGCAGGTGAGTGTGGGCCCGGGTTTTGAGGGTTGGGCCCTAGGTCACATGACTGAGCAGAAGAGGGTTTGTTGTGTCCCGCCCTCAGCTCTCTGCCACAATGTCCCTTTGGGGGACTTATACTGGTGCAAGTTGCACAGGTTTCAGCTGCCCCAGATGAGCTGCAGTGAGGGACTTCAGGCCAATGTAGATAGGAAAGCCCAAGGTTGGCCAAATCCAAACTCTTTCATCCTGCTGGATCTTGGGTTTGGATTATGCTGTAAGTTAGTGCTGTTGCCTCTGTATTAAATGAACACAGTGAGATTTTTAACAGTGAAACTAGGATGTGGCTGGATTTTGGATGAAATTATTATTATTATCATCATCATCATCATCATCATCATCATCATTACTTTATGCCTCTATGTGTATGGCTTTTCCGCACATATCCTTTAGTCTGTCCCAACAGATTTTCCTTCCTACTAGACAGAAGTACTGTTTTTGGGGGACAGGAGGTGGGCAGGTGTGGAGGACTCCCAGGTCCTGAATGGGGTAACTGTGCCCGTGAAGGACCAGGTGCACAGCCTGGGAGTCATTTTGGACTCGCAGCTGTCCATGGAGGCGCAGGTCAACTCTGTGTCCAGGGCGGCTGTCTACCAGCTCCATCTGGTACGCAGGCTGAGACCCTATCTGCCCGCGTACTGTCTTGCCAGAGTGGTGCATGCTCTGGTTATTTCTCGCTTGGACTACTGCAATGCGCTCTACGTGGGGCTACCTTTGTAGGTGACCTGGAAACTACAACTAATCCAGAATGCGGCAACTAGACTGGTGACTGGGAGCGGCCGCTGAGACCATATAACACTGGTCCTGAAAGACCTACATTGGCTCCCAGTACGTTTCCGAGCACAATTCAAAGTGTTGGTGCTGATCTTTAAAGCCCTAAGCAGCCTCGGTCCAGTATATCTGAAGGAGCGTTTCCACCCCCATTGTTCAGCCTGGACACTGAGATCCAGCTGCTAGGGCCTTCTGCCGGTTCCCTCATTGCAAGAAGTGAAGTTACAGGGAACCAGGCAGAGGGCCTTCTTGGTAGTGGCACCCACCCTGTGGAACACCCTCCCATCAGATGTCAAGGAGATCTGAAGGAGAAGACATCTGAAGGTATAAGAAGGTTTTTAATGTTTAATATTTTATTATGTTTTTGTGTATGCTGGAAGCCACCCAGAGTGGCTGGGGCAACCCAATCAGATGGGCGGGGTATACATAATAAAATTGTTCTTATTGTTCACCCAGTGCCCTGCAGGTTGCTCTTTTTCCAGAAAATGTGGGGAGAGAAGCACTCTGCTTTGTAAGTGGTGTCTAACATGTTGAAAGTACACCAATAAAAGAATGAAAATGGTTTATTGAATATTTACATATAAATTATAAACAGATAAAAACATTGGCAGGAATATGGTGATAACCTGCAGTTTCATAAGCGTGTATATTTAAAGAAGATGAATAAATGAGTAAATTAAGTTAATTTGGATATGCGGAAGATATTAAAAGCAAATTTAAGGAATCGCAGAAAGAGGGGGAATGGAGTAAATTTTGAAATGTTAAAATGAAGTGCCTCCAATTGCCAATATTGGTCCCTCTGGCAAAGACTGGCCGGCGACTGCTTGCCAACCATGTATGCTTGATAAATTGGAGCCCTGCCATAATGTCTCTGAAGTTTCACCAGCTTCCATCTGCAGTAATCATATGGGCATCATGACCACAGTTGCGCATTTGATCCTGTGATATATATGACCACTGTTCCTTAAATCCTTTTTAGAGGTGGCAGCCTGGCTGTGGAAAAGATGTCAGGCAGATGAACCTGAGTTACCCAGTATCGCTCGCTGCCAAAGAGTCTCAGGTTGCAGCCGTTCCTCCTCGAGGCTGCAATCATGCGCCCATCAGCCAAAAGGAAAGAATATAGTGAGCAAATCAGAAGGAAGCAGCATGGGTTATTTGGAAGTCTGTCCAGAATGCCAGTTGGGCTGTTCTGGCTGTCCCCAAGTACCCCAAGCTGTGTGCAAACTTAGAGTTGCTGGCTGTCATTCTCTTTCTCATACAATTGCATACAATTCCAGGATAATCAGGTGCCCCTCAACCTCCCACTTGTCCATTGGATCTCTTTCTTTGAAATTCATTCCCATTGCTTCCTATCCCTCTAGCTTTCAGTTGACACTTCTGTTTATTTGTCAGGGCATTTACTGTATTTTTCGCTCTATAGGACGCACCCGACCATAGGACGCACCTTGTTTTAGAGGGGGAGAACAAGGGGGAAAAAAATTCTCCCCCTCTCTGCTCAGCACCCCTTCAGCGAAGTGGCAGGAGAAACGGAGCCCCTTCCATTTCTCCTCCCGCTTGGCTGAAGGGGCGCTGCGCAGCTCTCCCTCGCTGAAGCCGGGAGAGCAAGGCTCTCCTGGTTTCAGCGAAAGGAACCTGAAGCCTGCGGAGCGCAGCGGGAACTCGCGCTGCACTCCGAAGGCTTCAGGCGGCTATCCCTGAAGCTTGGAGAGTGAGAGGGGTCATTGTGCACGACCCCTCTCGCTCTCCAGGCGTCAGCGAAAGCAACGCGAAGCCTCCGGAACGCGGAGGGAGCATTCCCTCTGCGCTTCGGAGGCTTCGCGTTGCTATCGCTGAAGCCAAGGAGCCTGCATTCGCGCCATAGGACGCACACACATTTCCCCTTAATTTTTGGAGGGGGAAAAGTGCGTCCTATAGAGCGAAAAATACGGTATTCATTTATTTTGAAAAAGAGGTTCCTGAACTTGTTGGCTTTTTTTTAGGGGGACCAACCAACCAAACTTTGTTGAGCACGCAGTCAAGGTTGTTGAGCTATTTTTTTTGGGGGGGGGGGGAGAGATTGCCCCTAAGTAATCTTCTCTTCTTCACCCACTCACCCTACCAACGGTTTTGGCACCTTACGATGGCTTCCTCTGCTGCACCACACCAATCGCCGTGCTGCTGTGCCACAATACTACAGAGGTGCTGGAATGCACCAAAGAGGTGCCGGAACTCACTTCTGGTGAGTTCCACCTGAAAAAGCCCTGCCTACACTCACCTTGAAGGTGCAGCATTTTAGACCAGGTCCTCAAGGTGGTTTTGCGTACCACCTTTGCTTCTAGCAGAATGTCCTCCTCGTCAGTGGTGTAGCGTGGGTTGCCAGTACCCGGGGCCGCATGGTGAGAAGGAAATGGATGGAGTACGCATGCGCATTCAACTGCCTAATGACATCCATGTCACCCAAGAGATCGAAACTGCAGAGATAAGAAAAGAAGAGTCATTCTGTTGTCTGCAGATGTCACTTCCTGGTTCGCATGGAGAAGCCATTTTTAATAGAGCCCAGTGTCAGAAGCACACAGCAGTATTGAGGCAGCACCGGATGTTGAAATTTTGCACCCCTAACAAATTTGCACCTGGGGAAACTGCCCCTTTTGCCCCCCCCTCCACATGCTATATTACTGCTCCTCATGATGGGAAGCTGTTCCAGATGTTCGGTTGCCGCTTTGCTTAATGACTCTTTCCAAAATTCAGGATTCATGCTGGTCAGTTGACACGATGCCCAAGGGTAAAAAAAGAAATCCATTTGTAATCAGAAAGCTCTCTTGGGGAGGACTGCACAATAATGTAAGTGAGTTAACAAAGAGCTGGTTTGCAAGCACTGAAGGAGGGATAGTTTGAGGCTGGAGGAACATGGCTCAATTGATAGAAAAGCATTACCAAAATCATTTTGTTGGGTCTCTTTACCACTTCCACCCAAAATGATATGTCAAAGGTAGCCTAGGGGAATGGCATAGGTTTCAAAGAAATAGCTTCACTGCAGAGTGCTCTTTCTGGATGCTTTTCATTCACCAAGTGTCATCTTGCATATTGACAGCACGTCGTCTCGTTAAAGACTCATTGCAGAGCATTCCAGAGGAATATTACCTTACCCACTGGAAACTTGGACCAGTGAGTCTATCATGCCTTACAGTATTGACAGGGTTGCCTGGGTCACTTCTGCCTTCTATGCTGGCCTAACAGAACGTGGAAGGTTGGTTCTTGCAACCTGTGAGTGCTTTGCTGGGTGGGCGTTTTGAATACCAAGGTTTATTCAACTTATGAATTGCTTCCCTCAACAAAAAGCCCTGGTGCAGTTTGCAAGAAGGATAAAAGGCAGTAATGAAAATACATAACCATATTAGAAGAAACCAGAGGCCTTTCTCCTGGGCATGGTCGGCCAATTGGTGTTAAAGAAAGACAGAACTTTTTTTATGTATGCAACAACAGCAGCAAGAATACTCATCGCGAAGTATTGGAAGACACAAGATTTACGCACACAGGAAGAATGGCAGATGAAGTTGATGGACTACATGGAATTGGTGGAAATGACTGGCAGAATCCGAGACCAGGGAGAAGAATCGGTGGAAGAAGACTGGAAAAAGTTTAAAGACTACTTACAGAAATACTGTAAAATTAATGAATGTTAGAAAAATGTTGGAATGATGTTATATGGCTTTAGTAGAAATGTTATAAGGAATTAGGTATAGGTAGATTAATAGGGTATTAAAGGGAAAAATAAGGTTAGAATGTGTTAAGATAATTATAGGATAGAAAATAGAGGAAGATGGAGAGGAATTGCTGAAACAATTAATAGAAGTGGAAGACAAAAAGCGAGGTGTGAGGAGGTCGTGGAAACATGTGAATGAAAGATAAGATATTGAAATTGGATTGTGTTTTGAATGGTTTTTGTTTTGTTTTGTTTGTTTGTGTTAGTGTTGTGTAGTGTTTTTTGTATGGTATTGTAATGTTGTATTGTTTTTCTTTGGTTTTTGTAGTGTTGTGTTTAAATTGTTGAAAATCAATAAATATTATTTTTTTTAAAAATGAAAATACATAACCGTATTAAAGACATCATCAGAGTATACACACACACACACACACACACACACACACAACATTTAATCACTGATGCAGCCAAAATGTCAGGGAAAGCAAAAACTTATTTGCCTGGCACCAAAATAATGACAAAATTATGCCTGATGGGTCTCCCTGGGGAGCAACTGCAGAAAAGGCCTGTTCTCTCATCACCACCCTCCGGACCGTCCTCAGAGGTGGCACACAGAGAAGTGCCTAAGATGATGATCTCATAGTCCACACTGGATCATAAGCTTGGGTATTACCACAAAAGGCCTTTTCTTCAGCCACCACTCACATGGTAAAAGGTGGGGCTCTCAAAATATCTTGATTGATAGGCTCAGGTGGAAGAAGACACTCATTCCAATACCTGGGCCAGGCCATCTACAAATCTGCAGGCAAAACCTGACATCTGGAATTGAACCTGGAAACAAATTGACAGCCGGTGAAGCGCTTTCCATTCTGGTGTGACATTTTCTCAGTGGTCAACCACAGTCAATCTGTCTACCACATTTTGTTTTGGTTTTTTTTATATATAATTTTTATTGATTTTAACATATAAATTATAAAATGTACCACAAAACTTACCACTTATACAATCTTTTTTGACTTCCATCAGCACCTCTGATGATCCACCGTTTTAACCAGTTCTTATGCATTTCTTAACTTTATATTGCCTTAACATCTCTTAACAAATCATCCTTCCCCTTCTCCATTTTTGCAATACTTCCAATAATACTCCTCACAAAACTTCTTGCAAACCTACAAACGTCATCTGATCTTCACAAATACTTTTCAAATAGTCCGTAAATTTACTCCAGTCTTCTGTGAATTTCTGGTCCCGCTGGTTTTGAATCCTTCCTGTTAGTTTATCTAGTTCTGCATAGTCCATTAACTTCATCCTCCATTCTTCAATCGTCGGTAATTCTTCTTGCTTCCATTTTTGGGCCAGTAATATTCTTGCTGCTGTTATTGCATATAAAAAAGCTTATATTCCTTTCTATTTATATCACTCCCCACAATGCCCAGTAAAAATGCTTCTGTTTTCTTTATAAATGTATATTTCAACATTTTTTTCATCTCATTATATATCATCTCCCAGAAGCATTTCACCTTTTTACATTCCCACCACATGTGATAAAATGTTCCCTCTTTTTCTTTACATTTCCAACATTTATTACTGACTTTATACATTTTCGCTAACTTGACAGGTGTAATATACCATCTGTACATCATTTTCATCACATTTTCTTTTAGGGCATTGCATGCAGTAAATTTTAAACCTTCTTTCCATAATTTTACCCAATCACTCAGCTGTATATTATACCCAAAATCTTTGGCCCAGTGAATCATAACCGACTTAACCTCCTCGTCCTTCAAATACCATTCAAGCAGCAATTTATACATTTTTGACAAAATTTTAGAATCATTACTTAATATCTCTAATTCAAACTTTGATCCACTTTAATCAAATCCTTTTTCTTTAGAGTCCTGTTTAAACATTTCATTGACCTGGCGGTAATGTAGCCAATCATTTACATATTCTTTAATTTCTTCATATGGTTTCATTTTCCATTTACTTCCTTCCATATATATTAATTTCCCATATGTTATCCATTTCCCACTCATAATGACCTTTTTCACACTGATCGCTGTCCACCACATTTTGGACCAGTTGAAGGTACGGTTCACAAATGCTCTTCTGGGTCAATCCCATGTACTGTAGAGCAGCCAAAATTCATGAAAGTCACTGCAAACTGTCAACACCACCTGAATGCCCAGTGCTGGACTTAGTGACATCCTCAAGCTGTGATCTGGGTCAAAAGGGGAGACTCTGTCCAGAGCCAGGCTTCCTAGTCTTCCTCTCTTGCTCCCAATAGCATGGAGTCCTTCTTCATCTTAAGCATTGTGAAGTTTCTTTTTTTCATCTATTTTTGTTTCTTGAAGTCTCCTTCATCTCTCCATTGTTTGGTCCTCTTTCTTAGATGCTGCCTACTATGTATTCTTCCTTCAACATCCTCACTGCTGGCCTGCTGTCTCCCGAGAGCCAGCGTGGTATAGTGATTAAGAATGGTGGACTCGTAATCTGGAGAACCGGGTTCGCTTCCCCACTCCTCCACATGCAGTAGCTGAGTGACCTTGGGCTAGTCACACTTCTCTGAAGTCTCTCAGCCTTACAGAGTGTTTGTTGTAGGGGAGGAAGGGAAAGGAGCTTGTTGGCCGCTTTGAGACTTCTTAAGGGGAGTGAAAGGCAGGATATCAAGTCCAAATTCTTCTTCTTCTTCTTCTTCTTCTTCTTCTTCTTCTTCTTCTTCTTCTTCTGGGATCAGGCTGCTCTAGTTTAGGGAAGCTTTTAATTACAGTATTTGATGTATTACAGTATTTGAATTTTTTTTGGAAGCCGCCCAGAGTGGGTGGGGTATAAATATATTATTATTATTATTATTATTATTATTATTATTATTATTATTATTATGTCTAGCCTCCAGATAACCTCATCTTTCATTTTGGTAAAGATATATTTTGTAGTTTGCATGATTTTGCTGGCACTGTTTTTGGTTTAGACTCAAAAACCCAACATAGCCTGGGTCAAGACATTCAGTGTCCAAAGGATTAGGTTGCTGTATACAGTTCCCTTTCTCCTTCTGGTTCTTATTGTCAGTTGGTTGAATAAATATTCTCAATTGTTTCCCCAGAATGACAAAATTTCAATTCTTTGTTTTGAAACCAGAATCTGTTGTGGATTTTAAAATGCTGAGTATATTTAGCCCTGGCTGAAGTGTTAACCCACAGATGCAAACAATAAATTCCAAGATTCACCCAGCATAAGAAAGAATACATAGCAAAAATATATATATATAAAATATAAATCCTCTTATGTGGTCTATAAATGCACCTGGTTTGCTTTGGGGGCTCAGGTCTTCCAGTATGGTGAACAGTCTTGTTATGTAAGTTGTGATCACTGCAGAGGGTGGGATGGGGAGAGCCTCTCAAATGTCCTTAGAAAACATTGTGGACTATTTAATATCTGGCTTGGTAAGCACAGTAGTTATGAAACAGCTTTTTAGAATAATTTTGGAACTCTGCCTCTGTTTCTGTTTATTTTAAGGCTTATTTGCAAGGGATAGAGTGACCGTGTCCTAAAGTATACTCCGTGCGAACCCTCTCAACCTAACAAATTAATACCCTACCAATAAGGTCATTCCTTGAAGCGAAGACCCAATGTTAACGATGCCCACAACCGTTGCCAGCATTTTCATCATCCTAATAAATTTACTCTCAATTTCAGGAGGTGAGATCAGGACATGGTGGACTAAAGAGGCAAGAGGGGTTCACAGAGGTCGGTCTGCCCTCAGTGCCACATATTTAGGAGACCCCAGGCAGGTCTCCAGTACTTAGGTCACAGTTCTCAAATGTCAATAGAATGAAGGAACTCTGGGCTACTTCGCTCCCTGCCTCTGGAAACTTCTAGGTAAAGATGTTCCACATTTGTGTTTTAACGCTTTGTAAAAATGTATTGCCAGGTTTGTTTACACATTTATAAATGTGTGTCATTTGCCTGTTTTGGCTTCACTAAATTAAGACCATTTGCATGAACAGGGCAACACGTTTGTTCTGGAATACAAAATTGTTAAGCTTAGTAGCCTTAAGAACAGTGCCTGCTAAAATAATTGGAATAAGCTTCAGAAACCTGGGTTCCCAGGCACAATTAAATATTCTCTAGTTTTGTTGTTGTGAACCTTTTGAAATACATACCCTCACATTTTTCAAACTTGCAAAAGCTTCAGGACTAGAAACAACGACATTATTATTGTTTTTTAAAATTCTTACAGTGATTCCAAAAGCCACATGTACTGGTTGGGTGTTGCCAACCAATTTCTGAGTTTGTGCAGTAAAAGGAAATGAATGCATTTATGGTTGTGCTTATACATGTGTCCTACAGATAAAATGACACAAAAAGGTCCTTACATATTTATGGCAGGTTCAGGATCCCTTAGCTATAGAAAGCAAAAAGAGAGCTGATGTAGCATAATTTTGGATTATAAATAATCCCTGTGATATGGACTCTTTCTTGCCACAATGTCTGTCACGGGATTATTTTTTGTTGTTGTTCTTATTCACATCACCGTTAAAGATTTTATTTGTTTGCTTTCCGTAGAGGTTGTACTGGGCTTGTGCGGTTGGGCATTCCTGCCTTATTGAAGCCCCATTCTTGTGCAAATCTATGCTGCGCATTAGTATAACAGCACAAGGCGTAGAAGGAGAACCAATTTGCTTGCTCATTTATTTGCAAACTCAGGTATTCAGAATGCACGCTTGTCAAATGTAACAAGTTGCTCCTACACCGATTCTTAAGTGCTGTCTATATACCAGTGCAACAAGGCAGCATCTAGTTATGTGAACTTCACTCAACTCAAATCCATTCTCTTGCCAGAGGAAACCCAGTAACCCCAGATCTTTTAAACACAAGAACTAGGGACATTGTGTCACGACTGAGCTAAGTATTCATTTCACCAGTAGAGCCAGGCGGGGAAGTTTGGAAAAGTGGTACTTTCCCATATCTGTTTGCTATGAAGGTACACCCTGTTGAGTGTCTTGGGACATCATGTGCAGTGCCAGAAGCAAGTGTGAATTCTTTCCCTGTACTTTGCAGGAATGATGGCAGGAACACGAGAGGCCGTTGCAATGGAGGAAAGAATGTGGTAAGAAAGACTCAGTACGGTCCGTACGCCAATAAAGGTTTGAGAATCCTACTCAATACACCTTGGCCATTCTTGTTCCAGTTTTGTAATCCCAGAAGTACTGCCTGCAGAATTAGCTAGCTGGAGCATTGTGGTGCATCACTGCAAATACTCAACAAACGGCTACAGATCAATTTTGCCTGTGTCGGTGTGTGGGACAAGCCACAGAAAAGGAATGCTTGTAATAACAGGACTGTGAACTGTATACAACAAACGACTTCCATTAAATAGGTTTAACAAGTCAGCCAGTCCCTATGGAATAAATGACACAGGATAGTGACAGAGGCATGCGCTCTGATTATGGAGACTACAGGGATTGGTGTCTGTTTTTAGAGCAAAAAAGGCACAATATCCCAGTGCCAGATACTTCAAGTACCAGAATCCACCGGTGGGAGGGGGGAGAGTGGACAGAAACTGGGAGGGAAGCCATGCACCTCTTTTGCTCTAAAAGTTGAGTCCTCTCATCCATTTGGTTAAGTCAGGTCTTGTTGGTCTAAGATGGTGGACAGCCCCACCCCCCAATGCTGGGACCAACTTAGTGCCTCTGCTGTGTAAATAGAAATATAAACCAATCTGTCTTTTTAAATAATAATAATAATAATAATAATAATAATAATAATAATTTTTATTTGCTTTTACAAGTGTAAAGATACAACAATACCAAATACATATCCATATTTAAAGATTTCTCGGAATCGCCAGACTTCCCATCATACCTTCCCTGGGTCCTATTGTCAACATTTTCAGCTACATATTATTTCTCATCCATATTTTATATCTCTCCATATTGTCCATAGTAGTTGTTACATTACAAGTGTTATTAGAATCCTGCTAATGTTTTCATCTGCTTACAGTGGTCTCCTAAATAAATTATAAATGTTTCCCATTCTTTCTTGATGTTTTGGTCTTCTTGGTTCCTGAGCTTTCCGGCCAGTTTTACCATTTTGGCATAATCGAGCAGCTTGGTTTGCCATTCCTCTCTGGTCGGGACTTTATCTTCTTTCCATCTCTGGACTAATAGCATCCGTGCGGCTGTTGTCGCACACATAAAGTATTTTCTGCTCCTTTGGGATGTCGGTAGCTACAATTCCTAACAGAAAGGCTTCTGGGTGGCTTTTTTTACAAAGGTTATTTTAAACATTTTTTTCCAGTTCATTATATATCATTTCCCAGAATGCTTTTATTACCTTGCACGACCACCACATTATTTATTTATTTATTTATTTTGAATACAATCTTAATTTTATTTTCACTCTAAATTTAGACTCTAGATGGATACAGCATCACTCAGATCCTGTGTCCAATGGCTTTGGCAGGTAGGTTGGAGTGGAACTTTGCCTGCACCATGCTGCTGTTTCCATGGGCATGGGTCACATTTCCCAAGATCACTCTGGTCCTGTTGGGTTTGCCACCAGGAGTCACAGTGTTTTTTTTGCTTTGCACACATAGGTGCATTTCTTTCTTTTTTTTTTTAAATAATTTTTATTAAAGTTTTAAACAACAAAGAAAGAAAAGAAAAACATACACAATACATATAACAAAAACACAAAAAAGAGAAAAAAAACCAGATTCAACAATAAAAGTACAAAAAAACATAACAATTAAAAACAGTATCTCTTTTCCATTTCCGTTTTTTAGTTACTTATTTTCTGGACTTCCTCATACCTCCCTCTTTTGTATTCCAATCCAAATTATTTGTCCAGCAATTTCTTTTCCACTTTTTTTAATCCCAATCTTTAACTTTAATAAAATATTGAAATATATAACTTCAATTTCTTTAAACCTGATCTTTGGTCTTAGTATCATATAACGTTAAAAATTTCCCTCTTAATGTCAAATTTCCATTTCTTTAAACATCTTTAATCCTAATCTTTAATCTTAGTCTATCATTAACTTTAACCTGTACAGCACGAAACTGCTTATTTTCAGTCCAGCATCACTCTAACATTCTTTAATTTTGCAATGTTTCTGAAGATAGTCTTTAAATTTCTTCCAATCTTCCTCCATCGACTCTTCTCCCTGGTCACGGATTCTACCAGTCATTTCCGCCAATTCCATATAGTCCATACACATTGGTGCATTTCTTGCCCAAATAGAATTCTGTCTCATTACGGGAATAAACTCCCTCAATTTTCAGAAGAGCTGTTCTCTCTCTGGTTTCAAAGACCTCGCTTGTAGCCAGCAGAAGTGGCCTTGGACCACACTCTGCCAGTCATGGTGTTGTCTTGAAGTCCTGTTCCCAGCAGGCCTCAGCAGCACCGAGCCAAGATGGCGGCGAGAAAGAGCCCCGACCACCACATATGATAAAAAAGGTACCTTCTTTTACTTTGCATTTCCAGCAGGTATTTGTACTTGTGTTATACATTTGCACTAACTTATTAGGAGTCAAATACCACAGATACAACATTTTCATATACCGTATTTTTCACTCTATAAGACGCACCAGACCATAAGACATACCTAGTTTTTGGAGGAGGAAAACAAGAAAAAAAATATTCTGAATCTCAGAAGCCAGAACAACAAGAGGGATCACTGCACAGCGATCCCTCTTGCTGTTCTGGCTTCTGGGATAGCTGCGCAGCCTGCATTCGCTCCATAAGACACACACACATTTCCCCTTACTTTTTAGGAGGGAAAAAGTGAGTCTTATAGAGCAAAAAATACAGTAATTTTCTTTCAGCGTACAACATGCCGACAATTTCTAAACCAATCTGTCTTCATTCTCCAGGGGGATGTTGGATGGGGGGATTTCAGGGACCACATCTGGCCTGCAGACCGGGGGTTCCCCACTCTGCTTCGTGGCACCGGACTGCATAGGCTGTGTCTGTTTCGTAATGTTTAGCCCCAGTGTCCCCAAACAGCATGTGTTGGGGTCAAGCCGGTTTACTGTTCAGGCTGCCTCGAAACAGAACCGGAATGGCGCCAAGTCATCGATGGAACCACCCAAAGCTGCATTTCTGCCACACAGAAAAGCCCTCCATGTGTTCCCATCTTCTCCTAAAAAAAACCCAGAGCCAAAAGCTACCACATCAGTCAGGCTTGCTATAATGAACTCCAGCTTCTCCTCTGTTTGGTCCTGGCAGTGATGCTATACATATCATAGGAAACCACGAACCCCAACCGCAAGACGAACGCCTCCGTTTCTGTGCAACGTTTTCCTCCTGCAGGATGCTCACATTATCAGGACTTGGGTGTCACAATGCAGACGCTATTAGAAGGCACCTGTTCGATACAATGGAAAGGCAGTCTCCTGTGATTAAAATATCTCTTTTATGACAAATGCCGCACAACTGTTTGGCTGCAACTATAAAGCAAACGGGCTATTTGCATATGAAAGGGGATTCTTATACATTTGGGAGTGATGGAATCGGATCTCTATGTGGCCAAGGAAGTGGGGATAGGAAATATTTTCTCTCTCCTTTTATTTCCATGGATGTTGATAGGGAAAGGCCACGGTTTTGCATCCACTGTTCTGGAGCTATTGATCCGGGCAGCACTGATTGCTGGAATGTTAAGTCTGTCGTCTCAGCAAGGAATCAGAATTATGCAAGATGTGCCAAGAGGAAACTTACTTTCCAGTGTGTGTGTGTGTAGTTTGACACCAACTGAGCAAATGCAGCAAGTGAGAATTTGAAGTCTGGAAATAAACATGTATATTCTTTGTGATGTTATTAGCAGTGAATACTGAAAACAAGCCGGGTTTCAGTTCAGGATCCCAGTATGAATTTAATGTATTAGGGAGCCCCGCAGATATCTGCCGGGTACTCTGAAGGACACATGCATGCACACACGAGCAAGTAAATATACAAGTAATCACACAAAACTGATTTGGTTTGTGAGCAGGGACACTGCTTGTCCCGTCTTCAAGAAACTATTCTTACTTCCACTTTCCTAATGTAACGATCAGCATGCCATTGTGGGGCTGGTACCAAGCATGGATGCGGGTGGCGCTGTGGTCTAAACCACTGAGCCTCTTGGGCTTGCCGATTGGGAGGTTAGCGGTTCGAATCCCTGTGATGGAGTGAGCGCCTGTTGTTCTGTCCCAGCTCCTGCCGACCTAGCAGTTTGAAAGCATGCCAGTGCAAGTAGATAAATAGGTTCTGCTGTGGCGGGAAAGTCGTCAGCAGCAGTGTCTGGGTGTAAATTGGTGAAAATGTCCTGGAAAATCTATACGTATGGCAGCCTGTGCCAATTTTGCCATTTCTCCCTAAAAAAGCTCAACAACGTTTTTTGTGTGTCTGGATTTTCACTGTTTGAAATATGGCAATCCTAATGCACTGGGAAGTGTAGCATAATGCTTGCTTTGATCCAACACCTCCTAACTTCCCTGCAAAAAAATCAAGAATGAATGCTCAATATATAGGTCATCTGGAAGCCCCATGTTGCTCCCTGCAGCCCCTGTTTCGCATCTGGGTCCTGTTGGTGGACTTTAAGGTTCTGGTAAAGAGCAAAGTTGATCCTGCAAACTAGAAAGCCATTTGCCCTCCTTCAGCATATCTTTGGGATTGGGTCTTTAAAAATAGTGTTCCGTGGCAAAATCTGTTCAAATGTAATGTTGATACTTGTTAACAGACTTGAGTAATTTTATGAAAGAGGCAGATGATCAAGAAACAAGACTGTCGAGAACTTAGCATAAAGGCTAATCCAACTGTGTACTGAGAACCGATCCAATTAAATCATACATTTGCTATTCATCCCTTTTAATTAATGCTTCCCTGCCTCGTTTACGCCCACATTAAACCATCCCTGAATTATGGTTCTTGGCTCATGCAAGTTTGCATGACACAAGTCTCTATTAACCTTGCAAAGATGATGGTGGGAGGAACAAAGTGGGATTTATGTAACAAGGAAACACAGAACTCGTAAGTGAGGATTTAGCATGCTGCCTCACTCAGGCATTCCACATCACTATGCCTTCCAATCTTGGTTGGAGGAAAACTGTTACACTTTTTAAATGGGCAAAAGAAGCCCATATTAGGTAAATAACAGGAGCAAGGACAAGGATCTATTTCTAAAGCAAGCAAACAAACAAACAAACCAAACTACATGTGTATTTCTGCACTATAGGGAAAGACAAAAATTACATTTAGGATTTGCAGGCTCAGTGGGCTCATTCAGCTCATCTGAAGGTCACAAAAGTCAGTGACACCAGAAATTGAGCTCCTCTGCTGATCCTCATCCCACCTGAAATGGTGGGTGAGAATCTCCAGTTATCTATCTGAAGATGTGCTTTCTCTGGACCACCCCATTGACTTTGTTGACCAGTTTTTTTCCCATCAGGCTCCTCCTTCCATCAGCCACCAGCATTCCATAAGGCTGCAGCAGAGTGAGAGCGGAGAAGTAGGAATAATAATAATAATAATAATAATAATAATAATAATACCTCGCCATTCTGGGTGGCTCCCAACAGAATATTAAAAACACAATAAAACATCAAAACGTCAAACATTAAAAACTTCCCTAAACAGGGCTGCCTTCAGATGTCTTCTAAAAGTCAGATAGTTGTTTATTTCCTTGACATCGGGTGGGAGGGCGTTCCACAGGGTGGGTGCCACTACCAAGAAGGCCCTCTGCTTGGTTCCCTGTAACCTCACTTCCTGCAGTCAGGGAACCGCCAGAAGACTCTCAGAGCTCGACCTCAGTGTCCAGGCTGAACGATGGAGGTGGAGACGCTCCTTCAGGTATACTGGAAGCTATGCTGAGAAGCCAACTAGTTTCTCACAGCCCACAGCCCCCGTCTAGCTTCCATCAAGGTAAGGAGGAGGCATGATCAGAGTTTTAAGGACACATTTCAGCCAGGCAAACACACTCCCAGAGGGTCTGAAGCAGGACTGGTGAGAGGGGTGGCCTGAGGAGAGAGGCTGTGGAGTTCCAGTGGCCAGACAAAGAAGTCCAGAGGTTCCCCACCCCTGCTTTGAATGAACAAATAAATACATTGTATAATGTTAAATATGACAATCAGCGTGGAAGCAGCTGCTGCATCTCACCTCACAAAATGCACCTCCGCCAGTGCTCTTCCCTCCCTCCTGAGGTGACCAGGAGTCTCATGTTGACCCAGGAAGCCCTAATGGTGGACAAGAGACTTATAATGATGCACTGGAAGAAAAGAGATACGATTCACCTTAATCAATGCCTTGACAGCATGACAATGTTGGCAACATATGAACGGACAGCTTATAGATGCAGACTTTCTTTGGATAAATACAATGATATCTGGAAAGAGTTTACACAGAATATCTTTCTTTTTTGGTGATCACTTGTAGCCAAGTATGATTGTCTTCCATGAACATGGTCTTAACAGTGAGTCCGCAAGTGCCTGTGGAGGCCAGTTCTGGATCCACACCTCCTTTCACAATGGGGACATAGGTTTCCAGGTGGGAGTTGATCACGGTGAAGGTTTGCCAAATGTGCCTTTCTTTTAGCACATTTCTCGTCCTGAGTCAGAGCGTCTTCAAAGTCCATGACACCTTTGGTAAAGGCTGTTCTCCAATTGGAGCGTTCGCAGTCCAGTGTTCCCCAATTGTCGTTGTTTATACTATATATTTTTAGATTTGCCTTGAGAGAGTCTTTTAACCTCTTTTGTTGACCACCGGCACTGCGTTTTCCATTTTTTAGTTCAGAATAGAATAGTTGCTTTGGAAGACGATAATCAGGCATCCACACAACATGACCAGTCCAACGAAGTTGATGTTGAAGAATCGTTGCTTTGACACAGAATGTATTAGGTTACGGACAATTATATTAGGTTCTTGAACATATTAGGTTATTGACTCTCCTTCCTTGGAGATTTTTAAACAGAGGTTAGATGGCCATCTGTCATGGATGCTTTATCTGGGACTCCTGCATTGCAGGACTAGATTTGCTGGACTAGATTTGAATAGTCTGATTTGAAAATACGAAAGAAAGAGAGAGCAGGGAAGGTCTTGAAATTGCCTCCAAAACAGCACCCAGGCAGCAGATTCAGCAGGTACACAGACCACCTAGTTACAGTCTCCCCCTTTGTGGTTTAGGTGTATGGTGCTATGATTTAATTTATAGTAATTACTTCTGCATTTGAATCTATTCATATGCAAAGTTTATGCAAAATTCATGCAAAATGATACCTTTTTTTGTCCTCATTTGCTTGTTTGGTGATGCATTCATTCCCACTTCTCTGCCAATGTGCATGTGTGCACCTCAGATTTGTGCTTACTGAACAACAACACAACACAACAAACTGAGAGGAGTGTAAGGTAAAAGGTAAGGGACCCCTGGATGATTAAGTCCAGTCAAAGGCGACTATGGGGTGTGGCGCTCATCTCACTTTCAGGCTGAGGGAGCTGGCATTTGTCCACAGACAGCTTATCAGGTCATGTGGCCAGCAGGCCTAAACTGCCTCTGGTACAACAGGACACCGTGACGGAAACCAGAGTGCACGGAGACGCCATTTACCTTCCTGCCACAGTGGTACCTATTTATCTACCCGCACTGGCATGCTTTTGAACTGCTAGGTTGGCAGGAGCTAGAACAGAGCAATGGGAGCTCACCCCATCGTGGGGATTTGAACCACTGGCCTTCCAATCGGCAAGCCCAAAAGACTCAGTGGTTTAGACTACAGCGCCACCTACATCGCTAGAGGAGTATAAAAAGTAGCGATGCCTTTGTTGCCTCAGATGGAATCCTAAGCATCAGGTTCACCAAACTGAGTTCCACTGGAATCAATAGGATTTGTGGCCAAGTAGGCAAATATTTTGACAAACCTAGACAGCATCTTAAAAAGTAGAGACATCACCTTGCCAACAAAGGTCCGTATAGTAAAAGCTATGGTTTTCCCAGTAGTGATGTATGGAAGTGAAAGCTGGACCATAAAGAAGGCTGATCGCTGAAGAATTGATGCTTTTGAATTATGGTGCTGGAGAAGACTCTTGAGAGTCCCATGGACTGCAAGAAGATCAAACCTATCCATTCTTAAGGAAATCAGCCCTGAGTGCTCACTGGAAGGACAGATCCTGAAGCTGAGGCTCCAATACTTTGGCCACTTCATGAGAAGAGAAGACTCCCTGGGAAAGACCCTGATGCTGGGAAAGATGGAGGCCACAAGGAGAAGGGGACGGCAGAGGACGAGATGGTTGGACAGTGTTCTCGAAGCTACCAGCATGAGTTTGACCAAACTGCGGAAGGCAGTGGAAGACAAGAGTGCCTGGCGTGCTCTGGTCCATGGGGTCATGAAGAGTCGGACACAACTAAACGACTAAACAACAACAACAACAGGCAAATATTTCCCCACTTTACTGAAAACTCCCAGTGCAGTCCTCGGAAGTAAGCCTCAATGGGTTTGACAGCACTTACTCCCTGGTGATTGTGTCTTGGATTACAGCCTCAGCATCCCTTCTGCCCCATGCCCCTGAGGCAGCAATCTGAACACCGAATCCACTGTGGTCAAACACTGTTATCTCAAAGTTAATAATCTGCTTTTACAAAAGCACTTGAATAGCTTACTGTTTCTGTAGAGATGACAGAGGAAGAGCTATTTCACCCAGTAGGTCTGCAAGAAAAAACACTCAGACACTCTCTGTGATGGAGCATTAGATTATTCTTTTCTTAAAAGGGAAACACTATTAAGGAAAATTTAAGCTATGGCAACTGTTAAGGTCACCGTTGGACATTAGATGCCTTTTCTTGGAAACACAAACTCTGCGAAAGCGTCTCTCCAACAAAGAAGGAGAGAAAAAACACTGTTTGATGGACTTAGATCTCAGTAATTTAAAAATCCTTCTGAACATGTCAGTGTGAGTTCAAAGTAGCTAAAATAGCTGCAAATGTGACGTGCTAGGAATCTGTGGCAGGGCTGAAACAATCAGAAGAGCAAACAAGTAATGATTAAACCTCTAATCAGAAGCATTATCCGTTGCTGTGTTTTTTCTTGTAGCTGCAGGAAAAGATGCTGTAACAGATCTTTAAATAGAAAACCTGAGGCTAAATTCCACTTCATCTATCAAAAGCAGCTGCTAGGAGATGACCTAATTTTAGCAGCTTATCAATTCCTTAGTGCTTGTTGGTTGATGTAACTTTGATCCTCTGATGCTAGATGACTTTTTGTGCTGAATATAGCTAGAATTTAATGTGAATCTTTTGGATGGCTGCCCAGCCAGGCTGCATAATCCAAACAAAGTGGGTGGGTGGGTGGGGGAGAAAGAGTAGGACATGATTCGAGCTACTCACGTGTACAATAATACAGCCCTTACGCACGCACACATGTACACACAGAGCCATTCATGTCGCCAAGCACAGATTTTAAATATAGTGTTCTCGGTTGGTTTCCTCTCCTCTCCCAAAGAACGCTTTGCTTTTCACATGGCAAAGACCTGAGCATTTTAGGATTTAGCTGCCGCCAAGCTGTAATGATAATTGCAGGATGCCTGTAATGAATGTTTTCCAACCAAATCATTGTCATTTCATAGGGCTGTTATTTCTATTTATGTACAGATTAGCCAATGCCTTATCAAAGGGAGAGAGAAAGGCTTTGTTTTTGCTTTTTTCCAGTAATCTGCATTGTGAAGGGCCTTTTGTCTCCCTTGCTGTCCCCCCTCCCCTTTTCATGTAGATTCTCTAACTTGTTTTTCTGTTCTTTTTCTGGCTCCTCTATAAATCCATCTGGGGCACACATGCGACTGGCTGGGCATGTAGCCGATACTTCGCACCGACTTACATGCCCTCCCTGGCCTTGTTTGTTAGTCATCAGGCCAGAGGAGGAGTTTGGTGCCCTATTTCCCCCCTTAACGTTATGAATAACATTATGTAAAGGGGGGCGGGCAAGGCTAAGTTCAGCCTGATTCATCGCTTTCCCTCAGACCAAGGAGGCAGCTCTGTCTTCTCCCAGGATCTCTCAGGGACCGGGGCCATTTTGGGGCATTGTTGACACTGAAAAGGTCCATGACTCACCGCGTTACCTTGAGCAAGTGAGCAAGTGAGCTATTACTCATTTACGTTTCTTAGTTAAGGCATGCAAATACAGTGGTACCTCGGGTTACATATGCTTCAAGTAACATACGCTTGTGGGCTTATAGCCGAATAAAGTATTATCTATCTATCTATCTATCAGGTTACAGACTCCGCTAACCCAGAAATAGTGCTTCAGGTTAAGAACTTTGCTTCAGGATGAGAACAGAAATCGTGCTCTGGTGGCGTGGCAGCAGCAGGAGGCCCCGTTAGCTAAAGTGGTGCTTCAGGTTAAGAACAGTTTCAGGTTAAGAACAGACTTCCGGAACGAATTAAGTACTTAACCCGAGGTACCACTGTATAGAACTATGAGGGAACTGAAGCTCATGCAGTCCAACCCAAAACTTTTACCTGATCTGCATTTCAGCACTCTCATGAGAAAAGTTAAGGATGCAGGAGGTGTCCTGTTCTAAACCACTGAGCCTCTTGGGCTTGCCGAAGGTTGGCAGTTCGAATCCCCATGACGGGGTGAGCTCCCATTGCTCTGTCCCAGCTCCTGCCAACCTAACAGTTCAAAAGCACACTCCCTAGCATCCCACTGCCAGAGGATTGCCTCCTTTCATTCACCAGTTTGCCTCCTCCAAGTGGAAGAAACCTGGGCAGGGCTGAATGTCACATCCATTGCCAGGTGTGTCCTGCTGGAAACAAAGGTTTTCCCCCTTGGCCTGCCTTTATATCCACTCTGTTGTGAAGTGCTTTTGTGACATCACAAGAAACCCACAGCCAATGGCAACAGCTGAGGAGCCATCACCTTCATTGCTTTGAGCCTCACAATGGCAGGTGGACCTATCAGTGGTTGTGTGCTTCTTTATTCAGGAAGTGGGTGGCGCTGTGGTCTAAACCACCGAGACTTTTTGGCTTCCCAATAAGAAGGTTGGTGGTTCGAATCCCCGTGACCGGGTTAGCTCCCATTGCTCTGTCCCAGTTTCTGCCAACCTAGCAGTTCAAAAGCATGCCAGTGCAAGTAGATAAATATGTACCACTGTGGCGGGAAGGTAAACGGCGTTTCTATGTCCTTTGGGTTCTGTCACGGTGTCCCATTGTGCCAGATGTGGTTTAGTCATGCTGGCCACATGCTGGCCGGAAAGCTGTCTGTGGACAAATGCCAGCTCTCTCAGTCTGAAAGCGAGATGAGCGCCGCAACCCCATAGTCATCTTTGATTGGACTTAACCGTCCAGGGGTCCTTTACCCTTTACCTTTTTACTCCCATGAGAACAACTCACACAGGGTGTGTACTTCATGAGAGTGTGTGGGGAGAACAGTCTTCTCTATCCTATTGTGCTCCAGAGATTTGTTGGGTTAGTTACATTTTATTTTGGTATTTTGTTTTACTATTATTTATTAATTTTTTGTTAATTTTTTATTATCTATCTATATCTATCTATCTATCTATCTATCTATCTATCTTTTGGTACTGTACAATTACCTTTCCCCTTTTCTCTTCCTATGGTGGCAGCAGAGCTAAATTTCATGACCACCATTGAATTTTCCCAGAATGCCACATATATTTATTTTTTATTCGCCATTCCACATGTGTCTCAAGTGATGTGCAAAACTCAATAAAACAGCTTTAAAAAACACAGAAAATAACATGATATAAAATTTAAAGCAGCACAAAGTAGTCTCTATTCTCTCTCTCTTTTAATTTATTTATTTGGTTTTTCAGTTTAAAGTTTTACAATCGCATACAACATAAAAACAAGATTTCAAAGAATCGCCTGGACTTCCCTCCTCCCTTTTGCTAATCATTTCCTCCTGCATCTTTTATGATAATCCATATATTTTACATCTCCATTATGTCCAAAATTCACCATTAAACTACAAGTGTTATTCTAATCCTACTAATTGTTTTAGCTGTTTACAATGGTTTTTAAGATAAATTATAATTTTTCCCCATTCCTTATTAAAATTTTGGTCTTCCTGATTTCTGATTCTTCCGGTCATTTTAGCCATTTCAGCATAATCCATCAGCTTCATCTGCAATTCTTCTCTGGTCGGGACTTTATCCTCTTTCCATCTCCGGTCCAGTAACATCCGCGCAGCTGTGGTCGCATACAGAAATAGTCTTTTCTGCTCCTTTGGTATTTTGGCACCTAAAAAGTAGTCTCTATTCTCTGCTGTGGATGCTTTAGGTGAGATTCCTGCATTGCAAGGGGTTGGTCTAGATCAGGGCCGGATTTAGGTTTGATGAGGCCCTAAGCTACTGAAGGTAATGGGGCCCTTTATATGTCCAGATGTCCTTTGTCAACAACAAATTGTCACTGTTTTTTGTTGAATATATGCTATATGGTAATTTATGGACCTAATAGGTATCTAAAGCCATTTGCACATAACAAATAGGAGCCTACACAACACAAAACACTGTTGCTGTATGTAGGTTTTGTTTTATTTGTTTTTTATCTTATATTTTGGAAATGTACATCCAGGTGCGTTTTTTTCCTTTAAATTTTTTTGGGGACCCCAAAAGAGTGGGGCCCTGAGCCATAGCTTGTTTAGCTATACGTAAATCTGGCACTGGTCTAGATAACCCTTGACTCAAACTATATGATTCTCTAGTTCTATGTCCCAAAATTATGCAATGTTTGGAGCATTTGAGGGGAATAAAGCAGCTCTGTTATTGTTGCTGCTTGGGATAAATATGCCGTAAATAAGAGGTGACTAGAAATTATGCACCTATTTGATACTCAATGAATTCATTGAAGAACAAATGAAAATGCAGCCACAGGGGCCCCGTTCAGTTCCATTTTTTATTTGTTTCAAAATGAATGCAAACACCTCATTATATGTGCCAATGGCTGCCAGAGCAAATCTTTTGGATGCTAGCGGCAGCACAAAGCCTTACTTTGAATGCACAAGTTTTCACAAGTTTGGAACGGCAGCTTTGCACGACGAGTCTAGTTCAGCTCACTGTGAAATTGCCTGTTGATTCACCTGACCTGCTGCCCGTGTTACCGCTAGTAACACTTAATATAGCACTTTGAATTCAAAAAGCCACCATTTTCTGCTAGTTTCTTCCGTACAATACATACCTGCCAAATACGCTCTTTACTTTATATGTATATAGCCATAATCTTAATAATAATAATAATAATAATAATAATAATAATAATAATTTATTTATACCCTGCCCATCTGGCTGGATTTCCCCAGCCACTCTGGGTGGCTTCCAACAAAAGATTAAAAATACATTAAAACCTCAGTCATTAAAGACTTCCCTAAACAGGGCTGCCTTCAGATGTCTTCTAAACGTCAGATAGTTTCTTATTTCCTTGACATCTGATGGGAGGGTGTTCCATAGGGTGGGCGCCACTACCAAGAAGGCCCTCTGCCTGGTTCCCTGCAACCTCACTTCTCACAGTGAGGGAACCAGCAGAAAGCCTTGGGAGCTGGACCTCAGTGTCCAGGCTGAATGATGGGGGTGGAGACGCTCCTTCAGGTATACTGAGCCGAGGCTGTTTAGGGCTTTAAAGCAGGGGTAGGCAAACTAAGGTCTGGGGGCTGAATCTGGCCCAATCACCTTCTAAATTCAGCCCGCAGATGGTCTAGGAATCAGTGTGTTTTTACATGAATAGAATGTGTGCTTTTATTTAAAATGCATCTCTGGGTTATTTGTGGGGCATAGGAATTCATTCATTTCCCCCCAAAAAATATAGTCCGGCCCCCCACAAAGTCTGAGGGACAGTGGACGGCCCCCTGCTGAAAAGGTTTGCTGACCCCTGCTTTAAAAGTCAGCACCAACACTTTGAATTGTGCTCGGAAACATACTGGGAGCCAATGTAGGTCTTTCAAGACGGGTGTTATATGGACTCGACAGCTTAGGGCAGCCTAGGGCAAAGAGAGAACCCAAACTCAGACTTCCTAACCCCCCTCTGCCTTGGCCACTGGCCCACTTTCTTTTGCACTGCCTAGGGCAATTTCATTTTAATTCCTAAAATAACCGGAAGGTGTGAACCAGCTTATAAATTGCACATTTTAGCAGTTGTTTGCCCAGCTGGCACTTACTGGTTAGGCACATTTGAACCTGGAGAAAGGAATGAGGGATGCATACTTCACTCCTGGCCCACTGGAAAATGCTGCCAGGCAACATGACTAACTAGTTCAGTTGACAGATTTATACAATAAGCTGGCAAGAGTGATTTGGTAACCTAGATGCATCTCATTAACCTCAATTCAGCAGCTATCATTCTTCCACTTATGCTTAACCCAGAGACTTGCTATCCAGGTCTGTGGGTTAATTTAGAAGCTTCCAAGCCCTCCCTGTGGATTAATCTGCAAAGTGCATTTACAGCCATGGGCGTTTATGGTTAACTGAATATGGCTTTTGAAAAATGCTAACCAAATAGACAAAATGCATCATATTGATATAGAGAAGGTTCAAATAATTCTAAGGGATAGATTTTCTCAAAATCAGAACAATGTCCGTAGAGGCCTGCACTCCATATGGACATTTAGGAACCCGTGTGACATATCTAAGAGCCTATCGGCTTTAGAGATGAGACATGTTAAAAAATGGTCAAAAAACATGAGCAATCAAGGGTGTTGACTGGTTGTAAACTGGTCACAGCCTGTCTTGTACTGGGATGCCAACACAGATATGGTTAGGATGAAGTGTAGAGACCAGGGGCACCAACTTGCTCCCCCCCCCCATTAAAGGGGTCTGGCCGCATGACTTGTCACATAATGCCGCAAGGTGGGTGCGAGATGGGCGGAGGGTGATCTTCACCCCAGTGGGGAATGTCATCCCCCTCAATATTGGCAGCGCTCAACCCCCGGCCCACCAAGGATGCTGAATTCCTTTTTGCCCCCTGTAGTTGGCACCCCTGGTAGAGGCAGCTATGCCAATTGTTGTTGTTTAGTCGTTTAGTCGTGTCCGACTCTTCGTGACCCCATGGACCAGAGCACGCCAGGCACTTCTATCTTCCACTGCCTCCCACAGTTTGGTCAAACTCATGCTGGTAGCTTCGAGAACACTATTCAACCATCTGATCCTCTGTCGTCCCCTTCTCCTTGTGCCCTCCATCGTTCCCAACATCAGGGTCTTTTCCAGGGAGTCTTCTCTTCTCATGAGGTGGCCAAAGTATTGGAGCCTCAGCTTCAGGATCTGTCCTTCCAGTGAGCACTCAGAGCTGATTTCCTTCAGAATGGATAGGTTTGATCTTCTTGCAGTCCATGGGACTCTCAAGAGTCTCCTCCAGCACCATAATTCAAAAGCATCAATTCTTCGGCGACCAGCTTTCTTTATGGTCCAGCTTTCACTTCCATACATCACTACTGGGAAAACCATAGCTTTAACTATACGGACCTTTGTTGGCAAGGTGACATCATACTGTGTGTCAATGTGTGAGGCATCACACGTGTGCAACGGGTTCCCCCGCAATGTTGGGCAGAACTTGGTGCCTCTGTTCGGAGTCAGCCACTGAAGCAGAAGATGGGAATCTTAAGGCTGATGAGACTGTAGCCATTTCCTCCAAAATCATTTGTTCATTCATTTTTGCAGGAAATCCAGACAGCATAGATGCCAACCCCTTCCATTCTAATGTTTTCCATGTGCTCTCTCTCTCTCTCTCTCTCTTCAGGATCTGTCCTTCCAGTGAGCACTCAGGGCTGATTTCCTTAAGAATGGATAGGTTTGATCTTCTTGCAGTCCATGGGACTCTCAAGAGTCTCCTCCAGCACCATAATTCGAAAACATCAATTCTTCGGCGATCAGCCTTCTTTATGGTCCAGCTCTCACTTCCATACATCACTACTGGGAAAACCATAGCTTTTACTATACGGACCTTTGTTGGCAAAGTGATGTCTCTACTTTTTAAGATGCTGTCTAGGTTTGTCATTGCTTTTCTCCCAAGAAGCAGACGTCTTTTAATTTCGTGGCTGCTGTCACCATCTGCAGTGATCATGGAGCCCAAGAAAGTAAAATCTCTCACTGCCTCCATTTCTTCCCCTTCTATTTGCCAGGAGGTGGCACCTGGAGGAGGAACCGGCAAGCCACTCCAGTATCCCTGCCAAGAAAACTCCATGGACAAAGACAACAGGCTATGCCAGTTTTGTGGGAAGCGACTTTGGAAATGGGGTTAGGAAGGTGAAAAGTGATATTAGAGATGGCATGGGTTGGGAAGGGGAAGTTCTTTGGGGTTAAACTGGGGTGAATGACAGTGGGGCTAGTAAACCAGGTGAGCAGGGGTGCAGCCCCTAACATGTTTATATTTGCACACTGTGTTCAGTTCAAGGTGTCTCAATCTGCAAAAGATTTGCAGCCCAGCCACAAAGCAGAATGCCCTCTTCTCTCGCTCACAGCTTATTTGCAGTTTGTCTGCTTGCAATGACATTTTTTTTTGTAGAATTCATGGTTTAGTAATGGAGCATGAAATACGGGCACTGATATCTTTGGCACATTCTTTTGTTTTGTTAAGTTTTCAGCCCCGGTACACCATCTATTTAAAGACCTTGCCATAAATATATCTACTGAGCAGAAATATGCTGCAGCAGACAAATGACTGTTGCAGCTGAGGGAAGTCAAAAGAAACATTTCCAGCGTCAATATAAATAAATGGAAGAAAAGGTTTGCTCCTTCTTCTGCCAACTTACAAGGTTGACACTGGCTGGAGCTACACATTCTGGCAACAGAAACTGTGTCACTGAAGAGAAACAGCCAGCCCTATTTTGCTCATAGCATGGCTAGAATAAATTCAGATGAATCCAAAAGGTGTAACTGAATGAGTAAGCCGCTACAGTTCTTTAGTTTCAAAAGATCAACCGTGTCTGAAATGACACATTAATGGCAAGTACCACTGACTTCAATAGAATGTATTCATTGTGATAGACCATAGCTCAATGTTAGATAATATGCATTGCATGATAAATGTGTGGGATAATCAGCCTCATATAACCAACATGCTTAAGTCTAATTAAAGTATGAAGGGGTTAAGACCGTAGAGTAAGCTGTCCTGCCTTAGCTCTCCTTGAGGAGGACTAGGCAATCAAACCTTTGGCTCCTCCCACCCTGTGAAGCTCAACGTGTGAGGAGATCTGAGCAGGTTATCCCCCTTCAGACCACATGGCACTCGCAAGCCACTCTTGAGTTTATACACCAATAATTTAGGAACTTTCACCACTTTGGAACTAAACGAAGCTTTACTGCCTGTGCAACTTTTTCTGGATGCTGCATGGAAAAGCACATGAATTGGGAGAGCTTGTAAGTAAACATTTTTTTAACTTTCCAAATTTTTGGTCTTTTTCTATGCTAGGTGAAGAGGGAAGGTTTTGGAACTCATGCTTCTTATAAGATATTCGCCAGCCAATGCTCTTAATGCTCTGCACCTGCCTGCCACTACTGCCGCCACCTCTACCTGCTGCCACTGCTTGCTGCCAAGTCCTCCACACCTGCCACCGCCTACTCCTCTCCAGCCTCCTTTTAATCCCCTGCTGCCTTCCATTCTTCTTTTGTTAGTACTTCTCCATCCTTCCATCTCTGGACTAGTAGCATTCTCGCTGCCATCTTTGCATACCTGGGCAATTTTTTTAATTTAATAGTAAATGTCTGGGTATTTCTCTATTCTAGGCCAGAAGCAGACGTGCTGTGGAGAGGTTGCTTAATCTTTGGCCCACTTGCCGGTCGCCCCCCAAAAAGCACAACAACTTTGGAAGATCACTCAAAAAAAGCTCAGCTACTGTGTCTGGATTTTTACTTCTTGAAATATGGCAGCCCTAAAGCTGTCTGCTGGAATGTTGAAGCCACGCCTCTTCCTATGACCAGTCTGTATATTTGCAGTCAAATATCCCATTGGACATTTATTACGGTCATAGATCAGCACGATGCAAGTGAAGCCACATGTAAAACATTAAATAAACTCAAATATTACAAGATGCATTAATGGACCTTCTTCCACAGGAAACCAAACCGGGGTAAGTGTTGCTTGCCTAGAATTCCCCACCACTCAGAGACATGAGGTGAGCAATGTTGTTTCTTTGAAGGCACCTGAGAGGAAGCCGTGTGGGCAGATGTGCCCCCTGTTCCTTCTCCCTCCCCAACCTCCCAGAGGCCTGCTCCATATCCGAGAAGAGCATTAAGTTGAAGAGATGAAGGCAAGAAGCGATTGCTATGCTTTTAAAAGTACGAGATGTGCACACCAGGACTTCTAACACGGGCGTCTAAGAAGCCAACTCGGGTGTGTATTCTTCCTTCACTTGCTGGTTTCACAGGCAAGATCTCCTTCGGGAATAATGATGGGAAAAGAGCAAAGCACTCAGGCAAGGAAGGACTATATTCACACTGTAACAACCGAATTGTGCTCTTTTCCTGTTTGGTCTCTCCACACCCACCCTACTTTTGCAGATATGCATCAGTGTCACATCCAAAATCTAAGTGCGCAGGCTGGCTCATCTCATGGCTGGGAATAGCTACAAGTCTGAGACCTTTTCAAGTACAGTATGTGTATCTTGTTTCACTTCGTTGCTCTGCTTCATTACTATGGTAATCTCCTTTCTCCGTGAGTGTTTATATAAGGCTTGTTCCCTAGGTTAGAAAACAAGAATTGCTTTCATTGTTGGGCTTCCTCCAATATCTCCATCATTAATTATAAACACATTTTCCCCGTCAAATCTTTTCACACCCTTTGATCTCCAGCTAGCTATTTAAAGACCTGGGTAACAGTACAACACCAGCATTTGGCAAGAGCCATGAAGTCTGAGTGAGGAAAATGTCCTGGATGGAAATACTTATCTTTTTTAAACATATTATTATTCTACAGCCACCTCATACACCTCACACTGGGTTTCTCAGTGGTTTCTGACCATTCCTCTGAGCAGCTGGATTTTTTGTTGTTGTTATCAGGAGATTTCACACAAAGCACCCTGATTTGGCAGAAAGGGCCCATGGATAAAGTTGGGTGTGTATTAAGGCTGACTCTGTGTGCTCCTGGGAAGATGTTTGCTGCAATCAGATGGAAGCAGAATTTAAAGTGCAAATCTATGCATCTCTAGTCAAAAGTAAGCCCAAAGTGAGTTCACTGGTGTTATGTACTGAAGTTCTCACCCTGGGCTAGCAGGGGGATACTGTAGATAGTTATGCAAATGAAGGATCGAAAGTGACGTTCAGTGATTGGATAGTTTGTATGCAAATGAAGGATCGAAAGTGACGTTCAGTGATTGGATAGTTTTAGAAAGTTGTTACAGTAGCATTGTACTGGAGCTCTATATACGCAGGCTGACTGAGCCCTTCAGTTCAGTTCTGTTCTGGCCTGTGAATAAACAAGAGCTGTTTGAAGAATCGCTGTGTCGTCTGATATGTTCGCCCACAACTTAACAACTGGGACTGTGAGCACATCATTTATTTAAATCACACACCTCTCCTCCTCAAAGAAACCTGGGAATTGTCGTTTGTTAAGGGTGCTGGAAATTATAACTATGTGAGGGATAAACTACAGCTCCCATGATTCTTTGGGAGTAGGGATTATGCTGTCAATGTACACAGCCTTGGGCTTACACCCAGCTAAGTGTGGACAGTAGTGTCTTTGTACTTGAACAGCTTGGCTCCAGAACAAATCAGCCTCCGAACGCCACAAACCTGGAAGCAAGTGTTCCGGTTTGCAAAAGTTTTTCGGAAGCTGAATGTCCAATGCAGCTTCCGCTTGAGTGCAGGAAGCTCCTGCAGCCAATCAGAAGCCACACCTTGGTTTTCGAACAGTTTCGGGAGTCAAACGGACTCCTGGAATGGATTAAGTTCAAGAACCAATGTACCACTGTATAGATGAATCATAAAATAGTAGGTTTAGAAGGGATCACAAGGGTCATCTTGTCCAACACCCTGCAATTCAGGAATCTTTTGTTCAACATGGGGCTCGAACTCACATGTGTTTGCTCTACCAACTGAGCCACTGGTTGGGCTGGTGCAAAGCTTGAAATGGTTGAATGGTTCACAATTGCAATGGTTGCATGGTTCACAATTGCAATCTGAGGAGGAGGAGGGGAAGAATTAACGGGGACGAGGAAACCAGTAATTAAAGTGATGAGGAAACCTAAGTAATTACAATTAAGACCCTGTTCAAGAATGCCGAGGCAACACAAGCTGATAGAAAGAAAGTAATTAAGACCAGAAGCTGTCTTAAAAGAAAGGGGCAAGGAGGAAATTCCTAATAAAAGGGTCAGTAGTGCTTTGCTAGTCTACATTGAACAATTTGCATTTTAAGTTTGCCTCCCCTGCCCAGAGAGAGAGAGAGAGAGAGCACATGGAAAACATTAGAATGGAAGGGGTTAGCATCTATGCTGTCTGGATTTCCTGCAAAAATGAATGAACAAATGATTTTGGAGGAAATGGCTACAGTCTCATCAGCCTTAAGATTCCCATCTTCTGCTTCAGTGGCTGACTCCGAACAGAGGCACCAAGTTCTGCCCAACATTGCGGGGAACCCGTTGCACACGTGTGATGCCTCACACATTGACACACAGTATGATGTCACCTTGCCAACAAAGGTCCGTATAGTAAAAGCTATGGTTTTCCCAGTAGTGATGTATGGAAGTGAAAGCTGGACCATAAAGAAAGCTGATCGCCAAAGAATTGATACTTTTGAATTATGGTGCTGGAGGAGACTCTTGAGAGTCCCATGGACTGCAAGAAGATCAAACCTATCCATTCTGAAGGAAATCAGCCCTGAGTGCTCACTGGAAGGACAGATCCTGAAGCTGAGGCTCCAATACTTTGGCCACCTCATGAGAAGAGAAGACTTCCTGGAAAAGACCCTGATGTTGGGAAAGATGGAGGGCACAAGGAGAAGGGGACAATAGAGGACGAGATGGTTGGATAGTGTCTTCGAAGCTACCAGCATGAGTTTGACCAAACTGCGGGAGGCAGTGAAAGACAGAAGTGCCTGGCATGCTCTGGTCCATGGGGTCACGAAGAGTCGGACACGACTAAACGACTAAACAACAACAACAACAATGATGTCATGATTGCCATGCCGCCTGCCACAAAATATGGTAAGGTCCGCTGCCATGAGGTCTGGCTCCTCAGGATCGATGGAGCTCAACCTCATCCCAACAGACTTTGGCGGGGGAAGGGGCTGAAGACACCTCAGCCCTATGGAGTTGGCACCTATAACTGAAACTAGAGTACTACCACTGTGTTTTTCTTGCTCGTTCTCCAATGGTGGGGTGCGGGTGGTGCTGTGATCTAAACCACTGAGCCTCTTGGGCTTGCTGATCGGAAGGTCAGTGGTTCAAATCCCCGTGATGGGGTGAGCTCCCATTGCTTTGTCCCAGCTTCTGCCGACCTAGCATTTTGAAAGCACACCAGTGCAAGTAGATAAATAGGTAACGCTGCACTCTGGTTTCCGTCACGTTGTCCCGTTGCACCAGAAGTGGTTTAGTCATGCTGGCCACATTACCTGGAAAGCTGTCGGCTTGACAGCAGAGATGAGCGCTGGAACCCCATAGTCACCTTTGACTGGACTTAACCATCCAGGGGTCCTTTACCTTTACCATTTACCTTTTATCCAGTGGTGGTTTGAGATCCACCGATGTCTGGAAAACATGGAACAAAGAGGTTGTCATCATCCCTTTCAATATAAACCAGCAGGTGTCACTAACAGGTGACGACATGCACAACCATACATTTAAAGCGCCATGATGCCAGTTGTGGCTGTCCCCAAAGAATTCTGAAAACTCTAGTTTATTGAGGGTGCCGGAGTTGTTAGGAGACCCCTGATCCCATCCCACAGCTACAAATCCCAGAGTTCCTTATGAAGAGGGATTGATTGTGAAGCCACTTGGAGAATCGTAGCTCTGCAAGGGGTCCAGGACTCCCCCCTACAACTTCTCAGCACCTTTAACAAATTATAATTCCCAGGATTCTACGGCTGTTGAAAGTGGTATTGCAGTACTTTAAATGCCCGGTGGCAAAAGTCAGAATCCTTAGTGATGCTTTTTGGAATTATTAGGGGGATCAGTTCTGTGTTCTTTTCTGACACTGATCTTAGAGACAGGAGTTTTTGTTAGGATCTTGCTGAACTTAATAGCAAATCAGCCTTTTAATGGAATTAGACTTTCACTTTTTTCTTCTTTTCTTAAAAGGGCATGCTTTCATTACTTGACATTTCAACTCTCTCTGCTTGTTTTAAGACAGTGCACGAGATTATTACAAGTGATTATTAATTCACGGTAGTGGGAACAGGACGAAAGCGTAATCACATGTCTTGCATATGAACCATGTTAGTATATTTACTAGCAGTGAAATTGGTTAGGGGTGACCCATGCTTGTTAGAATCTCATTTTATTTTATTTCTGCCTCTGACTGTAGCGAGGGAAAAAGACATAATCTGTAGAGAGTGCTTCAGCAAATGTGAGGAATTTGAAATATCTATAGCGGACATGCATGAGAAAGTATATGTTATCCATATGAAAGTTATTTGACTGAACAAATCACTTTGGCTTGTGAACTTGTCTCAACCAAGACCGTGGGTAAGGTTGGAGGTTGGTCTAAATCAGGCATCCCCAAACTTGGCCCTCCAGATGTTTTAGGACTACAATTCCCATCATCCCTGACCACTGGTCCTGTTAGCTAGGGATGATGGGAGTTGTAGCTCCAAAACATCTGGAGGGCCGAGTTTGGGGGTGCCTGGTCTAAATGATCACTCAGGGACCACCCAACCATGTGACTCTCAGGTGGGTCAAACTAGGTTTGGCTTGGCCAACTCCTTTTTGTTGGGAAAATTGAACCTGATGGGCCTTTGCACAATTATGAAAATGATTAGAGATTCCTTCTGGGATGGGGCATTTCCTTCTCCCCCCAGCTGCCTTCTGTCTGCAGGTAATGATATCATAAAAGCTGCAGATTTGGACTTCATTAGGATGAAAGAAGGACACAGGGCTGAGTTGTTCTTTGTAGGAAATTGTGACTCTGTAGATCACAGATCTCCCTCATTCCCTCCCACAGATCTTCTAGGTTCCCCCTAGAAAATATGATGGGGAGCAGTGGACTCTATCTGTTGGGGTGTTTTATGCCGTGAACCTCTCTCTACTTGATTTCCTAAGCATGTGCTTATTTTGCTTAATGGTTAATCCAGCCTCAGCTCCCTCATTTGCAGAGCGCAGCGATCAATGGGCAATTTAAGGAATGAGATTATCTTTCAGGTACCCTGGTTCCAAGCTGTATAAAGCTTTCTAAATCAAAACCAGTCCCTTGAACTCAGCCTGGGCAGCCATTAGCTACTTGAAGCAATTACATTCTCACAACTTGGCAAACGGGCACAACTCATAACAGTATGAAGCGCTATTGGCAATACTCTTCTTTTATACAATTTAATAGTGACAGACTTGCACTAATTTCCATGGCACCATACATACGTTGAACAGAGCATTTCTATGTCTGCCATTAAGCCAAGATCAAAGCACAGTATTTCAATATAAGAGCCTGACCAATAATCTTAATCTCTCTGTAGTTCTGACGTTTTGTACACTTGCTTTGCATCGTCAATATGTTCATTGCTAAGCAACCGCAGGCAATATAAGGTTTATGCATCTGGTGAGCCCACGGGCAAGTTCCAAACCACCTACATATTGACTGAGGTCAACGAGAATGCAAAAGTCACTGTGAGCCATATTTTGTAAGAGTACCTTTGTCCTACAGTTTATCAGTTCAGTGTGCTGGGGGAGAGAAAATACCTAAGGTGCTTTCATTTGGAGAGCAAACAATTGCTAAGGAAGCCTTTGTGCTGAAGAGAAATTTTGCAGGGTCCTTGGTTGAAGGGTGAGTATCTTAAGCTAGGAAACTTTGGCAGCAGAATTTTCCCCCTCCTCTTTCTACTTTTGGAAAAGAAAATAAAAATCTCATTCTTAGGATTGTACCCATGTCTCAAGATCCAAGACAAATTAAGACCTGTGCTCTAACACAATTTCCTCTATTATAACACATTTTTGGGTATGTTGTTTTCACTTCTAAGTGCATTACGATGCACATTTTACCCTGGTATATGCATTAAAAACAACAACAACAAAAACCCTTGCCTGCATTGCAAAATTCAGAGAACTGCCGAATGCTGGTTGTGTGTCGGTTCTCATATTGTCCCAGCCACTCTGGGCGGCTCCCAATAGAATACTTAAAAAAATATAAAACATCAAACATTAAAAACTTCCCTAAATAGGGCTGCTTTCAGATATCTTCTAAAAGTCAGATAGTTGTTTATTTCCTTGACATCTGATGGGAGGGTGTTC